GGTTTATCCTGTGCCGTGTAATGGTAGAGCTAAAATTCAGACTGAGTCAGATAACAAGCTATAACATAAGATAGATTTAACATACGTAGATCATCGCACGTTGTGCAGGAGATGAGAGCGCTGGGGCAGCCGTGCGGCTGCCAGCTCGCGGGCTCCACTCGAGGCACGGGTGCTGATCGAAAGTTCGACTCGAGATCGAGCGCGCATATGTAAATATCGGCACATTTACAAGCGAAAGGGTTCACCGGAGCGGCGCACTAACGCAGCGTTGCGCGGGAACCAGTCAAGTGAGATTCCTACGGCGTCCGATAGAAAAATGTCGAACGAGCTTCGAGCCCATCACTCCGCGGGTGTATGGTGCGCGACGCGGCCGCCGCTCGACTGCCGCCCTCCTCCTGCACCGCGCCGCTGGTATATTTATCGCTTAATTGTTGAACTCGTCAGTGTAACAAATTATGAACCTCAGCGAGTAGGCCTGGAGGGTTCGCGGCGCTACCGCGTCTGCGATGGTCGTTGCGTCACAGCGCCACGCCGCAAGCCGCCGCCGCGCCGTCGCGTCAACCGCCGCGCGCGCAGCCTTCAGATTTTATCTCAACTCAACCAGCAAACTACCACTTCGGCGTACACACATTAACCTCTTACTAACAATACCATAATTATTCCTTACTTCCATTTCCGCGATATACTCGGTGCAAGTAAATAAAATAAAAACAACTGGACAATTTTCATTTAACTGAAAGAAACAGTTGAACTCTCATTAATTCCTTGTCACTATCGTATCTGAACTAAAACTCTAGCTAGTCTCAATAAAATCTTATCTACTAGACCTATGACATCATTATTTGACTTCGTCTACTACCTTCTGGTGGTGTAGTCTTATGTTTCTGTCTGTGAGTAAAGTTCCAGGGCTCCACGGGGTATAAGGGGTAGGGGATTGGACTAGGGTAGGCAGGCAACGGCACGAAGTATAGTTTTGGAGGTATCGCAAGCTTCATTCAGGCTGCGGCGGCGGCCGGCGCTTAATATATAAATAAAATAAGTTAAAACTAAATATTCGTATGCCAAAGACGTTTCTGACTCTGAACTCTCTGAAATATGATGGTTCTGCCTTTTGACTATTGTGGATATTAAATGTATGCCTAAAAATTATGCGTTTGAATGTCTGCTAAATTAATGAATGCCAAATGACCCACGAAATGAATATTATGCCGCTGATATACTTAATAATATTAAAAGTTCTGCGGTACAAATGGACCCGCAAATTTTATGGGGGGGGGGGGGGGGGGACACGGACCATACTACACTTGCACTTACGCTCCCCTTTATTCGAATTTTTGACAATTGTCAATTATCTGTTACTTAACGCTTCACGGTGATTGCGAGATTTTGCCTTTTAAAGGTGTAATGCATTTCAAACTAATATCTAAAATGGCAGCTACCGATATCGAAAGTGACATTTTATTTTACAGAATCGCACTAGTGATCCTAATGACGTTTACCGATAAAACACGGTAAGTGAGAGATATATATGTCCTATAGGACAGAGGTCTTTTATCTCTTTCCAATACGCTAACCATAAATTAGCATTGACATTATTAAGATTTCCTCATTGTTCGGTGCTACGCAAACAGCGCAGCAATTTGGACGTAGTTACGCGAAAACGTTCCAACCCACAGCGACCCCATTTTGAGATAAACGCAATTTTGTGTTTTAGCGGTACACTTTTTCCCTGTAATTATTTCAGGCAAATACTATTGGTGTTACTGTGGAATGCCAAACTGGTTATTGAATGATATGCATATTTTTTGTAAATACATAATACAAGGGGCATATAAATAGGTAAAACGAGTTTGAAACGTTTTCGCTAAATTTAATTTTGTATGAACCTTGTTAAATAGCAATTGTGCATAAACGTTCCAGAACGAATTTAAGTGTATTATTTTATAAATATATCTAAAATAAATATGTAAAATAATAAATAACAATGAAGAACATACAAAAACAACAAAAAAAAATTGAAAATGTATTACAAAAAAAATAGAACGTGATCTTTTGAGCTTAGAACCTATGCCAATTTGCTGATATGGTTCCAAAAGTTATCAAAAACTTATATTATAAACATTCAATTTTCATCATCGTATTCTATGATCTCGAAGTCCGGAACTCCACCAAACCCATCAACATCATCAGTGCTTCTTCAGAACTTTGAAGCGTTCTATAAAATTGAAGGCAATCCACTTCCTGTGCACCTCTTCTACCTCTCCTTCTACCAATACATAACAATGCCCAGTATCATTAAATGCACTATGGATACCACTATTGTAGAACTAAGTAAAAAAGTTAAACCTCTTCAAGTTTACAAAATGACAAAGACTGATTTTTTTAGTACAACTAAACTGGAAAAGAAGATTATCAATAGGAAGAAGTTTACAGACTCATCTAAAGTTAGTTGGCTACATACAAAAGAAATTAAGTTGGATAAAGATAAAATGTTTTCTATTTTTATGCGGTCTACGATGGAAGACGATTTCAATGAGTTGAAAATTGATAAAAGAATAAAACGAGAACTGCAATACATAAAAGAATCTGATTTTTGCTTATTGTGGCCTAACGACAAACCGATTGCTCATACCCGAGGATTGCCTTCAATTTTATAGAACGCTTCAAAGTTCTGAAGAAGCACTGATGATGTTGATGGGTTTGGTGGAGTTCCGGACTTCGAGATCATAGAATACGATGATGAAAATTGAATGTTTATATTATAATATAAGTTTTTGATAACTTTTGGAACCATATCAACAAATTTTTGGCATAGGTTCTAAGCTCAAAAGATCACGTTCTATTTTTTTGTAATACATTTTCAAATATATTTTTTTGTTGTTTTTGTATGTTCCTCATTGTTATTTATTATTTTACATATTTCTTTTTGGTTTATTTTTATAAAATAATACACTTAAATTCGTTTTGGAAAGTTTATGCATAATTGCTATTTAACAAGGTTCATACAAAATTAATTTAGCAAAAACATTTCAAACTCGTTTTACCTATTTATATGCCCCTTGTATTATGTATTTACAAAAAATATGCATATCATTCAATAATCAGTTTGGCATTCCATAGTTAAACCAATAGTATTTGCCTGAAATAATTACAGGGAAAAAGTGTGTAAATTGCAAATTGGGGTTGCTGTGGGTTGGAACATTTTCGCGTTACTACGTCCAAATATACCATAGTTATTTATTTTGGTAAAAAATATCTTTTTCTCTAGAACATATTTAATAGCAAAAATGGATCAAGTATATGTGGATTGTTTATAGCAAAAAATTTGAAAATAATATATTATAATAAAAGGTTTCAATTTATTTAGAACAGTGTTCGCAGCTTAAAAAAACAGTATGGATTAATCTAAAAGGTTTCAAATTACATGGAACATTTTTGCAGAAATAAAAAATGTATAAAGATTTTGCAAAAACGTTCCAACCCACATGGATCATTTAAGAAACCATTAAATGTGCGTTTTATGAATTTAGTATAATGTTCCAAGACAAGTGGAACATTATAACGATATGTTATTCTATTAAGAGTTTTTAACAATATGTTTCAGTATGCATGTAATGTTTTTACTTTATTTTGAGTACACGTCCTTGGCATAATGGTGGGTTGGAACATTTGGGTTAAACTTTATTGATGAAACTAACTTAAAAATACTAGCATCTTTGTGTGCACATGATGTAATATGGCAAAAATAGTACCCTGGTTATGGTAACTCATTTTCGAGTGACTTGTGGGTTGGAACGTTTTCGCGTAACTACGTCCATTTACAAATCAGCAAGTTGCACTTTTTACCTAAAATATGGAATTGATTTAGTACGTAATTAGCTACCATTAACGCGACGCGTGCTCAATACCAGACAACCATTTTCGTATTTATATTATATTTTACTGTTTTTTTATTATTTACATTTGTGAGTTTAATTATTATACAGTTTTACACGGACTTCGGAGTTATTCTTTTCTTACCATAAGTAAAGGTAGGTGAAGGGACCCGGCGCCATTGAGGTGGCGAAAATAATGTGTGTGCCCTCCGAGAGGTCACAGTGGAAAACGTAGGTTTCCTATACATAAAGATTTAGCAAGACCTATAAAAAATTGAAGCCAGAAGGATACATTTGTAGCTTGTAGCTGTTGTAAGTCGAACGCTACGACTCACCGAATTTGGGCTCTCAGACGAAACGCCCAGACCCGTCTTTCCCAGTGGGCACTTTGGGCAAGTGCCTAGGGCCCCGCGATCGATAGGGGGCCCTTCAGATCAAATACAAAGTCCCTAGTTCCTGTTACTGTAACGGCCGATTTAAATAATTTTGATGAATGGTAATATTTAGAAGGTAATTTGTAGGACCACGTACAAAAAATTGAGCTCTGTTGAGTGGATGGATTGAAGTACGGAACTGGATGCAGGCTTGGGCGAAACGTTCCCCCTATCTTCTGTACACTCACACATCTATCGTTGAAGAAAAGGCACACTCTCGTCTCATTTGAGAAGAGAAAATCACTCCATTGGTCAGGGGTCCAATTGACGTGGTCGCGAGCAAACTGCAAGCGGGCTCGCCGATGCTCTGCGGTAAATTTTGAACCCGTAGTAGCTCTATGAATCGCTATCTTCTTCTCCCTCAGAAACGCTAGAAACGCTCAGTTGTTCTGCGAGCTGCCTGGAGCTGCTGTTGTAACTCAACAGCATTAGAGAAAAGTCACATTTGTAGTATCAACCTTTTTTATAATGAAAAGAAATGAGATTTTTTTTTTAAGTTTATTTAATGGGCCTTCAAATGACACCAATATTGGTGGGATACATGCGCGTGTTAAGGGATAATAACGCTTGAAAGTTATTTTCGCGGAGGTGCGATTTTTTTGACGCAAAGTGTAGTATAGACTAGTCATTATGTACTTGGTGTTCTTTGCCTTCACATAAAGTGATAATATTACAAATAAAAAAATGACAGCTGATATTGACATACATGTACATGTGAAAAAAATGAAATGTTTGTACAATTTCCTAAATACAATAGACTTGTTTTTCTACCAATGTAAAGTGCGTAAATAGAATTGTATAGTTTTTCCCTCAACCAAATATCAACAAAATGTATTCCAGAATTAATATAAAGTGAGTGGCTATAAAATTTTATTTCCTAAAAGTATTGTTTTTGTGGTTCTTTTTTAGCTATGTGGAGGTGATTTACGGAATTGAAGTTATGGTGTACCTTAAAAAATCTTTAATCTTTCTGAGAAATCTTTAATACAATAATTATTGATAACAGGAACTGCAGCTGTGCTGGAGCCTTTTGTCGGTATTTGAGTTCAGCTGAAATATCCACTGCACTTCGACCATTTTACTTCAGTGTACATCCAGATCTTTTTGGAAAATTTCCAGAACAAAGAGTGAGTTATCTAGATACATTTCTCTCTTTGAAAACCCATTTGTTTCACAACTCTTCTATATATAATACATTATTAATTGAGTAACTATTCATTCATTAATACTTATTTTTTTAACATTAACTTTTCAAGTCTAGTTTAATATGTTCAGAAGCTGCTGATTGGTTAAAAAAATATCCACCAGGATACTAGGTATTTTGCTTAAAAAATTTTTAGAAGTAACACCTGTAAGAAATAGAAAACTTGCTTACCAACTGTTAATTAGGGTTTGTATTCAAAATATTATTTTATTATGTAATTTTATTACTTAACATGTTTGCTTTAAACTTCATTAGGGTTATTCTATGTTAAGAGGTCATCTGATATTAGGCAGCGCGGCATTATAAAAATATTTATAATTTATTTCTTTTCTTACATTATGTTATATAATCAGTTATTTTGTATGCTGTAGATGAATGGCCAGTCAATTAATCTACTTTTACAAGTATTGTAAAGGATCAGGGAAGATAATCTGTACAGGGTACAGACATGAAGGCCAGAGCAGGATACCTTTACTATACAGGAGAAAGATAAATTGAAAAATAATACCTTAATTTGTAAGAATCATCTTTAATTATTCACTCATTTATGATAGTTTATAACTAATATGGAAATTCAGACTTCAGTTTTCATACAGTATTTTTTAAGTAACTTGAATTAGGAAATAACTTAGAAAACAAAACTACTTAATATCTGCTTACAAAATCGCAAAAGTAACATCTTTTCTAGAGATGCGCCGAATGTATTCGGTACATTCGGTATATTTTTAAAGTTTGTATTCGGCCGATTATTCAGTTGATGTGCCAAATGATTACCGAATAATTAAATTAATATTATTATTTCTAAACAATGTTTTCCTTTTATAATTAAGTTTAATTGAAATGGGATGGTTCATTGTGAGAACTGTTGGTACACAGTTTTTATAAATGAATACATTCATAAAGTCACGCCTTTCTCCCACAGGGGTAGGCAGAGATTACTTTTTTCTACTTGCTACAATCCTTACATACTTTTTTCACTTCATCTACTCTCGTTACAGTCCTCATACATGCTCGACGATTTCGGGTAGTTTTGACCTTTTATAAATGAAAGACACACTTATTTGTGTAACAATTCTTTATTGACAAAATACTTATTAAAATTACCATTCGAGATCATGAAAAATAGTAAGTCTTATTTGTAATAATCATGAATTAAATATTTATTTTACCTATATTTTTAATGATTCGGCTGAATCATTCGGTTTGGTACATTTTGAACCGAATATTCTGCCGAATATTCGTATTCGGTTGAACCCAGATTCGGCGCATCTCTAATCTTTTCCTAAAGTAAAATAAACTTTCTTGAATATTTTTTAAGGGTATGAGAATGGCTTTGATAAAAAGATTCAACATAAAGAAGAACCTCTACTTATAAAAATAAACAGAATTTCTTTTTAAATAGAAAATAAAAGAAATTAGTGAGTTTTTTTAAATATTCATCATTGTTAAATAACAATCAACATAAAGCAGTATAAATATACTGCTTTCTGTAATAAATAATACTAAGATGTTTAATGAATTCGTAATGTGTTAAATTTTGAAGAGTTTGTTACAGAATAGTAAAGGGACAGGCCAGGCTAGATACTTTTTTCTAGGTAAACATGAAATTATGACGAAATTAAGCTAATTAATTATTAAGATTGTAATTTCTTGGTAAAAAAGTATACTTTATTTATAATTAAAATATGATTGATGCTTACTGCAAAATTTCAAATTATCTATGATTTTTTCATGTAGCCTTCGATAGTACCTCTTAACGTAGAAATACCCATTAATAGTTACTTAAAGTGCATTAAGGATAGAAGAGTATTTAAGGAAGAATATTTTCTTTTTCAGAAAATTAATGAAAGTTCATTGCAACAATTAAGTGCATTATTGGAAGCCCAACAATCAAGTAGAAGTTTATCTGTACCTCCACTGTCATTTTATTTAAGGCAAAAGAATATGCCTGAAGGTTGGTTTGCTTATAAGTTACATTATTGTATAATAATATATAATATAATATACATTAGTATCATTTGTAGGTGAATTCAAACTAGTAAAGATAAAATTGCAAGGTTCTAATGTCCGTGAAACAGTGGTGAAAGTTTTACATGCATGTGACATGTCAACAAACTATGTGGACAAAATACCTCGCAGCAAACCTCGGAATGAATTTGTGTAAGTTTATTAAATTTTTATCTTTTTCTTACATAAAAATGTTTTTATTCATTAACGAAACAATATAAACTGATCTGCAAAACTAAGTATCACATTTTTAAATTGAACTTGTTTTGTAAACTATTGAAGTTAGAGATTTAAAATAAAAAACATTTTATAGCAAATTTTATCAGCTTTCTTTGAAACTTAGATACAAAATAAAATTCTTTCTCGAGTCCTTTTTATTTCGAAAGTATATCTTGTGTGCTTAAAAAGATATTACAATTTTAAAAGAGTGATACTTAGTTTCGCAGGCCAGTGTATTTTTTTTTATACTTTATTGCAGAAAACCCGATTTTGCTAAAGCATATCAAGAGTTCAAATCTGAATTTGATAAAGCAAATGAAATGAAAAGAAAGGTGGAAGAGAGGAAAGCTATCAATAATGTTATGTGAGAACCTATTGTTTTGTTTTTTTTTAATGTAATTATTAACTGGAAAAAATGTGTGTGTTTAATCTTAAAATAGGATGATTGCATGATATCATCACTGGTTCATTTATTAAATTATTCAAATCTTGAAATTAAAATAATTTGTGTACAGCTATTCAGTGTGTTCCGCGCGAATCAATATGGGAATCGAGCGGATACGCGCGTGAAAATTTTACAGAAAAGCCTCACAGGTCGCGGCCCGTAACTCGTAGCGCTAGAGTTTCGTGCCGCAACTTATAACATCAAATGAATTTTCGCCTGATCGCGTCTGCGGAATATCGCGTCCTGCGCGATCTGTAAGCGTGAATCGCGTCGCAATAATGCTTTTGCGTTTTACCTACAATTTCATATTCTACACAAGTTGCGGTCCCGCAGCCGCGGCGGGCGCCGTAAGTTCTTAGCATAACTGTCCCTGATTGTTATATTATAACTATTATTGAATTAAAGTTCAGTACATTTAGATTTTCAGTAATTTGTATAAAAATTATCTGTTTATTATTTGTAATTTTGTCTTCAACAGTGAATGGATTCATGACAACGGCTTTATTGCAAAAGAGAAATATGAGTCAACAATTGCCACAAGAGGACAAGTGAAAAACCTTATAGATAGCCTTTGTTCATTACATGGTATTAAAGAAGTTCGTAAATCAAAATTACATGCTATTATTTTAGTATGAATAATGCTTCATTCTAAATTTGTTCTACAATTAGTTGGTTATTAAATTCTGGTGCCAATCCTTTAATAAATAGAATGTGAACATTAATTCACTCACATATCTATACATATTAGTACGTAGGGGGTTGTTGTATTCTGTTTTAGTTACCTTATACAACTAAAATGAAGATTTAATAACAATTCATTTTCAATTTCTATCATATGAGCATGACTTCAACTCCCTACAAAGAGACATTCACAATTTAATCATACTTTGTTCTCTCTTAATTCTATTTACATAAAAGTATTGGTAACAGAATACAAAAACCAATTAAAATTTTGGCAACACTAATTTTGCTAAGATGTTTCAAGCACAAATTATAAAACTATTCCAAAATATTACCCTCAAGGACATTAGTTTTAAATATTCAAGTATATTCTGCTAAAATAAGAGGATCTTATGTCGTATCTTTAATTATATTTTTATAACATATTGCACATAACATTTGATATTCAACTAATTTCTGAATTTTAGATAAAATACGATAGTGGATGGAAAATAAGCCACATACGCGGTGCTCTCCAAAGCTTAGTTTCTTTGGCTTCTCAGCATGCAAAAGTTATGTCGAATTTAGAAGGTGAGCATAGTACCGATTTATTTAATATTAATTACTAGCTGTGCCCCGCGGTGTTACCCGCGGTTTGTTAGGGATATTTTCCCACAGTAAAACGTCTACACCCTGGATTAGCCTATGTGTTAATCCAGGGTGTCAGCTAACTCCATTCCAAATTTTATTAAAATCGCTCCAGCCGTTTAGACGTGAAGAAGTAAGAAACATACACACTCACACACTCACAAACTTTCGCCTTTATAATATTAGTGTGATAACCAAATACAACTATGTTTGTTATCAATCTACTTATATTTTCAGGCAGGACAATAGCATTAGGACAATTTACGGGTGTAAGCTTAGATGGCGATGTTTTCCTTAACATCATCGATGTAAGAAACGAATGGCTTTCGGTAAGCATTGTTTATGTCTGGATTCATGAAAATGTGTCACATCCCCGTTCCCCTCTCTCACTACCTGTCTCTTTTCTTACCAATGAGACGATTGATCTAATAGTTGTATTGTGATGAGAAGATATTTTCAAGTTACACAGCTTGCTTGTACACTTATAAGTTGTCGCATATTTTTTTCCAGTTAATAAAAAAAGTTAGCCAAGAAGACAGTGCCTTAATTATAATACCTAACTACGAAAAAGCGCTATCGAGCATTTTGAGAGAAATACACATTTGCAGAAGGTATTAAGTACATTTTATTATCTTTATTACATATAAATTATGAATTCGTTATTTATTATCACTTTCCTTCCGTTTTTATTCTTTTCCAGAAAATACATGCCCAAAGTATCAGCACACCAATACTGTAGTCATCTCAGACAGTTGATTACTTCAATCGGCGACTTTTACGGGCGCGGCAATAAGTTTCCATCCTCTGTACCAAATTCACTCAGCAAATATGAAATCGTCGTTGAACCGTAAGATGCAAATAGGCTAGTTGAATCATATGAAAATTTATACATTATTAGATACCTGCATTTTGATGCAAGGGCAAAAATTTTGTCATTTCTTGTTATTCTCACTGAAAGAAAGTGTCAACATAGGGACGAGCAAAAGTGAAAATTTCGCACGTATACAGACCGACTTTAATGCAAGCAAGTAATACAACGAAAGAATCCATTAAACGCATCATAGAATAGTCAACCTTATTTTCTTTAGTTAAAGTTTAATTAAAATTGCTGTAGGTACTGTGTCTATGATCAGAACTTGTTTCCTCAAACCCAATATGTTTTCTTTGTTAGTATTTAAAATAGTGTAAACAGCCAGGTATATAACATGTTGCCAGTCGCCCTGTATTCTCAAAAGGAATCTCTCTGATATTTCTCATACAAGAGAGTAGATAATAGTTTTTCATAGGAAATAAAATTTATTTAACTTCAAATTCCAGCGAAGCTGGTCCACTCATGGTATCCCCCACGGGTCAATTCATAACGCCTTCGTCTTGTCCAGCCGATGAACTAATCGCCTTCATAGCCAACAACCTTGACGAAGCCACCACTTTGATGACGGAATACAGCATGTGAGAAATGTTTTTGTTCTTTTGTTAAACTTTCATGGTCACTAACATTATAGTAATATAAGTTATTTACGGGATTGTTAATATCGGAAACTCTCAAAAAAAGGGAATGTGCTTATGACACGACTAAAGTGAAACTTCTTTAGCACCAATGATCTGAAAATCATAAACTTAACCTGAAGATTTGTTGATAGAAAAAAAAACCACCAATCCACGCTGGGTCCGTTATCACCCTCCAGTCCGCACTGGGTCCGTTGTCGCCCATCAATCCGCGCTGGGTCCGTTATATACCACCAATCCACACTGGGTCCATTATCACCCACAAATCCGCACCGTGTCCGTTATCACCCACCAATCCGTTCTGGGTCCGTTATCATCCACCAATCCGCACTGGGTCCGTTATCACCCTCCAAGCACTAGATTCATGTACTTTGTGACGAGTATAAATTGTTCATTATTTACCGATGAGTCACCGTTACGCGCGTTACGCAAAAGTCGTCATACATTCGCCAGTTTACCCCCCAAGTCAAGCGTGCCTAAAGAAGTTTCACTTCAACAAGGTACATGGTAACAATCCCGTAAATAACTTATATTACTTTGTGTTTTTGTTCGTTGAAAAAAAATCAAATGTCGGTATCTGAATTGTATCTCCCAAGCTGATCTGGTAGCAAAAGATTAATACAGAATGCGTCAACTGCTAACTTTGGCGAGTATTACAGCTCAATTTATACCGTCGCGGAATGGAATGGAATGAAACCGAAGATCAATGAAAATAACAAAAAATCGAAATGTGTGCTGGGACACATAGTAGAAGGGTAACTGTAACCGCCTCTCACCGCGTGATATGTCTACCCTCTCCACGCAGCCGTAACGCTTTTTTGTGACAGCAAAATCCTAATACCCCCGCCTATATAGATGTTTCACTTCAATATTAATAACCAAACGTCGTCTCACTGCGCGTGATGACGCGCTAATTTGCAGGAATGCTTGAGAATTCTCGCGACTGCGCCTTGAGGGCCGTTTAGCTGTTAAATCTAGATCCTATTTCGTAGAGGCTTGAGACCGCACTACTGCGCCCCACCTAGATCTAGAATCGATCCCAATCAGACCTTTCACTATACATCCGCAGTTGTCTAGTGCAACCGTGCTAGTTGCGATCTACTCACGTTGCTTTCATTGTTGTATATATGTACGCTCAAGTGATATTCATTATTTTGAAACTTCTTTTCTCAATTAATAAATAGTGTTATTGTTTTTTTGAAATTAAATATAATAATATATACGCTCAAGTTATATTCATTATGTTAAAACTTTTTTTTTCTCAGTATATAAATCTTGTTATTCTTTATGAGAAATAAAATTCTTCAACCAAATTTCGTATAAGCTAAAAACCATATTACCGCGCCCGACCGACTAGCCGGCTCCCACTTCGCGTCACTTCCCGTGGATTCAGCAGACTGCACCGACAGTCACTAGCCGAATTCTCGAGAATGTGCCTTGAGGGACGTTCAGCTGTTTAATCTAGATCCTATATCGCGACCGACCGACTAGCCAACTCTCCACTTCGCGCCTCATCCCACGGATTCCACAGACAGCACCGACAGTCGCTAGGGGAATTCTGGAGAATGCGCCTTCAGGGACGTTAAGCTGTTTAATCTAGAGCCTATATCGCGACCGACCGTAGAATCATGCCAAATATAACGTTATTGAATGACGTGCGGTTGTGACTCTATATATCCAAACCTCAACCTCGTAGAGCCTTGGAATGGAAACCCTAACTTTACTTACTGCACACACAAGGAATTTTTCGTCCTGTTAAGAAATTGATATGTTAAAAAAATATTTTTACTAGTAAAACAATACCACTCGGTCAATTTGTCAGGCAGGATTTTTGTGTATATTTGTAAATGCCGCAATACAATAAATTTTATTCTTAAAAAAATTATATTGCGAACTTAAAGTGTAAACCAAACATATTTTAACCATAGGTAGATATAGGATGTAGAGATAGCCTGAGTACCGATAGCAATGTTCTAAACATTGAATTTTGCATGTGTCGTTTGTCAAGATATGCTTTAAAAACAGGATACCATAACACAAACTGAATTGTATAAGCACATTTTTTTTTCTTAGTTTCACAGAATTTCATAATAAATTTTAAGGCTAAAATTGGTGTATTGGCATGATAGCTCTTTCCTCATTCTGTCAGTCTTTAAATAGTAAGTCTATAATTTTAAAACATTTTAACTTCTTATTCTTTTTAGGTAAGAAGAAGGAAAATAGCTTCTTTTTCCTGGAAAAATTTAGTTATTTTTTCTCTGTTCCAGAAATAAACACGTCGAAAAAGCACTTTACAAGGAGGTGAAGGAAAGATTTGGCCTGTTGGAGCTAAATAAAGATGACAGCATAACTCCAGCTTTAATGATTTTATGCTGTCAAAGATTGCTTACTCGAATAGATAAAATTGGCTCGGTGAGTAGTAATAATAATTATCATATATTTTAGAGACAACATTCTCCACATTACAATTTATATATTATTATCTAACCTAAACTGCAGTTTATTATTAATAGATTTTAATGTGTCACACGGTATTTAAATAAAAACATTTGTTGCAGAAATTACAAGGGAACATTCTATACATAACACATTACTACTCTGTACTCTCAGACGGTGTGTTGTGCATACCTTGGGACTTCAAATAATCATGTTGATTATTATATGTAGATCAATGTAAAAAAAACAGTAAAAGATACTGAGCATATTAAACAAAGTGGATTTTCATTTTATTTTCTTATAATATTGAAACATGTTGTGCGCGATAAGTTTCTGTTTGCAAAGAAAACGAATTAAAAGAGTTCGAATGTTTATTTACAATAATTAGCAGTCTTTTATGAATAACATTAAAAATATAATAGCATTAATATATTACAAAGATGAATATATTGTATAAATGTAATTTAATAAATTTAATCTATTACAGAAATTTAAAAAAATCTAAGTAAATAAATATATACAATTTTAAATTTTGCTGAACAATGTGTCCGCTATAGATGGAATATGTACCTATTGAAAATGGAAAATGTTTTTAAATGATAGGTTACAACAATTTCCATTTCATGCTTAAAAAAGTATTAATTTAGGATTCTATGTCAATAAATAAAAGGAGGAAAACAAAACGCGACAAGACGGTTTATTTATTTTATTTGTCTAGCGTGTACTATGTGAAGCTGTCTTGTCACATCAAACGAAATGTAAAACACGAGGACGAGGTAAGTACTCCATAAATCAATAAAAAGCGTTCACTGCTACTACGATTGCTGCTTCTAAAATACAAAAAGTCTGACATAATATAATTATCTCTTTACCTGTCGTCGTACAGCAGCCGCTTCGCACAATACATAGTGGAACGAAAAGACCGGCAAACATAATTGGAGTGCCAATTTCCAATTAGGGATTTTTTAATCAGACAACACCATTGAAATAACCACTTCAAAATTTGGCCAGACACGAGCGACAAACCACCCAAAAAGCGTCGGCTAAAGCTAAGATGGCACTAAGCACCCACCTACCACCTAGAGACCAAGTGCCAAGCTTACGTAGTAATACTGCATAAGCGTGTGAAACGCTCCCAAACGTCGCTATAGAAGTTTGCCCCTGTACCCTAAACACGAAAACATAGCAAGAAAGTATAGACCAGGGTCGATAATTTTTGAGACCAAAAAAATTATAGTAGGATGAAACCCATTGGAAAAGGTAGAGAATAGAACAAAAATGAAAGGAAATAGTATATTTCATTACTAGTACGGAATGGTTGTCATTGCAAAGAGTTCCGACAAATGTCTACCCGAGCCGAAGGCGAGGGTTGACAGTCGGAACGAGTTGCAATGACGGTTCCGTACGTGTACTGAACGACTATTTTTAATACAGTTGCGAAAAAATGAAGCAATTTAATCAAATTATAAAAACACAATAAACTCAATTAACTAATCATTTATTTCTTATAAAAGTTATAATTCACATACACATTGAAATTGGTACAATTCTTTATACTAACTGGGGAAGTTTTACGTTGCATATTTACTGTTTGAGACAAACTATTATTAATTTCGTATGATTGTTCATGTATATTTGTCATACAATGGGGTTTGCTAGTTGATGGAATTGGATCTGATGAATTATCATTATCAACGAAGGTACTCGTAGATGGACGAACGTTCTCTTCAGCATGTGAAGGAGACGGACTGGACCTTAAATTAATGGATTGTGTGATCTTTTTCCCAGTTTCTAGTTTGTTGTTTAATGAATCACCAATATAGCTTTCTGCAACTTTGTCCGATTTCCAACCACCTAGTTGCTTTAAGGACGTCAAATTGGCTCCTGAATCTGCCAATAATGTAGCAGAGGTCCTTCTGAAGCTGTGCCCAGTATAACACTCAGCATCCGGCAGACCAAGAAACGTAGCTATTTCTTTTGGCATATTACCAAATTTGTTTATGCCGATTACTTGAGCTGTACACTTCCCTATTTGGAAATTTTGAAAAAAAACGGTCGGATTTTCCTTTTTGGGACCGCTGGTTCATATATTTTTTCACTATTGTGAGAAAATCTCCTTCAACAACAAAGCTTCGCGGTATCTTATTTTTTGTGTTTGGAATCTTGATAAGTAGCATTTCTCCATGGGCTTCAATATCTTTTAAAGTAATATTGGCTAACTCCTCTCTGCGGCAAGCTCCAACAACGCCAAAAATCAGAGCAACCTAGAAAACGATTTGATTCATATAACTAATGTATTGACTGTATTTTGCGATTTTGTAAACTGAACACTAAAGAAAAATGTAGATATGTATACTTATTAATAAATTACCTTTGTGGCTAAATAACAATCATCGGGAGCTTCTTTCAAAAACCTTTCCACGTCATTCGATGTTAATATTTTCGACTTTTTACTGGTAAACCCGTCTGATTGTCGTTTTAAGAAAGAATTTAATTTTGGATATTGACTTATATCCACGTTGTTCCTTATTTTCAGCATACTTTTTATCATCGAAAACCTTGACCATAACGTAGAAGGTTTTAATTTTGCTGAGAGTTCGGAAAAGTATGCCAACATAACATTTTCTGAAAAACTATTTGCTTTTTTCTCTTCTTTCCACGCAATAAATTCATCATATGTAGATATGTAGCGAATTTTTGACTTTTCCGGTAAAATGTTCTCCGAAGCATTTTGTGCAATTATACTGAGTTCCGGTGGAGTTAATTCAAAAAAATTTAGGTCGAAATTACTCATTTTGTGTAAAAAACAACTAAACTCGCAAAGAAAATTTCGGAAAATGGCGCCAACCGTAGAATGTAAGCAGTTTTTTTTCACCCATTCTGGTAGGCAAAGGGAACTGCCCATACAGCCAAGTCTTTAGTACTTAGTATTTTTTATTATAAGAAATGAAATTGAAATTTAATGATATGAAATGAACTGAAACCTTACCTAACTCATTCAATCAATTAATTAATTCTGATATTGGACAAATTAGTATAGGTAGCTTCTTTTTAAAAACAAATAAACCTATTTGCATGAATCGCAAAATCTTCTATGATTTTTTTTAGTTAAAACTTCATGGTTGTTTTTTTAATAGAAATAATTTTGACAGTTGGGAAAGAAAACGCACGAGTTCGGGAAAGGCAAAAAAAAAGCACGAGTTTGAAATAGCCCAGATCCGCTACACGTCCCTGCAATACGCCACTTTTTCAGCAACTGTATTAAAAATAAATTACGGGCGATCTGAGGTCGGAAATGGGGAGGGGGTAAGGGTAAAAAACGGGTAATCTCGATTGCTGGTAAAACTGCAAATCCTAAAAAAATTAAATGGCAAAGTTGTTTCGCGCAGGTGTACAGCCCTAAACACAACCTTCGTCCCTTTAAATACGAGCTACGACGCGAATTGTGCAGTATTCAGAGCGGACTAGAAGATTGGCGCGATCTATACGATTGCATCAAAATAGTGTGCAGAACATTTGTTTACAAACATTTTATGCAAAATTTCAGCATTGCTAACCTGGTATTGCGTTTAGCCTCTGTCTCCAACAACACTGTGCGTAACTTGTGTAAGCGCACAGTGTAGCACACTTATGCAGGAACATGTTTACTGAACAGTTTTCTGCCTTCAATTGTTTATATGTGCTGGCAGAAAAAAAACAGCGTCTTGTTTTTTACTATTTTTATAATCATTGTGACTGGAACCCCTTAGTAGGGGATAGGTTTCAATAGCTTGAATAAATTTTATAGTTTTTTGATTTGTCCAATCCATATTTAACTTGTGCGCATTTAAACAATGTGCGCATAGAAATAAAAGTTTTCTCCCCGGTAGCGGGAGCAAGACTAGTACGCGAACAAAAACTATGAACGAGTCAACGCGAGTCCATTGCTTGCATGTATACCCGCACAAAAACGGGATTTACACTACCCAATTTTAAGGGCCCAATCGAAAGGGTGGGCGTGGCACCTAACTAGGGTAAGCAATTATTACACCGCGCCAATAGGCTAGTTGACCCTTTTTGGAAAAAGGTTTTAAATGGTTAATAAATGTTCAATTAGACCGAAAAAATATGTATTGCATTTTTTTGAGACCTAGAAAGCTACAAATCTTTAATTTTAAAATAGACCTTTCATGGACATACAAAAACGCTGTCGGTCATTTTAGTCTATAGATTATCTATGCTATGACGTTGACGGTAGTAAACAAAAACTCCTAAGCACGTAGAAAATAACCTATCTGAGTTTATAATAAAAAAAACATGATTTCTAATAGATACCACGAAAAATATAGTAATTATAATTATTGTATTGTACGAGAATGTAAAAACACATCCTTGAAGACTCCAGGAAAGTTGTGGATTAAAGTGCCGAAAGAAATTAACCTACGCAATACCTAGTTAGAACTTGCTAAAAGTGATCCTGCAACGTTATCGACTCATAGTAAAATTTATTTTTGCGAAGATCACTTTGATGTAAGTACTCATTGAATAATATTTGAAGTCTCTTCATTTATTATCAGTTTTAATAATACAAGTTTTAAAGTTATTTTATTTATAACAATCATGGCGGATGTGGCGAACAGCGTTTTTAGTGTTTAAAAAGTAGACTAAAAATTATTTTTTTAAATTAAATTTCTACAGCAATCTTCTACTTTCATGAAGTGAAATCAATATATTTAGGTTCCTTAGACCAAATACTTTAAGAAATAAACATTTATTTAATACAATTCGACATGAGTCAACTAGCCTATTGCCCTAGATCGGGTCCCTTACTCCCCAACTCACATTACACCACCCTATGTCTGGGTAAGGGTAGGGTTACCATTAAGGAATTTCAAAAGTCCTGACATTTCGAAAAATATCCGGTCTTTTTAGTCATAAAATGGTACAATTGCTCACTTAGTTACAATGGTATGGTATTTAAATCAATATGTACTTTTTTATTATTCACATTCCGGGCATTTTCAAGATCCGGACATGTCCAGACTAATCCGGACGGATAGTAACCCTAGGTAAGGGTCCCTTAAAATTGGGTAGTGTTAATCCCGCAAAAAGTATACAGTTCAGCACACTGGTGGAATCGCATCTTAACAACAGCGTCGAGAGACACACACGACGGATTAAAAGTGCCGCGTACAAAAAGTCCCTGGAATAATCGAGGTCACCGAGAGACCGGACAAAGGTACGCGGGAGTCCCGGAAAAAATAGAACTCATGTGACTAGGCGCAGCAACGCACCCGCACACCGTGTGCGTTGAGTCCGTGACAAGTCTTCGGCAAACATTTTTTTCACGATGCAGTGACTTTTGACCTCCATTGACAAAATACCATCGTCTAAGCAGGCTATAATATTCGGGTAGTTGACATGATTTAGAAAACGACCTCACGTTATTTACCTAAGTTTGTGGAGTCCATAAAAAGTGGATATTTTTAATTCTGTTGTGTATTTCAGTAAAAAAAACTAAATTAAAAAATAATATTTTAAGTTTTCACGAAAACGTTTCTCTGGACATTACGGCATCTTACTAGTGTGTGACGTCGCCAGACTGTCATTAAAACGTCAAACAATATACTGTAATGTCACTTTGGCCGCAAGTATACGAGCGTGTGACGTAATTTTACTCTTGATTAATTCTAGGCGTTTTCGGTATATTTTCGCTATTTAATAATATTTAGATTTTGTAGAAAAGTTATTAATTATTTGTTATTTCAAAATTGTCAAATCGCTGCTAATATTCATATTAAATACAGATGCCAACAATTGGTACATTATTTTTTATACTGTCAAATAGCCTATTGCGACAGCACTATGAACTCTTCAATATTACTTATTATGAGCGATTATTTTACTGAGACACGTAAGTTCGCTTGCTTGAAACGTCGCCTTATGGCACCCGTAAATTGAGTTAGAATACTTCAAAAAGACTAGATTACAAATTTTAAATATTTATATGAATAAGCTAGTACTTAATTACAAAATTGTGATTAAAATTACTATGGATACGAAATTCATAATAATGAAGAGACCAACAAGTTTTTTCTTAATATTATAAAACGAACCAATTTTTTGGTGGGGTACATCTATCAAAATCTACAGATCACATCAGTATTGATGTTACGAGTAACATTCCTGTACGTAAATAAATTGAAAATTGTACTACCAATTAGAGATCACATTTCTTTAAATTAATTCTAAGTTGCGATAATTTGACTGGCCTAAACGAGCACCGATAGCACGTATTTGATTGTGTAGCAAAAGATTACGACCAAAATTATGTTGAGATTGATCATAACCAGTGCTGTGTGCGAATATCAGTTGCGTTTGTTCTGTTGAACAATTATGAGTTTGTTCCTTTCCTTGGTGACTTTGGCAGCGGGCATATTCGTGGCCGGCATCAGCTGTTTTAAGTTCTGGCTGGGTATCACCGGTGCCTGAAAGTAAATGTTCATCTTTAAATTATTTAGACTTTGGTGGATTTTTAAAAAATATAAGCCAGTCATGCAATGACACTGACGAATTATAAATGATATGGAAGCATTACTCTCTAACCTCAGAATATTTTTTTTCCTTAAGGTCAACGATTTGCAGCGATTTTGCTGTCTCGATTTGACTTAAACTAGATTTTGTCCATACAAAAAATAAAAATTTGGTATTCTTGTATAGGTTAAATCGGGTTTTGATTAAATCGAGATTAAAAAATAGAATAAAATAAAAAATTGCTGCAAGTGGGCCTTAGAAAGGCATTTGTTTTTGAATATTACTAATGAAATGATGCGAGCGATAGTCAATGAGCGCGACAGGCTGACCGGTGTGTGGCACTTTTTCGCCCCGCCCACTTGATTGCAGTTTGCGTGGAACCACTTTTAAGCGCAGTTCGCGTTCCATATAATTTTTAATTCGTTTAATGACACATATTGCAAATGAATGGTACGAAAACTTACCGGATGACACCTGGCAATTTGCTTCATACGATCTACGAGGCGCATAGCGTCATCGGAAGTCTCAGAATCTGTCGTCATGCCCACAGATAGAGCTCTCTCCGCATTTCCCGCGTCTAAACATCGGTGCATCGTGTGGAAAGGTCTGGAAATATATAAGATAATATCAATTTGCCGCCTTTCTTTTAAACTCGAATAGATAGTGGCAACTTTAATGTGAGTCTACCATAGTGAAAAATATTTAGAGTGCTATTGGTAATTTATGAATTTACACTTGCACGTTGATATACATAATGAGAAAACGACTACACGAAACGAAAGTTGCCTTACTTTGGAAGCGTAAAGGAACACATCGTGGTCAAAACACAACTGAATGAAAACTGCACAAAAGTCGCGTGTGCAGACTTTTTCTTCCGATAATAGGGATGATGACGGGGTAAAGAAAACGAAATTCTATTTAGTCCGTCAGTCATATTATCAGAAACTAATGGACAATTAGTTTTTCTTTTGTCAATCAACCAAAAAGTGACAAAGATATCTAAAGGGAGTCAAAGTTTGGGAGTGGGGCTCGTGTCGTCACTTCTAAGCAAAAATATTACTAAGACGTAACGTCATGCGACATTTCAAATCAATATGTTTGATTATGTAAAAGAAAAAAAAAATGCGTGTCTAACACTTTTTGATAGTCTACTCTACCTGATAGATGAAGAAAAAATGTGAGTAATCCCTATTGTTTGAGCGTGATTTATTTTTTGTACGTCAATACCGTAGCTCATATAACAAACACACAAACTTATAACAGAGATAGAGATAGCTTTATACAACAAAAAACAACTAATTAGAAACAATATGGAATACAAACTGCAGTAAAAAGTGGTTCCACGTAGACTGCAATTAAGTGCGTTGGGCGAAAAAACTGCGATCAATACACCGATCGTGTTATTACCAAATAAAAGGATAGCTGATTTCATATGCAGTATTTGATCTGTCAAAGTATTTTGTTTTGTCTGTGTGCGTGTCGCGTTACTATTGAAGTTTATTTGTATGAGTTTGGAACCATTTTTAGCGGCCTTTGTGAGAGAGTAATGCTTCCATATCATTTCTAACTTGGTTTACAAAAAAAGGATTAAGGCGCCTCGCGCACTAGACGGCCACGGCCAGTGCCCGCAACGACTAGATTAACTATGGAAACCATACGAACGTCGCGCACTTGGCCGCAACGGTCAAATTTAGTTAATCTGGTCGTTTCGGTTTGGTTTCGGTCGTCCGTCTAGTGCGCGAGGTGCCTAAGTAATAACACAACTGTAAGGCGTCGTCCTAATTGGCAACGATCGTGCGATGCCGCGATGCGATCTCATTGTACGATGAAAATTATGTACCTTACGAGCTGTATTAGGACACCTCTGAAGAAATATGTATGATTGCAAATCATCGCAAGACAAGAACGCATCGTGACATCGTACAATCGTTTGCCAATTAGGGCGACGCCTAACAATATGAATACGCACCGTGGATTGTTATGTGGTCGCACCCTCTGCGCGTGCCTCCAGGCAGCGGCGGCTCTCGACCGCCACGCCGCCGCTTCGTCCGCGGCCGCGGCAACGCCTGCCTCTAGAGCCGCGCAAGCCCCACGTAAATCTACCACCTATATCATTCCATAATATACAACTCTGAGAATGAATAATATACGAATGAGACGGCCTCCGTGGCAAAGTGGTTTGTACGCCGGGTTTCATGGTGTCGCCGACTCCAGCCCCTCTAGCATGACCACAGAAACGGGATATGATAAAGCGATATATCGACATTAACTGTCAGACTGCTATGGAGTTTGACAGTAGTCTGACAGTTAATGTCGATATATCGCTTTATCATATCCCGTTTCGGTGGTCATGCTAGAGGGGCAGAGGTCCCGGGTTCGAATCCCGTTGGGGGCAGATGTTTTGTGTGATGAATACGAGCATTTGTACTCCAGTCATGGATATTTAATATGTGTTTCTAAATAAATATACTTATATATTGTACAGTATATTTATTCTATCCGTTACCCTAGTATCCCATAATGCAAGCCTTACAGTGCTTGGCTACTTTGGGGCTTGGCTAATTGATGTGTGTTGGAAATATTTATTTATTTAATATGTACAATAATAGCCTTAATCTTGTTCGATGCGGGTATACCTACGGTGCAGTGGTATTTGCACACGGGCGCAGTGGTCTTAGTGCCTGTCCACGTCGCGACGTCGTTAACGTGGAACGGTTGGGTGTCACGGCACGGAGCGTTGCTCCATTGTGCTAGTGTGCGGTATGGCAATGTCGCCGTAGGACGCCGTGGCTACGACAACTTACGTTAGTGAAGAATGTGTAGAAAGGCCAAAGGGGAAGATTTTCCTCCGCGCTGGGTGATGGTAGCTAGGGAGCCGCGGCCCGACTGATGTTGGTTGGGCATTGTATATATGGAGTGTTAGCCTGCTTTCACTTGCGCGATGTAGATTTCCATGCTTATTGTTCGCAGTGTCGGTAGCGCCATCTCTTGAAGAGGCGAGTGATTATTTCCTCCATCCTTTGGTACCATGCCCGCCAGAAATGTACTGGAATTTTACAAGGCACGGCGACGTGAAACTTTGCGGTGTCGTGACGTTGTGACTACGGTAACATAAATTTGCAAGTTATCTAAACGCACTGTGCCGCGTTACCGCACAGTTTCACGTATTGTAGTTGTCGACGTCGTGACGTGGACAGGCACTTAACATTTCTGGACTGTTTAAACACCGAAAACGATATGAGCGTTTGTCCACAACCGCCATCACCGTAACGCCGAAGTAGCGACACATACATTTGCTAAAGCGGCTTGTCCACCACAAGCCCGTCATCCAGAAAATCTGACAAAGGAAGAAGAAAGGAGACGGTCTGGTGACGAGGCCGGTTAACAAACGTCCTTAAGCGTAATGATTGCACAACGGCGCTACATGGGATAAAACGCCTCTGATCTTGTTTCTTTACAAGTAGAATTGTAAAATAATGATAAACTTTATCATCATCAGCCTATTAGTCCTCACTAATAATTGTATTATTAAGGAAATATTCAGGATTAATAATCTCTTATCTAATAGACAAGTCCGTCCATCCGTCCGTGGTGCTGTTTCAGCGGCCAAACCGTAAGAGATAGATATAGAGAATGTTTAAGTTATAAGTTGAGAATAGTCTGATAAGACTACAAACCGGATGTGAGTAACGTAGCACTTCCGGTTTTCGAGAAATCACGTGATTTCTATTTCAAACGAAACCACACAAAATCTCCGAAGTTCTCAATTAATTAAATACATTTTTTTTGGTGAACATTTGGTTCACTGGTTTGCTAGTGTTAATCTCATTTTGTAACACTTTAAAAAGTGTGAGTATAAAAATGCACTGCTAGTTGGCAAGAGCTTTGTTAATCAGCCAAATTTTTTGTAGTTGAAGAACATCATTGTTACACTGTTACACAAGATATTATGAATACCAATCCTACCTTTTGAAAATACCTATAGAGTAGGGTTTTCATTTCGTCATGTGACAGTTTATCCAGCCTGGCCATGAGCATTTGTTCGCCACGTGTCCTGGACTCCCGGTTGTCATGGGAATCCGAAAGAGAAGCTGAAGGGGACTTGCCACAAATCAAATTATTTTTGTATTCTATGGCTGTGTCAATAGCTTCAATGGCTTCTTCACATTCCAACAACTTTCGTTCCTGCAATATAACAATTGTAAGTAATCATTTTTAAATAATCTAGACTTCTATCTAATATACACATGCATCTTTTCCTACCTCAGAATCTGACAATGATTTGTACATCTTTCTTTTATGACCTAAACTACACCTCTGTTCATGTAAACATTCTCTTGTTTTACGTAGATTTTTTATTTCTTTCCTGAGCATTAGTTCTTTTTCCTTGGAAAGTTGCAAGTTCTCCAAATCATTTGTTTTTTCTTTCAAAATGTTGTCTAACTGAGTTATCCTGTGAGTAAAGTGTTTGAGAGAATGTGCTTTTCTGTCTTTGAGATCGGTTGATACAGATGTTTCAGAAAGTTCATCAAGTTTTAATTTGTCTTTCACAAGTTCAACATCCAAAGTGTTTTTCCGTTTTTCATCTTTCTTAATTTGTCTTTTAATTTGTTCAATTTGCTTCTTGTAGGTTTTTAGGTTAGTTTCATGCCGTCTTAGTTCTTTTTGTGTATCTTGATCTATTAAATTTCCATCAATCCTATCTAAATAATTTTTATTATGATATGTTACTGCTTTGGAAAGATCATCAATTAATCTTTCTTTAGCAATGCACAAGTTAATTAATTCCTTTAGTTGTGTTTGGCTGCTGCCTATCTCTTTTGAAAGCTTTCTAGCTAAAATTTGTTTCTGAGTATACTTTTCTTTTATTACCTTATATTTTTTACATATTTCTTCTGTCTTTGGAGAGTCTATCATTTTTAATAATTCTCTTTCAATCAGCTTTGGTTCTGGATCAAGATCTTTCTTATGAGATTCTATAATAATTTTTTGAGATTCAGGTGATATTGCTTTTGCAGCAACTTTTCTAAGCAATTCAAGTTCTGCTCCAGATAAACTTTCACCTGGATGTATTGTTCTCCTGCGCCCAGAATTTGATTGAGATGTCATAACAGGCAAAGAATGAGATCCACTGGTTTCAGATATAGTTATATCATCAGAGTCAATATGATTTAAGTATTCTTCACACCTCTCAGCATATAACTGATCATTTTTTTCTCTAAAATATTCCATGAACTTCTCAAGCTTATCTTGAAACACAGTATCGGAATGATTATCTTCCTCTGAATCACTTTCTACATCAGTTTCACTAAGTTCACTTGGCTCAGTATCTTCAGCTATTCGTGGGAGTCCTTGCTTTTGACCAACTTCCTTATTATCAACACCAACATCAGTATTTAAACATTCATCACATTCAGCTTTTAAAAATAACCACTCTGTAACTTGATTTATATCAGTCTCAGTTAAGGACTTAGACTGAAGTATTTTATTGAACAAACCTTCAGCATTTGAAACTAGCTTTATCCACTGAGTTGTAGCAAACTGTAAATTAAAGTTGTTGTCGTTTTGTTGTGCCATACCTTTATCTGTATAGACTGGAGTATTATTGTCAGCAAAGAGGTTAACTGTCACAAAGTTTTTTATACCTCTGCAACACAAGCAGAGATTGAGTATTTTTAACGTATCTTGATAATCTTCTGGTTCTGTACTAATACATCCTATTACCCAAGTGAAAGCTCTGCCTCCAAAAGAATCTTTAAGCATTGCTGTTAATATACATTGGTCATAATTAATTTGTTTAGAAGGATTGCCTGCTAATAATTCTTTGATGATACTTTCTAAGGCAAACAGTCCAGGATCTGGGTATGCTGCTAAATCACAAAAACTTGCAGTAGACATTCTGTGATTGAGGACACCATTTGTGCCGACCCATTTTTGCTCGACACTTACTGTGAATACAGTGTGGTTATTTCCTAGGCATCTTTGTCTCCATCCTAATTGCAAATATTGAAAAGCTTCTTCCAAATTGTAACATCTTGCCAATCCTGCTCCCAGTACATCAAAAATATTGTTGTCCACTATTTGCATCCATGTAATATGTAAAATAAATTCTCTTTCAGGCATTTGAATGAGCTTATGAAATATCTCTGTGAGGAACCGAGGAACTATGCCTTGGTCACTTTCACTGTGAATGCATTCGAACCCTGAAAATAATGTATAAATAAATAGGCAATCAAAATATTATTTAGTACACATATGATTACTTTGACAACAAAAATATGAAACACACCAGAACCAAACAGTGTATAAGTTTTTCCAGTTTTTGGCTGACCAAATACAACCACCGAAGTATCACAGCCGTCTAAAAAACAGTTGATTTGGGGAACCATGAATGAATTAAAAAGATTAGCTTGAGTACAATCAACTGGCAAAGCTCTATTCACATGGAAAGTTTGACCACTTTCTGTAATAACAATCTGTGTAACGGGATTACTAAAAATACACTGTGTGGAGTCCGCAAGACTTGGAGGTTTGAGTCTAACTGCAATTTGAACAGGGATATCCATTTTAACGTACAAGTCGAAATACAAGAAACTCGGGTAAAAATGAAGCACCAAAACTAACGATCAAGTTAGATAAGTACTTAAAAGATGATAATGAAAGCGAGCAGAAGATAAAATGTATTTCTTCAGACACAAATAAAAACGTAAACACTACATTGGGGCCTAGAGAACCATTTAACTTTATTTTTATTGGCTTGACAACAACGACATATTTTTTTTATTTCTATTCTTCTTTGTTCAGAAAGGCAAAGGAACAGCCATGCAGCCATCGTCTTATTTTTGTATTAATCTTCCTTTTTTTTACATTAGAATGTGGGTGTGACGCATTCTAATGCTTCTGGGGGTGTTTGGCACGAAATATATCGAGTTGGCTTTTCCGATAAGCTTCTGTGAGGTAGTCAATACTACAATAAAATTCTCACGTCCACTTGACCGGAATAGCGTATATTTAGATTGCACTAATTCTTCAGTTGCGCAGACGGATATAACACAAAATCACACCAATTTTATTTCACAATATCCACTATGAACAAATAATTATAAAAAAGAATAATTATAATAAGACGCCAACCGCACTCGATGAAATCCCGCCAAAAAACTACAACAACGACAAGCGCTAGGCTTGTTGAAAATATATCGATGTATCGATATATCGATATTTTTTGCCGATATATTTTGATTCGATATATCGATACATCGATACCAAATAACCAATATCGAAATTCGTATCAAAAACGATATTTTTCTAATTATTAGCGGCATATCACGATCTAACTAAATTCGTATCTGGAAAAATCGTAACTGGATCTCAGATTAATGATATTCAACATATCTATGATCTGTGCTGTAATTAGTATTGTCTATTATTTGTAAATCTGTTTCGCTGGTGAATTGGTTGTGCTGATTTCCATTATATTCTGTGAAGTGTGTGACTGTCTAGTCTTGTTTACGAAAGAGACCCTGCAATCATTTACCTGAGAGGCCCTGCAATCATTTTCATCATTCGAAAATAGGGTCTATTTTTAGGGAGATAATTTTCGTTCCATTATTATTCCGCGTGTCATATTTCGTGATACTGTACGATATTTTTGGGAAAATTCAATGAAATATCAATATATCGATATTTTTCAACTTTCGACATCCCTAACAAGCGCTAAGCTAAACAAGAATGGAGTGTCATTTTTGACATTTGGCTTTGAATTGACCATGGACTTATGCCGGCAATATATCTATCTGTCGTGATACTGTTGTCGACCTCGACACACAAATATAATTCTAACCGTACCTACTAATTAAATGAAACCGATACCCCTCTAACTCGTCATGAGTCATGATATAATACGACAGTCAAACCTATATATTTCCGGCTTAAATCTCGACATATAACCAGAACAAGTTTGTCTCCTTTAGCATACATATTAAATACATCTCAAATTCATAGTTTTGTTTCGTTCCCGAAATTGTCCATATAAAACAGAAAAAATGACTAAGGCAGCTTATTACGATTCAGAGGCCAAAATTGGAAGATGTTTTAGACTGGATAAGAATGCATCAATATATACAGCAGATACCTATGGCATATATACCGCATTGAAATACATTAGAGGAATAACTGCCGGAAAAATATTAATTGCGACTGATTCATAATGTGTCTTTACTTTCCTGCAGAATGTTAAAATTTTATATAAAAAATATATGTATATTATCAGAACCAGAAAAACACTGCTAGAAATGAAAGACAAAGTAATTGAGTTTATGTGGGTACCGTCTCATTCAGGAATAACGGGCAATGAAATTGTTGATAATCTTATGGAAATCCAATATCCAAGTTCTGACAATTCTCAATTTTACACACCTTCAGTATCTTTAACAGATTATGGCTCAACGTTAAAATCTCTGCCTCTGTTAAAACGAATGTTTGATAATTGAAATAAGGACTGAGAAGCCAGCAAAGTGTGTCAGAGAAGTTGGTATGCTAGGGATGTCGAAAGTTGAAAAATATATCGATATATCGAAATCGATATCGATATTTTAAAAAATATCAATATCGGCTTCGATATATATTGGACCTATTTTCCCAAAAATATATTTAGGTCAGCCTAGCACAGTAATAATAGTTCAATACAAATTATAATTTAAGAAAAAATATCAAACTACCAAATTGCCGCTACACTACATGTCAGTACAGTATCTCACAAAATATGACACGCGGAATAATAATGGATCGAAAATTATCTCTCTAAAAATAGACCCTATTTTCGAATGATGAAAATGATTGCAGGGCCTCTTTCGTAAACAAGACTAGACAGTCACACACTTCCACTGAATATAAGGGAAATCAGCACAACCAATTCACCAGCGAAACAGATTTACAAATAATAGACAATACTAAATACAGCACAGATCATAGATATGTTGAATATCATTAATCTGAGATCCAGTTACGATTTTTTCAGATACGAATTTAGTTAGATCGTGATATGCCGTTAATAATTAAAAAATATCGATCGCAGACTCGATTGTGCGAAGCGATGCTGTAGTTGAAACAACGTTAATCATTAAACCCCTTCCACACATACACAACAAGATCGCCAATTTCAGTTTTATTTGTTGCCTCTGCTGAACGGACTCGCTTGTATTAGGATGCCTCTTACCAAGAAGCAAAAAATTGGATTAATCTTGGCTCTAACTCCAAATTTAGATAAGAAAAAAAGAAAAAGAAGACTGGACCAAACAATGGTTATTAAAAAGGAAGCCATTGAGTCACTTAAATATAGTTATATTATATTTAAGTGACTCAATTAATAAACTTAAATATAGTTATACTTAAAGAGTAATATTTTTATCAATATTTTTCGACTTCTTCAGCAAAATCTCTAAGGAATTATGCCTTGCTTGTTTATTTTTTTATAATGGGTTAGACACATCCCAAAGGCATGGCAAGTCTTTATATATATCTAAAATCTCCTCCATAATATTTCCCGTTCAGATTGAATAGACATAATATTGTCGTCATGTTGCTCCATCTTTCTTCTCAAAAGACAAGTCAACGCACACACCCGCTCTGAACGCCGTTTGCACAGTGACTATAATAAAAAATTGGCCAGTTAGCGTCCACACCACCCGATTTAATTGGGCAATCCCGAATCGGGCGATACCGACCATTCAATGACCTTCAATTTCATATTTCCGTCCACACAACACAATTCGATTGTCAATCTAATCAAATTGGACGTAAAATTGTATCGTGTGGATGCCACTTTATGCCGCATAATGCGTTCTAGTGCTGTATTGGGAAACTATCAAGATGTATAACAATGATGAATAGATGGATGGATGGATTTATCCAAAGACGTTAAATGTTTAATAAAAAAAACTAAAAGTTAGGCTGTAAGGATATTGTTCCTTTTGCCTTCCCTGAAAAGCGAGGACGTAAAAAAAATAGGACAAGCTGTCTTAATGACAGTGATCAGTGACAGACAGTGTCCATCCTTTACATCTACTCTTTGCTACTATCTCTCGCTAAAGTCCACTGTATTTATACAATTTCACTTAAAATTATCATTTACAATTTATCTAAACGTGAGGTATCATAAAAGACCAATGATAGAGATGGAGACCGCAGGAGAACCAGTGACAGAGTTTGACAAACCGTCAGATATAGGTCTAAAACTCAAATTGAATCATGAACATCCATTGCAGAGTAAACAAATTATTAAACCGAAATCGCATCAAATTGTTGAAATGGTACCACTTTCGGCAAGGTAACTTTGCAACCAATAATACATTGGTGACATTTATAATTATTAATAATTCTAGATTTTTGTTCAATTGTGACATTAAATTTGCAGATATTTAAAGTACTATATAGGCAAAAAAATGAATAAAAAGCGTCCTATCATGGATTTTATACATCTTATTTCTGCACAAAGAATATATGGTGAGTATGGTGATCTTAATATGCAGAATAATAATAACTTTAAAATATGTTGCTGTAGGTTTGTGTTTTTAATATGAATTAACACATAATTATATTAGTATCACATAATATTAATTTTCTTTTTAGGGTGCCCTATTGGTGGCATTGGTGGAGGTACTATAGGCAGAGGCTTTAAGGGAGAATTCTGTCGTTTCCAGCTGAGTCCTGGTCTCTATGAATATGTTGTAGTTCCTGAATGCCAATTTATTGTCAATATTCAGAATGACAAGAGAGAAACCTTATTCCAATCAGTGCTTTCAACCTATGAGTGAGTATTTTGTTATTTTATTTACTTTCTGATGATGTACATTTCTTCTATGAAATTTACCCAATACATTGCTTTAGTTATAAAATATATACCTTCAATTTATACTTAGTTATCAGATTAGAGTTTAAGAAGGTATGGGTACCCAGTATGCTCATGATATATTCTATTTGATTCGTATACTTTGAGATGACTCATTCCAGGACATTAGACTTACATATAAAATATGTTCTAGGAAACTCTTGTTTAAAGTTATATTAAATAAAAATAGTAGACATTCTGTAAGTTTATCAGTCAATGTCATAATATGATTATTGCAACTTAAATGTCCAGGTAAATTTGACAATGCTCTAATAAAAATTAATTAGGTACTAAGATTACAATTTTAAGTTTAATTTCAATATTATAAAAAGACAATATCAATAAATAATCAAAAATTCAAAATATATTTACATGAATAAAATTTTAAAAGTTACTTTGACAAACTTACGAATAGAACAGTTAAACAAATCAATAAAGTCAATATTTATTTAATTTTTACTTTAAGCATATAACTGCTAGATTTATTAAACTAAAGCAAAAATTTACAAGAAAGTATTTCATGCATTACAGGCATTAGACAGGATTTGAGCCTATACCTTTGACTTTTCAGGTGTAAATATTATTTCTGATGGAAACTTATATCTATCCATAAAAGAACTTGAATTCTTTAATTTGAAAGAGTTTTTATCCGGCTGTGTAATGCAAGAGTGCGAAGCGCGGCGCGCAGACAGGGTTATGTGTTTAACAGTCTATATATGTATGTTTGTTCCTTTGTGGCACACTAGAGGCCAAATGCCTGGACCGATTTTGATGATTCATACATCAATCGATTCGTCTCAATCATGGGAGTGCTACTAAAGATATGATAGTAATCAAAATTCTATATGGCCAAAATTAGGCGCCATATTTTGACGAAGTAAAAAAAATAAGTTGACAAAATATGTTATCTAGACAGTGATATGAGTTATCACTGTCTAGATAATCAAAAATCATATTTAGGTTCCTAACACCATTTTTCATTTTATATGATTGTTTAGGATCTACAACGCTTTAAAGTTGTATATTAACCACTTACGCTTTTAATTTCAATCTTACGTTTGTATAGATCTTTGTTACTCTTTCACCTAAAAAATACTGAATGGATTTTAATGAAACTTAACAGTAATATAGCTCATATATGATAATTACATATATATAATAATTTATGTAGTTATTGAGTGAATTGGCCAATATTGAACTATAAGTGTCACATAAGACGGAAAAAAATCTCCCATCTGCAAGCCATTTTGGCTTGCACTGCAAAAACAATAAAAGTTACATGAATGTAATGTAGAGTGAAAATGTATCTCTTAAATAGTTCTAAAAAAAAGTCCGTGACACCATATATCTATTTTTAATGTGTAAGTCATTAGCGCTAAAATAGTGAATCAAAACTAAAATATTATTTGATGTCTATTTCTAAAATGCACATTTTGTATTAACAAATCATTTTTTATCAAAACAAATACTTTTATCGCTTTTGATATTTAAAGACAATAAACTTTGCTTTTTACACAATGTCATTTCGACAAATATTTAAAAAGTTACAACGATGACAAAGTGATAGCGCGGTGTACTACGTAAAAGAAATAAAAATGGGGTATTCGCAGTTTTTTTAACGATATTACTTAATGTCACAAAAATGGTTTACTTAATATAATGACAAATAACCCATTTTTCGCTAGTAAGTACATACTTATTGGAATCCCTGTATTTATTAATCAGCTCGCGATAATATTGGTTTTGTAATAATTCTGCAAAATTCAAAAGTAAATAATGTAGATTTTTATAGGTAAATCACCCCTTTCACCACCCTACGCCTATAAGTATTGCGATGTTGTAGCTAAGAACCAAGTTCCCATCTACTTCTATATGGGAATTCATTATATTCGATTTAGCTATTAAGGCACGGAAGCGCAACAAAGAAACTCACTTTCGCATCTATAATATTATATTATACTTACTAGTGATCCACCCGGGCATTGTACGGGCGAAATTTATTTATCGGGATAAAATATAGCCTATGTCACTCGGACAAAATGTATTTAAATAAAGAAAAATGTTATAATAAATAACGTAGCTACCTTATGATGAATTAATATTTGAAACCGGTTCAGTAGTTTGACAGATTATTTGTTACAAACATACATCTTGCCTCTTTATAATATTAGTATAGATAGTTAGGATAAGATAAGTATTCAATTGATGAAAAAAAATTAAAAATAAAGTAAGTAATAGGTTTATTTGATTATATTTGTAAAAGTTACTTAGCATTTGTGCTTAACAGTGATACGTTATTCGGTATTTTTTTAAACAAAAAAAAATTTGGTAAATAATTGCCATGATTGCACTACTGGGAGTACTTTTCATTCGAGCTTTACACTACCAATAAAAAAGGGTCGAACACCAAAGTCTTTATCCTGTTAAAAGTGAACGCTTTAAAAGAAATCTACAAAGAGAACTATAAATTGATAATAAATGAGATTGCTATGGTGCTCTACCTAACGTTATGAAAACTTTATTATGCGCCTTTAGTTTAATCAAATATTATACACTTTGCTTTGGTGATTGCATAATTATTTAATTTAGTGATAGGCAGTTGCCACCATTGTCCAAAACAACAGACGGGAATTACTGCTTTCTTCAACCTGCGACATAAACGTCATTGATTGGTATTGTATATAGGGTGATTAAAAACATTTGAAGTTAACTTCTGTCATCTACATATTGGGTTTCTGTGAATTATGTAGGTATATCAAATTATGAGACTAGGGACTGACACTGAATTTGTGTATATCACAATCTTAGACATGACAATGCAGCCACTGCCAATTTTAAGTAGTCGACGAATAAAAGTAAATGAATTTTATATTTACTGCTAAACTATTAAAAAAAGCATAAACAAAAGATGACTTTTTGAGTAAGTGCTAGTTTACTAAAGGACAATGTTAAAATTGGCCTAAGAACCAACACCAATTTGGCATTTATGATAATTCTTAGTATATTTTTTGCGATAATTTTCAGTATTTAGATTGTGACGTACACTTCCAGTTAAGTAAGCTAAATTAAAAAGTTAAAAAATAATCTGAGACAATAAATACCATTTTATATGTATAATCTATGGCAGCGCTGCAAACAAAACACTCTTTCTTCCTAATGCCGGCACTTCACTTGGCTATTCGTATTTGCTATTTTAAAACATGACATCAGTCTGTTCTTTTCATTCCTTATAAAGGTAGTTTTCCAATTACAGAGCATAATGCGACTCGTGGCGCTCAATGCCAAATTATGCTGATGCTTAATTGGAACGTGAATTAGTTTTCAAATGCACCAGCAGAGTGCGCTAAGTTCAGTGTTGAAAAAAAAAGTCAATGTACCTTCATCCATAATTATATTTTTTTTAAACACAGTTTGAATTAACTTTGATTATTTAAAAAAAACTACAATGAAACGAAAGCTTTAAAAATTTTTCAACAATAAATAATATTACTTACGATAACATATAAATAAAACATTTCGATCAATGCAAACTTAAAGAAAAAACACTTGTTAATTTTCTGTAGTACTAGTCGCGTCATGTAATTAGAACGCTGGAAGAAAGTGGAGAGGGTATGATTACGCATTTGCGCACCAAAGTGCTAGGCCTCTATTCTAAATTGTTTATCGATAGAAAATATCGATATTTTCTAAAATCGATCTTACCCTCATCACTTCGCTGCACTGAGTATATGATCTGACCTTGACGCGTCCAATCACAGCGGGGCTGACCTCCCTGCACCCCACCGACTTTAGCGATTTTGATTCCAAACAAAATTTGTGTGATGCGGACTCTAGTGGGGGTGCTCCATGAGTTTAGTATACCGGAAAGTGCATTCTCGTTTCGGAGTACCTGTTGTGTGTGTTTATTTGCGATTGTTTTTCCTAACTATTTTGGCTATCTAATATGCCATCGATGTTACCAAAGAGTAGAGCCCTTATTACCAAGTGCTAGTGAACCTGTACCACAACATCCTGAGAGGATCATACTGCCAAATTATTCAAGAACACCTGATACACAGTCACGCTGCATATTTACACAATATACCTACATGTGATATACAAATAAATACAATAAACAATATTATACAATTATGTGAAAAATAGTCAATAAATAAGAAGCATAACTACAGTTTTTATTTTATTCATGATTCCTGGTACCTAACCAAGTTTTTTCTAATAGTTATTCTTTAAAATCGCACCGAATAAAATGAATTAGTTGTAATATTAATTCACTTCATACTGAGTTTATACTAAATTCATAGGTTGCTCATGTTTCATTGAATATTAAACATAACCTCAAAAAATGTTTATTTTTCTTAATAATTTAAGTTCTCAGAAGTGTCCGTCAATAATCTTTGTTTTTACAGTCATTTACTTACGATTTTGAACCTAGAAAATAACATTTCATGATTGTTGGTTCTTAGGCTAACTATGTATGGACGCTGAACAATGTCCTTTACATACATTAGAGATATTCATGTAACGACTTGATTTAACTTCACACATTTTTGCGAAAATTGAGGCCCATCTGTAGCCTTGACCCCGCTGGTAAAGTCTTTATATGTTATGATTTAATTTATTTTTTAAGCATTTAACTGCTAGATGTTATCTTTATATGTCTTAATAAATCAATCTTTTAGACCGACGCAAGGTACTTAATAATTCCCGCGATATTAATTCCCTTACTGAAGTAACAAGACTACGGTATATACCGTCTTAAAATACTAACTAACTAAAAAGTGTGAAATAAAAAAGGTAAATTTAAAAAATCAAAAAACCCGACTGCTAAATTATACTTCAAATAAAAACTGAAAAGAAAAAAACAAGTCCAGTAGTCTATAATTCTGTTAATAAGGAACAAAGCTACTTTAACAGTCGGGACCCCCTGTTGAAAAATATTATGTATTCTTGAATATCTAATGGGTCCCGACTGTTAAAGTAGCTTTGTTCTTTATTAATAGAATTATAGACTACTGGACTTGTTTTTTTCTTTTCAGTTTTTATTTGAAGTATAATTTAGCAGTCGGGTTTTTTGATTTTTTAAATTTACCTTTTTTTTGTTTAAAATAGAGTTTTATATGGTCATTCTTTTTGATAAACAGAGACAAAACACTTCAAGACTTACCACAAAAAAGTTAGGCATTCAACACAAGTTTAAAAAGCAAATGTCATACAAATTTTTGTTAGTGTTTATCTTTATTGTGTACTACCCTATTGGGTTTAGTTGAAACCCTGTGTATGTGTGTGTGTAGTCAGCTTATTCTTCTTTTCATATAAAGAGGGATGATTTACTTGCACCTGCACATTTTAATGAAATTAAACCATTTCAATGTAATAATTTTTATTGTACCTTCAATAAAAATTACTACAATGGATTTATTGATAGCTTTGATAAAGGTACTTAATGAGAAAACTATGGTCTTTTATCATTCCGTAATTCCTTATCAATATTTTTTTGTAGTTATTATCAGTTGATTAATTAATTATCTTTGATTATGAAACATTACGAAAAACCTGATAAATATGGTAGTTTTATGATTCTATGATTTGGTTCTATGATTTACAGATAAATAAAATCTTATTGAATAAAAAACATTTAAATTTGTAACTCATACTTTTTCCAATTAAACAATTTTATCATTGGCATCCTATGACATCTCATCCTATTTCCTCACATATCCCAAACTAGTATTTCTAACTCTACATATCACATTGATTTAATATATTTACATAATTCAACCCAAATGAGTTCCTTACTCAACCCAAGGCAAATATAAGAAAAAAAAAGTATGGATAGCAAAATAATGTTTAATATTTTTTCAGAACAATATTAATATAATATAGAAATACTCTCCTGTTTGTAAAAATAAAATGTTCTTATTTTTACATTTGTTTTTTTTATTAGCCTTTTTCCACTAACATACCATAGGTAACATTCAATATTATTATTATTTCATTAGCATTAAATTAACATTGAAACTGAAATGTTTTATAGTTATGAATACGTGCGTGTATAACGCTTCTTATTAGCAAGTCGGGCAATTACCTAACTTTCGTAATTTCAGTTGGGTATACACTCGCCGCGGCTACACTACGCTACATCCTGTAAATTTTTTTTGCCCCATACATGTGTGTTTTCAGACAGTACACAAATTACACGGGAACTATTTGAGGCAAGAAAAAAAGTGTCATTTTATTCGTAATTACAGTTTTAAAGAAATTAATGTAGAAATATTTAGTGATTACAGTGGTATCCGTTTATATTTACATCGATGGGAATTGACAAACACGTCATAATAAGCGGACGTCATACAATGCGTTTTGTGAAAAAAATAATGTAAATATGTACTTATGTATTTTGATAGAGAAACATAGTACATAATATATAAATCAAAATAATAAGAGGCGTTGAGATGACATTTTTTGTACAAAACAATGATGAATGTTGCTGCGACTTCTTTGTTGTGTGTATTTTTAAAAATAATGTTTTTGTTCAAACTGTACACACAAACCTTATTTTTTTACGTAATTTTGCAATTTTTTTGTGAATTTAAATGAAATATTTTAGCAAGGAATATAATTAGCTTGAGTAAGGAAAACATAATGAGTAGGATGAGACGTCATAGGTTGAATACGGAACAACCCAAAATATTTTATCAGAGAGTTTAAATTAAACCCGTTTTAAACCAATATCCATGGTTTAAAAGCATGTAAAGGTTTTAATTTTGGGTGAACCAGTTTACTTGTAACTATTTGGGCTAGTTTCGCGATGATGGTTGTGAGGGGCCAACAAATGATAGACTGACTGTTAGTATAAGGCTCTTTATTATTGCTCTACATAAATTGGACTTATATTGGTGAAGGAACGAATTTGTGCTATTATTAGTATATACCTACATACTACCCACATAATTGTTCTATGGTGTTTCTAAATATCATAAACAAAACACTCTCGCTCACTGGATTTTCCCACTGCCTCTTGAGAAAGTAAAGAGGATGGTGGGTCCACTCCCGGGCATACCATCCATCCTACACCATGCGCTTTTGGCCTCTGCAAGTTGAGCCAACTTCACTACGCCCAAAGAAGGGCATAATATTTTATTAAGCAGCTCGGCTGTACCGTATGCAGAAGACAGAAAAGCGGGAAGGGCAATGTGGGAAATATGGCGAGTACGAGTAGTAGTAGACCTCTGAAACGAAAGAGGCTTGCTTCCAAGCGTAATTGGTTATTGCGCAATTTAAAATTATGGAGAATGTCTCCCTGAGCGAACTATCAATAATTGACAATTGCCCTGGAAAAAATGAGTACTACGTAAAAATATATGAATTTTGTGGCGAAAACGCAAAAACTAATTTATTATCTAGCCATGTAAGTGTGAGGGTTAATTTATAACAATTTTTCGGAAGACTGAGGAAATTTAGAAATTTGTTCATTAATAAAAATAAGAATAGCATCATCAAAATTCGGGGAACCTAGGAGACCAAGTAATTTAGTATCAAGAATTTTTATATTAGGAGCTAAAGCCGAAAATTTGGCGATAATGTATATATATAAAAATGAAACCCGTTTTCCGTTGTCACGACATAACATGAAAACGGCTTGACCGATTTGGCTGTTTTTTTTTGTAGTTTTCTAATACTCTGTACAAGGTTCTTACGGAAAAAAATATAAAGAAAATCCCAAGGGGATAAAATAAGGAATGAAAGTTTGTATGAAACTTTATCAATTTTAAACCGATCGGGCTGAGACTTTGCATGCAGGTATAAGAAGAATCATAGATGAATGTCATTGTGTATAATACAAGCCTGAGAAGAATAACTGTAGTCTACACTTCAGCTCTACACCGAAGCGAAGCGAGGGCGGACCGCTAGTGTGTTATAAATATTCAGGTGAAAATTTTGATGCTGGAATTAATGGCTCGCAATTTCAATATTGTAATTTAAGTCAAGGCCTTGAATTGAATTTATCAATAATGATGTGAAAATCAGAAAAAAAACGTTTAAAATATTGACAGCCATAGGTACCACACATAAAATTTTGAATTTAGTAATTCATAGAAGGTTGTATAGCCAAATTAAAAATAGCGGGCCTGAGTGGATCGAACAGCAAACCAACTAAAAGAAGTTTAGTTGGTTAGTAGCATTGCCAAAGATAATTATAAGTAGTAGGAGTTTTTTGTTGAATTGCTGAAAGCAAGGCACCTCTATCTGCGGAGTTGAAGGCGTTCTTGCTTGATATCCACCGTTACCACCTCCAAGAGACACCGAAGAGCGTAAACAGCTGCTTCACAACCACCCTTGGATTGATGGAGCCAACAGCTATAGAAATACCACCGTCTTTTTTCTTTAGAGCTATTAAGTTGGCTGCGTAAAAGATCACAACAATATCTTCAATAACGTCGTATGTCTAAATTAACCAAAAGCGTGGTATTGTGTAATAAGGCTCTACCAGAGTCACTGAGTGAGACGGAAATAAGGTCTTCTAAATGTCGTTGCGAAAGTCCACCACCACTAGTGACAGAACCACTTTTGAAGGAAAATATAGCAGACGAGATGTCAGTTTCTTTGCTTATTAAATGATCATTTTGTGTTGAATCAGGTGGCGAAGGTAGGAAAGGATTCGGTGTTGGTGGGGGGTGCTTATCTTCAAGAGCACTAAAGGTCTCCTCTCAGTTAATGACGACAACATCATTACTAAACAAGAGTTTTAGAGAAGGTTGGCGGCTCCTTAGAGATCGCCATTGCTAATTTTAGACCATTTACATATGAGAATTAGGAGGTCGAGAGGGAGGAATGACAAGAGAATGATCAGAAGGATTTAGGCGGCAGTTCTCCTTTATTTTTTGTGTTTGATGAAAAATTAAGTTTGCTGTTCATTTATCAAAGAAAGAAGTATGAATATATAAGTATGATGTGGTAAAACAGGTGGACATATTCTGGATTTTTTATTCCCTACTGAAGTTTTTTATTATCCCAAGTCCACGTGGACAAAGTCACGCGCCAATTCTAGTACCTACTTAATATTTTTTCTTAAAGAAAACCAAAAAAAGCACCACCTTCTTGGGAATGGAACTTAAACGCGGAAGACTGTGAGTATACTGCTCTGTACCCTCGAGCTTGGACAACGTATGACCTGTCAAAATATGGAATCAAGCTAATTTGTAGACAAATATCACCCGTCATACCGCACAACTATAAAGTGAGTGTTGTTTCTTAATCTTAACTTATGAATTATAATAAATATGTTGAAGTACTTAATTATCCTATTAATATTATATATGTGACAGTTTGTATGTTTGTTACTCAATCATGCAAAAACTATTGAACGGATTTGGGTGAAATTTGGCACGCATATAGTTTATGACCTAGATACTTTTTATCCCAGGAAAATGTTGGGTTCTTGTGGGATTCTCAAAAAACTAAAATTAAGGCGGCCGAAGTCGCGGGCGGCCGCTAGTTATATTAAAAGTATGTTTATGTATATATCTATTATCTTTATAGTTAGGCATAATGTCGTTTCCATTTCGGATTTTTAGATTATTGTTAAAGTATACGAGTAGTAAGTTGGTTTTAAGTTATCTTCATCGTTTTTATCGCTAAATATCGCACTTTTACTCATGTTTTATACAAATATATATTTCAAAGTTATTTTATTTATTACCCATTCAAACACTGCAGGAAAATATAGCCCGTAGAATGAAGATAAGCCTTACGAAATAAATTATATCATTTTATGAAAGCTTGTTGCTATATGCTTCAAAAATGTTTCAGGACAGCAGCCTGCCTTGTGCAGTATTTGTTTTCTCAGCACAAAACGTCAGCAATGAACATAGATATGTCAGTATAACTTTTACATGGACCGAGGTTCTTGGAGGTTCCAGCAAAAAGAAAACCACAGGTTATTAATCAATAATTATTAATTATCTAAAACAGTTTCAACAAGTTTATTGTTGTATCTGTATATATGTTATGGGCTAAGTGATTAAGCGTGCATTATTCATAATGCCCGGGCTATATGAATAATGCCCAATAAGAGCGGGCAATGTGATTATAACCAATCAATTTATCACATTGCCCGGGCATTATGAATAATGCCAAGTGCCTGTAAAGTGTGAAGTGGGCAGAGTGATGTAAAGCATGTTTAATACTTTCAAATGAATACTTAGTTAGATAGACCGAGCATTACAAGTAATGAAATCAACTATCGGGTAGAGTAATAATAAAAACATGTTTTATAGCTTAGTATTTATTTTTAAAATTTAAATAATCAGACTTCAGTTTTACTTCGATCAATTTACGAAGGGCTATATTTAGAAACTATAGTTTCAATGCAGTTTGTTTGAAAAATTCATTAAATCTGTTAAATGTTCAGTATTTATGGTTCCCTATTTTTTAGGATGCAAGGACTAGGGAAGTAAGAATTAGTACTTCTGCCTTATCTCCGGCGCTGCGGGAATAGCAGCCCCTCCGCCTTTGCGTGACAAAAAAGTCACAAGCATCACTCCTCTTCGCACCTTCGGCTTGTTTCGACCAGCCTCAGTCGCTACGGGTCGCACGATTCTTGCGGCTTTGTCACAGCAGACTGGGGCTGCTGTCCCTCCGCGCCTCCGGGCTCTAAAAAACACTCTAGGGGTAGGGCAGACAAAGACCACGGCGTGTCGCGGTTGACCAAGTCGGTTCTGAATTAAAGACTGTTGTAAAGCCATATTTACCTTTTTTTCTAAGTATTGAGCTCATACTATTTTTTATTTACCAAGATCTCAAAACAAACACAAAATGGCGAGACATCTGTCATTTTGACCATAGTACCAACTTTTTGAATTTATTCATATTGCCCGGGCAATGTGATAAATGGGTTTTTTTTTTTTTTTTTTTTTTTATGCTAGATAGGCAATGCGTTTGACCACAATCTCACCTGATGGAAAGCGATGATGAGGCCTAGGATGGTACACGCCTGCCTAGAAGATGCCTGTTCACTCTGGCCTTGAAGATGTCCAGGTTATATTGGTCCGGGAAAACAGACCTCGGCAAGGAGTTCCACTCCCTAGCCGTTCGTATAATGAAGGCCGAAGCAAATCGCTTCGTGCGAATGGGAGGAACTTCGACAACATAAGGGTGGAAGCCCTCGCCGCGCCTGGTCGTCCGGTGGTGGAAAGGGGAAGGGGGGATCAAATTATGTAATACCTCCGCACACTCTCCGAAATGTAACCGATAAAACACCGAAAGGCAAGCTACACGTCTTCGGTGGTCAAGGCTCTGAAGATTAGCCTCAACGAGAGCGTCATTGCCTATGAGTCTCTTCGCACGGTGTTCCACCGAGTCCAGTGCATCCAGCTGATACCGAGCAGATCCGTCCCAAAGGTGACAACAGTACTCCAAGCAGGAGCGAACTTGGGCTCGGTAAAGGTTAAGGAGCTGCTCAGATGTAAAATATCGCCTGACCTTAGAAAGTATTCCAAGTTTTCTGGCAGCGGTTTTAGCAATGGACTCGATGTAGCGACCGAAATTGAGGCTGGATGAGATGTCCATACCCAAGAGCTCGAGATGGTCTTTAACCGGCACGGAGACATTTCGGAAAGTCGGAGTCAGATGGAATGGACTCCGTTTCGTCGAGAAGAGACAGGCCTGTGTTTTAGAGGGATTGAACCCAACCAAGTTGGCTTAACCCCAGAGGGAAACAGCTTCTAGGGTTGCATTCACTCCCTCCACCATCGCCCCCCTTAATGATCGGACATCTGCATCAGACTTCACATCAGGCAGATATCTCCCCGAAACTGTGCTGTCGTCTGCATACCCAAAGATACCGGGAGTTAGGAGCAGATCATTGATGTGCAGCAAGAAAAGAGTTGCGGAGAGGACAGATCCCTGGGGGACACCGGCATTAATACCAAGCAGATCCGACGATGTGCCATTAATGACCACTCGTATCGATCTGCCCCCCAGAAAATCCGCAATCCAGTTGCAAAGTCCGACAGCGATTCCATATGATGGAAGCTTGCCAATGAGACTTGCATGCCAGACCCTGTCAAAAGCCTTAGAAATATCAAGAGAAACGGCGAGAGCTTCGCCGCGTTTCTCTATGGCTTCACTCCATAAGTGGGTAGCATACACAAGAAGATCCCCAGTAGATCGCCCACGGCGGAAACCGAATTGGCAGTCACTGAGGAGATCGTTATCTTCGAGGTAAGCGAGGAGACGGTTGTTCAATACACGCTCCATAATCTTACAGAGTATGGAGGTGATTGCAATAGGTCGATAGTTGGGTGAGTTTAGATTGTAATTAATCACTTGGCCCGATATGGCTGGGCATTATTCATATGGCCCTGGCATTATGAATACTGCCCGCATTAACCACTAGGCCCATAACATATACATCAATAAACTTGTTAAAGCGCACGAATCAGGCAGAAAAAATAATAAAAAGTTTTTACGCAATCCGAACGAATTCAATGACCGCGATATGCAACTTGTAGAAAACACTTGAGATGCAAAAAGGGCCACCGACATTTTCAGTGTCATACATCATCAAGAAAAGATGTGTCCGCACCCTTTCTTTTCTATTTGTTTTGCGACGCGTCGCTTCTATACGTTTTGTATAAAAAGGACGCAAGTAAGATATATTTCCGTGTTACGTCTTTTCTGTGAATTCCGCAGCTTCCTGTGAAACCTGTGGTATTTGTCGAATTCCTACTTGGTAGATATAGATAGGTCGCATCCCAGCGCCATCTCTTCACATTGAAGGTAACCACAATTTTCAATGAGATACTTTTACAAGTATTAAATATTCGAATGAAAGGACGCTGGTTCGATTCTAGCCTAATATCTGGTCTTAGATGAATTTGTTTTAGTCGTAAACATTTTGCAATTTTATGTTTAGCCAAAAATTTAATCATAAAGTTAAAAGGTGGTCTGTAGATACAATTTCCGACATAGCAGTATATGCCACAATATGATTCTGATTTTGACACTTCTCCTTTCCAATACTATTTGGCTTAAGTATTCTATTAGATTGTGGATACTTTCCCACCTAAAAGAGAAATTATTTTCTATTTGGACGATGATCCATTATATTTTGTAAACACAAACTCGAAATGTTCTTTGTTATTTTATTTATCACAGCCAAATTAGATCTCGAGAGATACGCAGAAGATCACACCAGCGGTGTAACTCTAGAGCAGAGGATTGACGAAACTCCTTGCACGTTCACGATAGCCAAGAAAAAGCATGAAAACGAAACTATCCACGAAGGTTACTGTCTATGGAACGCTAATAAAACCTCCGCGTATGTGTGGGAATGTCTGAAGAAGCACGGCAGGTTAGAACCGGACCCAAGTCTGACGCCGCCACCGCCTAAAGTGCCCGACAAGACGGAGAGCGAAGAGAAAGAAAAAAAGGAAAAACAAAAGAAGAGCTACAAATGTAAGTGTAGTGTGTTCTTATTGTTAGGTGTCGTCCTTATTCTGTATGTTTGAAAATCATCGCACGACGTATCTGTATGTTTGAAAATCATCGCACGACGTATATGTATGTTTGAAAATCATCGCACGACGTATCTGTATGTTTGAAAATCATCGCACGACGAGAACTCATTGTGTTCCATTAGGACGACGACTTAGGCTGCGTCTCCACACCCAGTCTCAGCGGAGCTAAGAAGAGTCTTAAAAAAACCGGACAAGTGCGTGTCGTGCAACGCGCAGTGTAGGATTCCGTAGTGGCCTGTCGTTACCACATTATATTCGACCAGGAGTCTTTATATTTTGTATCGGAATTTAAAAAAAAACAATATGAAACTATGTATCTCAATTTAATATTACGCAAACAGATCCCTAAATCGAAAAACAGTAATTTTAAAGGACATATTCAACAATACGCCACACGATAAGGTTGACGATGAAAAAAAAACATCCCCAGTTTACATGTAGGGGAGCTACCTTGCCTAAATTTTTTTTTCAAAATTTTATTCTACCATTTTGCCGACGTGATTAGTATACATATCTCCACAAAATTACAGCTTTCTAGTGCTAACAGTCTAGTAGTCCAAGCAAAACCGGGGACGGACAAACGGACATGACAAAACTATAAGGGTTCCTTGTCAGGACTACTAAAAATAGGCCAATGGTATTGCGCCTAAAATACACATCTCTTCTCCGCTCCGTTTCAGTGGAACCTGTATTAGCAGGCAGTTGAGTATAATAACATAAAAATTTATAGCACGCGGAGATAAGCTGGACAGAGCGGAGCGTTGTCATACTGAGCGCAGAAAAGCGGGTCGGAACGGAGTTTTCTTTTTGCTTAACGATCACATTGCTTTGTTCAATGGTTTCATCATCATCAACCTATAAATATCCCCACTGCTGGAGCACAGGCTTTCCCTATGGATCAAATAGGGAGATTGGGTCATGACCCACCACGAGGGCCCATTGCGGATTGGTGGGTGCTAACGACTGCAGATGCCACCGGGATCAACACTTTAGACTTTAGAAGCACGGAGAAGCTCGGAAAGTAAATTTTTGGTCACCCATCCAATGACTATCACTGCGAAAGTTACTTAATTGTTCAATTATTTACGTGACTGCATATACAATTTATTCACAACACCGTTCAGCTCATCTTTATTATGCTCCACTCCGCTCATCTCCATACTCCACGTACGGCTCACTTTCTCACAACTTCATCATAAACAATTGCCTATTCACACGGCTAAACCACGGTAATAATATCATACAGTATTCTATCTCATACAAACGGTCGGAAAGTGAGTCATACCTACGCCACTCGAGTTCGATGTGCTCTCGGCGGGCACCCAGTCGCGAATGCGCCGCCGCGCCGCAACGACGACCGAACGGTCTGAAGGTCTTTTTATGCAGTTAGCCGTGCTTAAACGTGCGTTTTGTATTGTAAATATATTTAATTGTGTAGATACCTACATAATTTAGTATGGAAAAGAACAAACGACGATCAATAACGTACAACAGCACAATTGCTGTTTTTGATTGCTGAAACTCTTACACACCCAGAGATATCATTTTTTAAATTACCTGAAATATTGGAAAGGTGTCTTACCTTTATAGAATATTTTTTATATACCTATCTACTAGTACGTTATTTGTTTCTAATATTTAGGTATTTCGGTTTTTCCATCGGGCAAAATATCTGGAATAATATATAAATAAGTGGTTAGGATAAAAAAAGAGACAAACGAGTAATCTACCTACACTCGCGTTAAAAACAAAAGTAAGTACATAAAATACTGTAGGCTGGCGGCCCTACCGCGTGCCAACGCAGCGCTCGGTGTAGGCATTTATTTTCAAGGACAGGGCGGAGTCACAATACTGTATAGATAATATTACCGTGGCTAAACTCTACGCAGCTCCGCGTCTGTGAAAACGCACCTTTATGAAACATGCAAGCTCGTGCTTTTAAAATATCGAATACATTTTGACATCAAAAAGCTGTTTAAGCCTTATTTATACATATAGTTACATAATGATTCACCTAATATGTTCCGAACATTCCCAAATAACACTTACATAATGTGTATACAGTTATAAATAGGTCCCAAAGCTGTAGAAAAATACACTTTGTATGTGGAAAGACCTTACAACCTCAAATAAATTACATTTGACTTCACAGGTGATTCAGTTGGACTCTCTTCCGTTATATCTTTGGATCCAGGCGGGACTGGATCCACGGAACTAAGCTTAGCTTGGGATATGCCAGTAATTAAATATAAGAAAGATAAGAAAGTACATAAGAGGTGAATTCCATAACCATATTTGTTTATATGTAATCTACGAAATAGAAATGATATAGAACACGAACTGCGCTAAAAAGTAGTTCCACGCAAACTGCGAAAAAGAAATATAATTTCGGTTTTGTTCGCGTGTCCATACCCCCAGAAAAATATTGATGTAAATATTAGCGTCGCCGCGCGTACGCGCTCGGTCACCGGCGCGGCAGTGTATGAGACGAGATTATGACGTGCGGCTTAATTAGGATTTCCGTTTCACTCTATTTACGTTATTCCCTCGGGGGTATGTTGGGCTAAGGGTCACAATGACCAAGGTGTCATAATGTCCCGATGTTATAAAGAGCGTTAGTAAATATGTACAAGTCTCTGAATGCCCAAAAAGTCATAATGTCTAGATGATATTTTATTTACTCGCGCACCGAGGGTTCCGTACAAACTTGTAGGTATATTTTAATAATTACTAAAAAATATTTTTTATTATATGATGTAACCAAAAATTTACGGTTTTCGCATTTTTTCCTTTATCTGTACTATAAGATGTTACTTCGTACCAAAGGGGATTGCTCAAATTGGCCCAAATGCACAAAAAATATTGACATACACGGTAATTCTTGGCGTAATTTATAATTTAATTTACAGTCATTAGATTTCAACGGATACCTTTGTTTAATATTGTACGAGTAATCGTACAGTTTAGGTTATAAATAATATGTTCTAATTTAGGTCACGTAGAAACAAGTCATTTACGCGCGGTATTGTGCAATATGCTTAAGCTACTACTTTATAATATTAAATTTACATGCAAATAAACAGTGTTAGAACAACTATCATTGGGTTTGTTTCGTACATTAACTTTCCCTTACAATTACAATCAGGCACTCTTCTCATATACTGTAGACACACTACAAATATATTTACTTTAAAAAGGACTTTTAATTTTACCGGTTTGGAAAACATACGAATCATTTTTAATAGCTATGGGTGAAGTAACATTCAGCCAAAGACGTTGTTTATATAACATAAAAACAAATCTATTTTGTAAAGATCGTTTTTTTTTTATTACACTGTGGTATTAATATCCACAACTATATTATCATTTTCACTAGATGCAAATGTGCTCAGACAATTATTATAGATGGTAGGCGACATCATAAAGTCTATTGCCATACATTTTTCGCCAAACACCTCCATAAACACATTATAATCTGTATATATGTTAGACTTTAAGGTATCTATCTATGGGCCTACATCCCCTGACTATAAATTAATAAATAAATAAAATTACAAGGTGTGATACACTAAAAATCTAAAATATGGTTATCTTAAAAACATAACAAAAATAATGAAGCTACTGAATATATGGCTATAGAACCTAAATCTCTTAGCTTTCTTTGGTTAACGAGAGTTTAAAAATTCTCTCTAATCTGTGGCTCATTCACAATCATCACACAGTTTCTGTCACAGAGTACCTTATTATAACCGGAAATGACACCTGATTTTAAAAAGTTACTCTTATGCATTAACTTTAAAAACAGGCAACTATCTGTCAATCTACTTGCTCTATATACCTGAATCTAATCCATAATTTCGGTACTTGGCTTGATTTCCCTGGTTTACTATATAACTTATTTGTTTTTTATTATTTTAATATGTTCAGTGCATATGGTTTATAGAAGTTCTCAGGGGTGTCCGTCAATAATATTCGTTTCTACAGTAATTTATATATAATTTCGAATCTAGGAAATAATTTTTCATGATTATTGGTCTTTAGGCCAAACAATGAGTGAGCAATCTCCTTTCAAGATTCTAAGTTCACGGGAAGTCCCCTGTAGGTTTTGATTGCCGTGCAAGTTTCGAATATTTGCGGAAATTTGCTCTAAAACCGCTGTATCTTTTCATTGCTTTGGCTTGGAAGTTTGATTTTTTCACAACTCCAATGGACAGTAGACCTGAGTATTAAATATGAATTTCAGTTTGATATCTCCACGCGTTCCTGAGAAAAACACTCTTGACAGACGGACGGACGGAGGGACCGACAACAAAGTGATCCTATAAGGGTTCCGTTTTTTCCTTTTGAGGTACGGAACCCTAAAAACAGCAAATGGCGGACATAATGCCATAAGGCATTCTCTACCAGTCGACCAGTAAGAGCGTGAGAAAGAAAAATACGGGGGTGCAATAAGGACATATATACAGACCGTTAGTCAATATGTACAGGTCTCTGAATGTTCAAGAAGTAAATTGTCCACATGTTATACAGACCGTTAGTCAATATGTACAAGTCTCTGAATGTTCAAGAAGTCATAATGTCCACATGTTATACAGACCGTTAGTCAAGATGTACAAGTCTCTGAATGTTCAAGAAGTCATAATGTCTACATTTTATACAGACCGTTAGTCAATATGTACAAGTCTCTGAATGTTCAAGAAGTCATAATGTCCATATGTTATACAGACCGTTAGTCAATATGTACAAGTCTCTGAATGTTCAAGAAGTCATAATGTCCACATGTTATACAGACTGTTATTCAATGTGTACAAGTCTCGAAAATTAGCTCGTTTAACTTCTAATTTGCCACTTTTGCCAAAAGATTTAATTTCTGCTCGCTGGAATGCAATTGTGAATTCTAATTCTGAAAAAAGTACAGAAATTGAAAATTTTGAACATTATTTTGTTAAAGAATTGCTATCAAAATCATTGCATAAGTTGTTCCAATGGTAGACATAGAACGAACAACTCTGTCGAGGCGTGGCACAGCCGTATCAAGAGACGGATGCACGGCACAAAACAAAATTTATACAAATTTGTTTTATTACACAAAGAGGCACAACACCAAGCTTTCTTAATAAAGAGTAGTTTATTTGACCGTAGTAAGAGGAAAAGGAGTGTGATTATATTCAATAAAAAATACAATGAAAGTTTTCAAGACAGTCATCAAGAAATTATTACGCCGCTGCAAGTGTGTATGCACCCTTGAAGAAACTGTAGGTAGTAAACTTGCTTATTTACAATTATGGAAACATTTTAAATAAGCAAGTGCCAACAACAGTTAGTTATGTGTATGATATTGGTTGATGTTAAATTTAGTTAGGTATTATGTCAAGGTGGCAATTTATTTTGTTAAACTTTAACAGGATGTTTCTAGGATTCGCAAATATATTTTAGCAATTTGCTGTTATGGCACCTGGATATTATGACAAGTAGGCATTCTATCAATTGGAAGTTTTGATGACTGGACATTATGACAATGTGACTTTTTAACAACGTGTTGTTTTCACACCTCGATGTTATGACAACTGGGCATTCTATCAATTGGATGTTTTGATAACTGGACATTATGACAATTTGACTTTTTAAAAACTTGTTTTTTAGACACCTGGATATTATGACAATTGGGAATTGTATTAATTGGATGTTTAATAACAGGACATTATGACAATTTGACTTTTTAACAACTTGGTGTTTTGACACCTGGATGTTATGACAATTGGGCATTCTATCAGTTGGATGTTTGATAACTGGACATTATGACAATTTGAGTTTTTAAACAACTTGTTGTTTTTACACCTGGATATTATGACGGCATTATTTCCTTGTCATTTTGACACACTTGACATTCGGACACTTGGCCCAACATACCTCGGAGGGGCCTTATCTTACCCAATGAATGAGTAGCCGAATTCTTTTGCAGAGATTTGATTCGGCAAAGTATTTTGTTTTGTTTGTGTGCGTGTCGCGTTAGTATTGAAGTTTTTCTATATCATTTCTAATTCGTTGTATGTATTTGACTTTTTAAGAGTGATTTAAGCACTACTTAGATTCATTATTTACAGGTATTATACAAAATTCTTCGGTAGCGATGGAATCGCCGGCGCGAGCATAGCTGCATACGCCCTTAGGAACTATAAAAACTGGGAGAAGCAACTCGCAGAGTGGCAGGATCCCATACTGACAAATAAGTAAGCACACTGATCACTTATTTCAAGATTTACCAGTTTAAATTACTTGATTTCCTTTGTTCACGTTAATACTACTAATGCTATGCTAAAGAAAAAAATAATAGCAGCTTTTATACTCTGATTCAGAGATCGAAATTTTCATATTGTAATTTTATAACGATAGTTACAGATAAACCTGAGATATTTATGATATGAAATAATTAGAAAGTGTGTGGATATTATTTTATGCAATTTCGTTCCTTCTGAAATCAAATAACGGATTCAGATTCTGACTGTGTAGCCAGCTTCATGCATTACATTTTTTATAATTTTTCATTTAAACCTTTAACTTTCAGCAATATACCAGACTGGTTGAAAAGTGCCTTAATGAATGAGCTTTATTTTATTGCGGACGGTGGAACTGTGTGGTTTGATGTACACGACGAGTACCCGGAATCCGATCCTAGGTATTTATTATAACACTGGCGGCCGCCCGCGACTTCTTCCGGGTTAACTTTTATTTTTTGTGAATGCCGCAGGAACCTAACATTTTTCCGGTATATAAAGTATCCTAAGTCTCTATCGAGGTCATAAACTATTTGTGTACCAAATTTTATCTAAGTCCAATTTATTATAATAGGCTAGTTGACCCTTTTTGGAAAAAGGTTTTAAATGGTGAATAAATGTTCTATTAGACCGAAAAAAAATGTATTGTATTTTTTTGAGACCTAGAAAGCTACAAATCTTTAATTTTAAAATAGAATTTTCATGGACATACAAAAACGCTGTCGGCCATTTTAGTCTATAGATTGTCTATGCTATGATGTCAATTATAGTAAACAAAAACTCGTAAGCACGTAGAAAATAACTTATCTGAGTTTATAATAAAAAGAACACAATTTCTAATAAATACCACGAAAAATAAAGTAATTATCATTATTGTATTGTACGAGAATATAAAAACACATCCTTGAAGACTCCAGGAATGTTATGGATTAAAGTGCCGAAAGAAATTAACCTACGCAACTTTATTACACTTATTCATATGTTGTATCAGTTTTATGTTTATTACTACATTGTAATACTAAATGCACTGTACTTACATAGATGCCTTGTCGTTTCTCTGCTCCGCAGAGCTTAAATCGGGGTTTAGTGCAAAAAATTCACCAACCATCAATGCGTCAATTCTTGGCAGATTTGTGCTTTCTGCTTTCACAAAGCCGGCATCCATAATTAGTTTTGTCAAAAAAAAAGTAAACGGAAACTTTTCTAAAGTTAAAAGTGTTTTAAGATAAATTTATTCAGACTAAAGAATCCACCCACAATAACACGCGAATGACATTTAGTTGTTTACTGAAAGAGACGTCACAATCATGGCGGACGTGGCGAACAGCGTTTTTAGTGTTTAAAAAATATAGACTAAAAATTATTTTTTAAAATTAAATTTCTACAGCAATCTTCTGCTTTTATGAAGTGAAATCGATATATTTAGGTTCCTTAGACCGAATACTATAAGAAATAAACATTTATTTAATACAATTCGATATGAGTCAACTAGCCTATTATATTATAATAGTAGGATAGAAGTATTTGTAAACTAGTATTCACATAATGATAACCTGTGCCAAGTATTTACATTATGATAAACCTATGCTTTTTCCTATTTTCAGACATGATTTTGGCTTATTCGGTTATTTGGAAGGTCACGAATATAGAATGTACAATACGTACGATGTACATTTTTATGCATCTTTCGCGCTCGCGCAGCTGTGGCCTAATTTACAAGTTAGTGGATTATAACATTTATCTTTCATTGAGCATTAAGATTTGCTTCCTTTATTTTAGCGTATAATCAGACATGATATTGCTGATCTGCTGAAACTCTGAACTAACACAATAATGAAACGCGACCTTTGTTATATCATTAGGACGTTATATTCTAGTTTGTTGTTGATTTTTTTTTATTTCTTTGCAGGTAGTATTGCAATACATGTTCCGAGATACAGTTGCTATGGAATCTGAAAAATACAGACTGTCTCTATACGATGGAAAAACTGTGAAGTTTAAAATAAAAAATTCTATACCTCACGATTTGGGAGATCCAGGTACAAAGAACAATACTGCTTATGTTATGTTATCGTTTTTGATATATCAATACTCTTAAAAGCCCCTTCGATATGTATCAAAAAATAACGAAATTCGGTTGAAGTTCGTCGTACGTGATACTTATATTTAAGACTTTGTTTCTAAATGCGTTAAGGTCTAAAATATAAACAACTACCTGAGCACCGCGGTGTTACCCGCGGTTAATTAGGGATATTTTCCCGCAGTAAAACGTAGCCTATGTGTTAATCCAGGGTATCCACTAACTCCATATCAAATTTTATTAAAATCGCTCCAACCGTTTAGATGTGAATAAGTAACAAACATACACACTCACAAACTTTCGCCTTTATAATATTAGTGTGATTGAATGACGAACTTCGTTCCATTTATCGTTTTATTTTAAGTAATATGTTTGTCAAAAAGATTTTGAGGCATTAGCAATTACAAGATATTCAACAAAGGAGAATGGTCATTTTACTTTGGGAGTTGGGCTAAGTTTTTTTCATTGCGTCTTATTGGAATAAGTGTACAACAATAGGGAATCAGGTGTATATTGCGTAGGAAAAATATCATTAGAAACTTAAGTAGTGGTTTAAAGAAAATATTAAATTACGTAAGCATTTTAAGGTTATGTCATATTTAGATTCGATTAAATTCGATATTTATACCATACTTAATTATTACTAGGTATACTACTCTAAACTGTATTTAATTAGGTTGTGACCTTTTGCCTTCTAATTTGGACTGGGAGTGAAACAAAAATTGAATGCACTTCGTAAAATCTTATCAACGGGCAGCGTATATTTGTAAACTGTTGCGTTGGTGAGCTGCTATCTATCTCTATTTATTCCAAACATCTCAGATTCAATAAATGTGGCGTTGTTGAGGTGCGGTTATATTAGTGCTATTTATACTTAATCTCTTTACGCTCAAGCTGCACCTTTGATGCTCTGTTAAACAACAATGGATATAATATTATTTAAGGTTTAGGAATCAAAAATAAATAAAACAAAATATTTTAATAATGATAATCATTTATTGATAACACATTTATCCAAATCGACATTATTAATGTGATATTTTTATTTTATATTTTTGGGGTTATGCCGTATCCAGTGGAACTGTAGTGACTTCGCCTAAAATATCTTTTGTAACTCGCCACCATGTCCTGTTGAGTTTGAAATATCCAGTTAAAGCTCAGCTAAGTTCAATTAACACAGCAGTTTATACATTAAGCGTGCTCTAATCCTGGTTTATATATTGCCTTTTTTTAAAAAAAGCGAAGAATTGACATATATACCTTCTTCAAATACCTCATCTAAAAATGTAGCTGGGGCATGTGTATCGTTAAATCGCCTCCAGCTAAGGTACCAAACTACCATCATTACGTGTGCGCAACATCCTACTGTCCTTTTGCCTACAATACAACTGCAGCAATAGCATATATGATTCTTTTTGAAAACGATAATTGCTGCTGCTCTGGACAAATATATAAGTTGCGTCACACATAACAATAGCGGGTTTAATATCATTTGGTAAGATTGGATTACCAAACAATCCCTCCGGGATTATTTTATTTCTGCTGGCCACTTGCTCCACATTTACATGACCAAAGCCCAAATGTCTTGACACAAAATCTTCAACTAAACAACTTCTAGCTATATTCATTTTTCTCTCCAAGGTCCTACGAGACATTTGAAAGAGGGAACTTAATCGTTCATTGCTGTCCCCAGTTCTTAACTTGACTATGTAAATACAGAGTGCTAAACGGGGATTTTTGACACTCTGTAATAAGCTTGGTACACATGCCAAGAGTTCATCAAACTATTCAGCATTCATTCCCAGCCAATAATGGCATAAGAAAGGAGCCATTGCAGAAATATTTTCAAAGTCGAAACAGTGGGAAACTGCTCTCTGCATTATATTCAAAATGGCATCAAACTGTACACCAGTAAAATCTTGCAGATTTGATGTTAAATCACTCCAACGCCCATTATTCAAGTGATGTTGACATATTCTACAACATGTGGGAACATAGAATTTATTATGTATTAAAAAATTTTTAATAATTTATTATTGATAATAATATCTTATACCATACCTGATGTGCTGGAGTCCATCTAAGAATAATATTTCTTTCTGGACAGTGTAGTGAAACCACGGAGTGAAACCCTGTACGATCGACTTCTTAATATGGATTTTCCACAACCAAAACAGACTTGTTGATGGCCATATTGTGGTGCAGGTACTTCTTCGGTGGTGTAATATATCTATAACAAGTCAAAAATATTTATATTTATTTGAACATGTGAATGAAATTAAAACATTATCTCACGGTTACGGTTGTATAACGATATATTTTTAGTAATATAAGTATATATATATAATTACTTACAGAATCAGGTGCGATCCATGAGCTTTAAAACATTAAGCATTGAATTGGATAGCATGTCCAAAGAATGTACTGGCTGTCGTCGTGGCACTGATATACAACAGTTAATACAACGTCGTTGCATACTGCCTGCGTTTTCTTGTGTAACACCAGATGCCATTGTAAACAAAAATAATTACAATAAACTAAGAGTCCAAATATCTCTGTCAGAATCACTAAAGGTAACTTAACACTAAATCAACGAGTCCAATGCTCTCTTTCCCAAAAAAACAGTTATTAACGGAGGATTACTCAACTCAACATTAAAACTATTCTGCCACAATAGACCACTGAAAACACAAATTCAATTCAAAATTGAAAACTGTACTCTATAGTTAGTCACTCGGAACAAACAACAAACACGTTGACAGCTACCTACTTCACTTGCCTATGGTATATATTTCGATTTGATTCTATAGGAATTGATTCCTACACAATCGATTAATAAATGTTTTATTTTTCAATGCAAATGCTTAAAATGTTCAAACCATGAGTTAATTTATATATGATTAAGTAATTAAATATAACATAACTGATAATTTAAACAAAAATATATTCCCTTTTTTAATCTAAGAGTACTACATATAAAAGTTTTTGTATGCGCTCTACTGTTTGATGAACAAAATAGTCCGCAGACAAAAAATCCTATTTTGCGCAGCCCATTAAGTTCCTTTTAGTTTTTAGATGCAATGAAAGAGAGCAATCCCTGGTAGGTACAGTGAGATAGTCACAACACAGGTCTTACAAATGATAACTTTATGAATTTAATGTTATTTATCATGATATAATATTGGTAAAAATGCTCGTATCCATCATACAAACATTTGCCTCACCGGAATTTGAAACCAGGCCCTCTGAATAGGCGATTTGGGGAAAATAATCTATCCATCGATCCATACAAAAATCAAACAACTCGCATAGAAGATCTCAAAATAAAAAATGACTACGAATTAACGAATGATCATTATTTCGTAGTCATTTACGGTGTTTGGTAAAAATGTTTCAGGCTATTTACAATTGTTCTATGATTTCAATTATAATAAACGTTTTATTATTTCTTTTTGAAGTGAACCTTTTTTACGCACTCTTGACTTGTGGAGTAAGCTAGCGAACGTAAGCGTTAAGAAAAGTGTGATCGGGCGAGGCGAACGGGAGTTGAGTGGGGGATGTAAGAATGAGAAAGCAGTGCGCGTGCACATTTTCTTTCTCTCTTCCTCTCATAGCCAAATACGTTCCGTATATCTAAGCTCAGTGCAAGCCTATTGTCTGTATCACAGTGTAGGAGCAAGAGCGCGCGCACGCATTTTCTTTCTCTTTTTCTCTTACAGCTAGTAAATGAAAGAAGTTTCACTTCAGTCGTGTGGTCATAAGCACACTCGTTTTTTTTTGTTAAGAATATTTAAATAAAGAAATATAATCGATTTTTTTTCCTACGATAGTATCGACCAGGTGATACAACTTTTATCTATGGTTATTGGTTATTTACTCAGTTTAATAGCCATTTATTTATTATTTTAAATATCCGCATAATATTTACATAATAAACACACATATGAAATGATAATTCAGAAGAAGATTTTTGATACATAAATGCGTCAAGCGCAATCTAGGCGGATTTGCCCATTCTCCTTTAACTTTTGCAGTGCGTTTTTGCTTTGATTCAAAGAAATTACATAGCGTCTTAAATCATTTACTGTTGATAATGCCTGGGCGTGTGACAAAATCGGAGTTGTCTCTTTTTCTTATTGATCATTATCACTTAGGGCATCTTCTTGTGTCTCATTCACATTCATACTCTCTCATTCATCTCATTGAACTTTATACTGTGCCACATTGTCATCAATGTAAGAATATCTAGGAAAACCCTGGGGGCCGCTTAGCGTGCGTCGCTCTAGAGTCGTCACGTCAATCGCTGGCCGCTACCGCAAGAATATGTGTGGTACTTGGCGATTTAGGCGTATTAAACGGGATGACGGATCGTATTAAGCGTTAAGAAATGTATGAAAATATATCTCAAGTTGCAGGGACTGACGCAAAATGGTGTATTATGCGAGAAATCGTATTAAACGTTAAGAAATGTATGAAAACATATCTCAAGTTGCAGGGACTGACGCAAAATGGTGTATTATGCGAGAAATCGTATTAAGCGTGATCGTATTAAACGGGTTCTACTGTATATATATATATATTGTTTTAAACTTTCATGGTCACTAACACTAAAGCTATTATCGGGATTCAGGATCACGGATTATGGCGCTTGCAACAGAGCCGAAATATCAGAGACTCGTAAAAAATAAGGAACATCGTAACAATCCCGTTAATAGCTATAAATATATATTGTGTTGCGTACCACTATACAAACGTCACATTGGATTCCTTTGTATGCCTTGTTACCTTTACGATATCGAATTAAAAAGTGATCTAATGTCAAATGCAACCTGCCAACACGCCACTAACACTACACACTACTACGGTTGGCTAATACTTTGTTTGGTAATATTTTCGTAACTCTTTTGTCTATAGGAGTGTGCGCTCAAACGTCATATAATTACTGTATGCCGTAATACAGGCATTTTGTCTAGCTGGGCAGCAGATAAATATTTAGTTATGTTAAAGATATTAGTATAATGCGATTCAAATAAGAATAGGAAAGGCAATGACCTCCAACTGTCAAATGTCGCTTGAAAAGTACGGTTTGCAAAAAACAACTTGGAACCATTTTTTAGCACTCTGCTAATTCTAGAATAAAAACCACGCATTTGTAAATAAACAATAACAAATATTGATAATTAATATTGGTTGATAATTTTTTTCATTTATTGAGCTTTGGCTATGAATGGTTGATAACCTAAACCGTCAACCAAATGTCACTTTAAGTTGCGTTCAGAAACTCAATTTAAAACTTTCGTTTACCTAAAGGATGCATGTTCGTATGTGACCTAGTAATAAGGCATGATTATTATTCATAACTACTCCGACGGTAAAGCAGAGATGAGCGGAATTGAAGAGCTAGATTACGTTTTATGTTTTTTCTTACAGTCTTAATAAACAAATATTATTAAAAATTAGTTGTTCTTTTTTCTCAATCTTAGTAAATATTTTAATAAAAATATTTGATGTTTTCTCTCACTTGATCTTAGTTAGAAGTTTTATTAAATAAAATATTTTTTTTGCTCACTCTACCTATTTGGTTTGAATTGACAACTATGACGTTAAAATATGGCGCGGTCCTATTCTTAGTTGAATCGCATTATACTGTTAGCCTTATAAGTTAAATTGAAAATCACCTCTTATTGGAAATAAAATTATTATTATATTTTTATTATTACTTCTATGCTTTAGTTCTTGTTCTGAGGTGTAGGTGACTAACTTTAATACTAATTTGAGTAATAAACAAAAACAATAACTCCAACAGAGGACATACCGTTCGCGCACATAAATGCGTACAACATTCACGACGTCAGCGAGTGGCGCGATCTTAACCTCAAGTTCATACTGCAAGTGATACGCGACTACCGCTTGCTTCGTGGCCACACGGCGCCATTCAATAACGACAGGTGAGTTTCTACACAAAAGTTTGCGGTTGGTTTTCACTATCAATCATTTTACACTCAACACACAATCTCATATTCGTTTAAGTGTTTTTTTTTAATAATGCAGAATTAAATATTGTGTAACATAAAGAGTGCGATGATATATAAATAAATGTATTACATTAAAATATGTTCCGGGCAAAATATGGTATGTTATTGAATACCGGGAGTATAATGATGAATGTGGAAAACGTACCGAAGAATTGTTGATATCCACTCCAGGCATAGAGCAACACAGCCGACGCGGTGAGGAGGGGAGTAGGCATACACATCCCTCTGTCGAATTGGGCATAAAAATACTCATGATATGCCTCTGTGTTCAGGATTTGACGGTGTATTGTGTCATTGTTTATGTGTGAGTGTCGTAATTGGCTATTTGACAGTATGAAAAATAAAGTAGGCACCAATTATTGGCATCTGTATTTAATATGACTATTAGCAGCGATTTAACTATTCGGAGAGAACAAATAATTAATAACTTTCAAATAAAAAATAATTAAATAGAAAGATATTTTTGTTCTATGGTCACGTGACCGAAAACGCTTGGGATTGGCAAAGACTTAAATGCTTAAATGACGTCACACGCTAGTAAAATTCCGATCAAAGCGACATTACATTGTATCGTTTGACCTTTCGACGACAGTCGTGTGACGTCATATACCAGTGAGACGCCATAATGTCCGGAGAAAATTTTTTACGGCAACTTGAAATGTTGATTGGAAATTTTGATTTAAATTATATAACTGAAATACAAAATAGAATGATGAATATTCACTTTTTATGTTCTCTATAAACATAAGTAAATAACGTGCGATCGTTTTTTAAAAGTTGTCAAATACCCTATTACAGTTTTGTTTTTTATGCTAATTGTATGTTAATTTGCATTAGTGATCATAATATCCCGCAAAAAAGGCAGAAAAATTTGAGCAGTGTTATTTCGATATGGCTACTTTTCTTACTCCCTTCCGTGTTGCTCTATGACCCTAGGTATCGGTCGATGGCGTTTATAGACGACGTAAGGGAAGGTACCGAGGACGACTTGTACTCGCGGGCCACGGGACAGGCGGAGAAGTCGCCGGCGGACACGCCCGAGTCGACAGTGCAATCGACACCGGTGGCCAGCGAAACTAAGCCCTATTGCGTCGGAGATATACTGGACCTGTTGTACAGGTAATGTAACCGGTCGGTGAAACTCTTATTAGGGATGTTTGACTCGATTTTTGTTAATACTTTTAAAATACTCTCTTTTTAGGGTTCAGTACCTCAAAAGGAAAAAACCTAATCCTTATAGGATCACTTTGTTGTCCGTCCGTCCGTCCGTTCTTCCGTCTGTCAAAACCGTTTTTCTTAGGATCGCGTGGAGGTATCAAACTGAAATTCATATCTTTTTTTTAAAACATACCTAAATAATAACGCCAGAAAGAAAAGTGGATATCTTGATTTATTCTCTCTCGAGTATTTAATATTATTATGGCTACAGTTTTGTTTGTAAACTATAAACATATGTATTTCTGGATCTCGTGCAGCAGGAATATTTGATAATTCATTAATGATATGGTAATTATCTTAATCTTATTTTTTTAAGGATATTCGTAAATTGAATTAATTTGGTTCTATACACAACTCTACATACTCAAGAAGACTCTTATTTTTTATTCGTAATCCAACATAATATGCATAATTTATTTGTTTGATCTAAATTGATTATTTTATATAAAAATAAATAGAAAAATTCACGTTTATTTAATAAAGGTAAAAGTTGATATTTGTTGAACGAAGTAACTAAAGTGAATGCAGGACGTTCAATAGGATGATACTGATTCAATAGATTTTCAATAAATCACGCAAATCAATCGTTCAAAAAGAGTTTTATTAAGTAACGAAACATAGTTAACTGTATTGCCAAATACAGTTAACAGCTAAAGCTCTTTTTTGAGTAATGACGATAACAATTTATTAATGCTACAAATAACCTTAAAAGGAAAGGCCTGTGGCCCAGCAGTGGGCACATTAATAGGCTGACGAAGAAGCCTTAAAAGATATTTAACAATTTCTAAGAATAAGATCATTCAATTGATTCATTTATTTTGATAAGGCTCTATGAATCCCCATCACTAAACTGTCTATGGTCATACTTACCTTCTTCTTTGTTTACGTTTAGTCCAAATTCATTTGGAACAGACTATACGGATCCCTCGGTGCGCGAGTCCGACTCACACTTGGCCGGGTTTTTTTTGTTGGCAATCGGCTGACGGGTGAGGAGTTCGCGCAAGTGGTTGGCGCTTTCATGACAGCCATAAATAAAACCTTTGCTCGATCGCACAGATAAAAACTTCTTTATATCATAAAACCCCATAAAATGTAATATTTAATATGTAAACGAACAATAAATATAAAATCTTTTATAGGCTTTCACACGAGGAGCTCGATGGCGCAAGTTATAAGCGTGTTCGGCTGCGATCCTTAAAGCTAAGCAACACAATTTTCACAATCACTGTGAAAGTCGTTGGATGGGTGACCAAGAATTTGCCGAGCTCCTCTGTGCTCCAATAGGCACGTTAAGCTGTTGGTCTAGTCTGCATCTGCAGTTGTTAGCACCCACCAATCTGCACTGGGCCGGCGTGGTGGGTTATGGCCTAATCTCCCTATTCCACAGGGAAGGCCTGTGCCCCAGCAGTGGGGACATTAATATGCTGTATATGAAGCGAGTGCGACTTCGTTTACATAGTTTCACTAGATTCCATTACAAAATTTCACCTCTGTTTCACTCTCTCACGGCCAGTTTCAATAATCAACCTCCAGTCAATGGTAAGATAATCTAGTTCACATTCTTAGCAACAGTTGTTGTTTGTAGTCTTAATACAAGAATTACACCCTGCGCTGCGTTAAGGGGGAGCACGGAGCGGACATCCGCTCCGCGTGCAGTTTTTGATGTGTAACATCTTTCCTCTCGCTTTCCTGCAATTTGTGGGAGTGATTTCGTGAAATGAGACGGAAGTGTGTAACAGGAAGTCGCGAAAGCGCGCGCTATTTGATCTGATTTTAGAACATAATGTTTCAATGGCTTATTCCTTTTGTAGTAGGTTTTATTTCTTTTTTTACTAATATAAGGTGAGGTTTAAAATGTTACACATCATACGCGACTGCTGTAAGGCTCGCTCGGTTTTTATGTTATTTCATAGAATAGCGCTGCGTGGGAGACCCGCCTCACGCAGCGCTGCTCTATGAAATAACATGGAACAAACACTCGGCGTGGACGCGCGCTCCATGCTTCCTCGTAACGCAGCGCTCTTAAAAATAATATGGAGTACGAACTGCGCTAAAATGTTTATTCCACGCAATCGCAAGTGGGTGGGGCTAAAACAGTGCGATCAATATGCCGATCATGAGAATGGTTAGGATTTCGTTTAATATTATCTTACTTACCCAATGAATGGATAGCCGAATTTATTGCCAGATATTTGATTTGGCAAAGTTTTTTTTATGAGTGCGTGTCGTGTTAGTAATGAAGTTTAATTGTGTGAATTTGGAACCCTGTTTTAGCGGCCTTTGTTTGGGAGTAATGCTTCCATATCATTTCATTGTCTTAATAATAATAATATCTTGGCAACATATCTCTAGAAGTCTACCTCTTACTGGAGTTTGCTTATTGAAATTGGCCGTAAAAGGATAATATCTGGGACAAATACTATTCTATGTTCTTTCCCGGAACTCAAACTATCTCTATACCAAATTGAGTCTAATCGGTTCAACGGTTTAAGCGTGAAGAGGTAACAGACATACTTTCCGTCTGTCATATTTTATACGTATTTCTATACGTTACTCTAGCATTCTATAAAACAAACTTTACAGTTCTTACTTTGCGGCTAGGCTAATTAGACTAATCGAAAACAGTCCTACGTCTTTCCCCAGAATTCTAAACTATCTCAATACCAATTTTCGTCTAATCCGGTTCAGTGTTTTAACCGCGAAGATGAAACAGACAGTCGGACACACTTACCCTCTATCATATATGTATTTCTATCCGTTACCTTTGCATCGTATAGTATAACACAAGTCTTTCAGTACTTACTGGGGGGGCTAAAATATTGAGAGTTTTCTTAAACAACGGACACGGGCGTCAAATCGCATATTATTATCATAGTCTATGGATTAATTTGTATGCTCGTTCGATTAATTCGCGTCAAAAACTTCATACAAAAGACCTCACGTCACAGTGGCGCCAGCTAGTGACGTGAATTTTCCTAAATAACCTCATTGGGGTAAGTGTTAAAATATTTATTTATATCCTCTGTTCCTCTTACAGAAGCACAGAGCCGGATCCGGTCGGCGAAGATAGCGGCGATAAGCCAGAAGCTGTTGAGACCTCTAGCGTTTGGGATTGTAGGAAGTACCTCGCCGATATGTATCCTTCGTGCGTGGCGTTACTCCGACGCGCTACGACGTGGGACAAAGACGGAGACGGCCTCATAGAGAACGGGGGATTCCCCGACCAGACCTACGACGCTTGGGTTATGCGAGGACCGAGGTCAGTATGAACGATAAACACACATACAGTGCGACTATTTTCACTATTTTATGGTCACATAGAGAACGGGGGATACCCCGGCCATGCCATGACAGAGGTCAGTATGAATGATCCACGCACATACAGTGTGACTATTTTCACTATTTTACGGCCTCATAAAGAACGGGGATTCCTCGACCAGACCTACGACGCGTGAGTCATGCAAGGACCTAATCTAGTATGAATGATCCACACACAAACAGTGCGACTATTTTCACTATTTTACGGCGTCATAAAGCACGGGGAATTCCCCGACCAGACCTACGACGCGTGAGTCATGCAAGGACCTAATCTAGTATGAGTGATCCACACACAAACGGTGCGACTATTTTACGGCGTCATAAAGAAAGGGCCCCGACCAGATCTACGACGCGTGGGTCATGCAAATACCTAATATAGTATGAATGATCCACGCACATACAGTGCGACTATTTTCACTATTGAAGCTGTGCAGACTTTCAGCGCGTAGGATTGTAGGAAGGCCGATATGTACCCTTCGTGCGTCGCTGTACTCCGACGGGGCTAAGATGTGGGACAAAGAAGGGGATAGCCTTATAGAGAAAGGGCGGTTCCCCGACCAGATCGACGACGCTTAGGTCATGCGAGGGCCGAGGTCAGTCTGAATGATCAAAACACATATATTGCGACTGTTTTCGCTATTTACGGTCTCATAGGGAACGGGGAATTCCCTGGCCATGCAAGGACCGAGGTCAGTATGAATGAGACACACATACAGTGCGACTATTTTCACTTTTTTTATAAATGTAATATACCTTTATTACAAAAATAAATATTATATAATATAAAACTTGGTTAAGTTTAATAGCTAGGTATTAATGAAATGGATTCAACAATAAAATACACTAACAGTAAATTGACATTATAAAACATCAATCATAGATATAGACTTCATTATTGTATACGCGGCAACACTTAATGACGTTTAGGGTTTCATGTTTTATGTTGAAAGGGCAATGCCCACTTTACATGGGAATTTGGCTTAACATAGACATAATGTATGTCTATGTTAAGCCAAATTCCCATGTAACAAGTAAAACTATAGAATGCAAGAAGCTTGAACCTTTGAATCATTATAATTTAGTATCAGTATACTTTAAAACATTTTTTTAGCACCGCGAAGGAAAAAGGTAATCCATAGCTTTCACATGTGAAAAAATGCCGGAATAAAATATGACTATAAATAAAACAGCGTGTTAATGCCAAAATCTATTTATATGTACGTCAATAAAACTTTCTTCAGAGCCACAGATGTAACTTATTTTATAAACGAAACAGTAACGATTTATTTGAAATTGCTACATTTGCCTCCTAGCTCCCGGGGCTACCGGGAGACCTTATTTTTATTTAAATAAAAATACTAATTATATGAATAAGTTTTTGATGTGTAACATCTTTGCTCTCGCTTTCCTGCAATTTGTGGGAGTGATTTCGTGAAATGGGACGGAAGTGTGTAACAGGAAGTCGCGGAAACGCGCGCTCTTTGATTTGATTTTAGAACATAATGTTCAAATGGCTTATTCCTTTTGTAGTAGGTTTTATTTCGTTTTTTACTAATATAAGGTAAGGTTTCAAATGTTACACTTCTATTAATGTATATCAAATAAGTATACAGTCATGTAAGCGTTCTAGTCAATTAATATTGACAGCGTGAAATTTTTGTCTAGACAAAAATTTAACTACTTAAATAAAACGAACCCCAACACGATGTTTCCGTTGTTTTCAACCGACGAAAAAATCGAAGGAGGTTATCAAAGCGACACGTATTTTTTATGTATGATCATAATCACGCATTTTACAGAGTAGTCTGATTTTGATTAGCCTTTTTTATTGGAAAGGAGACTCGGAGTATATTTAATATCCTCCGAGTTTGGTTCCATATAAATTTGAAAAATAAATCTCACCATAAGGGTAGGAAAATAGGGGATGACTGATTGTAATGAATGACCACGCATAACTTTTTTCAGTATAGTCCGATTTTGATTCTTTTTCTTCTTATTTTTATTTTATTGTTGAATTTAATACGGAAATAAAAATCCTGAGGAGGTGATTGTTCATTCACTGATTTTGATGCCGAGGTGTACATTGCAAAAATTATAGCCAGAAAATTTATAAAATAAAAACTTTTTAACAATAAAATTAAAAAGCCATAAATATTGAACCTTTTATCTTAAGACAAATTAATATTTGGAACCGGTGCCATGCATGTCATAGATCTATTTTCCCATTAACTATTTGGGTTGGAAATTATTTAAATAATAAATTTACTAATTATTAAAATATTAAATATTGTAATAATAAGAAGACTTTTTTATTGACATAAATAATTGACATTTTGAGTATTCTATGTTACCCGGGATGGCGAATATTTATCCAAGCTTTGAATTGTCTTTGGTGAAAAAGTCATTTTAGTCCAGTCAATGCACGGTGCTGTTTGGTATTAGAATTGCTAGGCATAACAGCACCAAAAGGACAATGTTAAAATTGGCCTAAGAACCAACACTAATTTGGCATTTATGATAATTCTTAGTATATTTTTTGCGATAATTATCAGTATTTAGATTGTGACGGACACTTTCAGTTAAGTAAGCTAAATTAAAAAGCTAATAAATAATCTGAGACAATAAATACCATTTTATGTGTATAATCTATGACAGCGCTACAAACAAAAAACACTTTCTTCCTAATGCCGGCACTTCACCTGGCTATTCGTATTTGCTATTTAAAAACATGACATCAGTCTGTCCTTTTCATTCCTTATTAAGCATGACAAGGACAAACTGTTGTCGAGTGAAGGGCCGGCATAAACTCGATACTCTGTGGTTGTGGTGCAGCAGTTTGCATTCGTAGTAATCTGTGGCATTCGTGCATTCTCGTCAAAGAGTACTTTTTATATACGGAAAATTCTCGTTCGGATTATCTGTTGTGTGTGTTTATTTGCGATTGTTTTTCCTTTAATTTAACTATTACTATTTCGGCTATCTAATATGCCATCGATGTTACCAAAGAGGAGAGACCTTATACCCAAGTGCTAGTGAACCTGTGCCACAACATCCTGAGAGGCAGACTTGTAAAAAATACTTTTCAAAAGTATTTAAATACAAATACAAATACTCTTGCTTCATTGAGTATTTAAATACAAATACAAATACTTTTGCTTCATTGAGTATTTAAATACAAATACAAATACTCTGAAAGTATTTGAAATACCAAAAAAAAAAAAACACTTGCTTAGCTAATTAACAAATTATTCTTAAGCAAGTATATACTTGTAAAAAAATACTCAATTTTAAGTATTTAAATACAAATACAAATACTCGCTTGGATAATTAACAAATTATTCTTAAGCAAGTATATACTTGTAAAAAATACTCTCCTTTTCATTCTGTATAAAGAATGACAAGAATACACTGTTGTCAAATAGGCTAGTTGACCCTTTGAAAATATGTTTTAAAATGGTTAATAATTGTTATATTAGACCGAAAAAATGTATTGTAGTAATTATCATGATTGTCTTATGCGAGAATGTAGAAACACAACGTTAAAGACTCCAGAAAAGTTGTAATTTAAATTGCCCAGAGAAATAAACATATCTACACATGAACACATCTTTAAAACTTGCTAAATCCTGTAACTTTATCGACTGAAAGTCATTTCTTTTTGCATAGATCACTTCGGTGTAAGTACTGATTCATTTTTTTTTTAAGTTTATTAATGTACCTACTAAGTAAGAGAGCTTTGTCGTTTCTGCTTTTACAAATTCGGCGTCCAGCATTAATTTAGACAACAAAACCAATAAACGGAAACTCTTCTACAAGATATAAGAGTCTTTAGATATATTTTAGTCCGACGAAAGAAACCATAGTAACACAACAATGACGTTTAGTTGTTTATAAATTTTGTGACGTCATTCTGAATTTATGAAGTGAAATCGATGTATTTCAGTTCCTCATACCAAAAACTATAAGAAATAAACATTTGTATAGTTAACGGAAAATATGCTTCCCTATTCTACTGAGTTATGTTATTTTGCAAATTTGTACAAATTAAAAGAAAATACGTAGATTTTGGGACTGAAGTTAGTAGGTTAGCAGAAAAGGCCTAAAATACGTAGATCTACGTAAAAAGACGTAGAGTTGGCAACACTGGTTTTACGGCCGTTGCTTAAAACAAACGCACGCGCGAAGTTTAAAAGGAGCTCTTTAGAGTAAGAGAAAAATTTAAGTATTTGAAGCGAGTATATACTTGTAAAAAATACTTGATTTCAAGTATTTAAATACAAATAATAAATACTTATATAAGAAAGTATTTGAAATACAAATACTAGAAAAGTATTTGTATTTGTATTCTGAAATACTTTTACTCAAATACTTTACAAGTCTGCTGAGAGGATCATACCACTGTTATATTACGTGATCATACTGCCAAATTATTCAAGAGCACCTGATACACATTCACGCTGCATATTTACACAATATACATGTGTTACACAAATAAATACAATATGATACAATTATGTGAAAAATAGTCAATAAATAATAACAAGCAAAACTATTGTTTTTATTTTATTCATGATTCCTACCTAACCAAGTTTTTCCTAATAGTTATTCTTTAAAATCGCACCGAATAAAATGAATTAGTTGTAATATTAATTCACTTCATACTGAGTTCATACTATGTTCATAGGTATTGACTTATGTTTCATTGAATATTAAACATAACCTCAAACAAGTTTTAGTTTTCCTAATAATTTAAGTTCTCAGAAGTGTCCGTCAATAATCTTTGTTTTTACAGTCATTTACTTGCGATTTCGAACCTAGAAAATAATATTTCATGATTGTTGGTTCTTAGGCTAACTATGTATGGACGCAGAACAATGTCCTTTGGCTGTATGTTCTACTTACCTTATACTTCAAAGTTGTCAATGTGCCGACGTTTGCTTTAACCCTGGTGGTGGATGCAACCCCTTCTTGGGGATGAAAAATAAGAATGGGAATGGTAAGACTGACTAATTCATAGCAATTTTAAAAAGCAGCGTTGCTTGAGGCGGGTCTCCCGGGCAACGCTGTTCTATGAAATGACACAAAAACCACACACCGAGCGGACGCCCGCTCTGACAAAAACACAGCACCTCCAAAAGGAAGTGTTATTTAACTGTGCTCTTCTGTAAGGTGTAGGTTACTTCCCCAGACAGATGCTCTAATTCGAGCGGAAAAGCCATTATGCCCTACCTATCTTTGTCATAGCCTTGTATATTTTTCTATCCGCAGTGAAAGCCTGTGCGCCAGCAGTGGGAACATAAATAGGCTGTTGATCATGATCAAATATACCTATTTATATTCTTAAAGGTATATTTCCTTTGTTTCCAGTGCCTATTGCGGTGGTCTATGGGTTGCATCCGTGTCGGTTGTACGTGCGATGGCGCATATTCTCGGTTTTGAACAGGATGAGAAGGAATTTGCTAAGCTATTGGACCAAGCTCGCCATTCGTATGAAGAGAAGCTCTGGAACGGCTCCTATTATAAGTTTGACGTTCAGCCCGCAAACAGCAGCGTCGTTATGGCTGACCAACTGGCTGGACACTGGTGAGTTCTTTTTTTTGCCGTGGCGTCTTATAAATTGATAAATGTCGGCTGCACGCACGAAGAAGTGTGACATCATGTAACGAGTCTCCCTCCCCATATTCAATTTTTTTTTATTGTTGGATATGGTAGGTATATATTCATTTAATATTGTTACCATGTACCTTGTTTTTTATGAGTCTCCGATATTTCGGCACTGATGCAAGTGCCATGATCACGGAGTAACTCCGTGCCGAAATATCGGAGACATAAAAAACAAGATACATGGTAACAATCCCGTTAATAGCTATAATGTTAGTGACCATAAAAGTTTAAAACAATATATATTAAATTAGGTTTATCTCAGATTGTCTAGTCGCAGTGTGGCAAACCCCTATTAGTGACTATATCGCAAAATGACTACAAATCATTTGCCTAAGATCGCAAAATTACTAGATCTCTATTTGACCACAAGAAATAATGACTAGGTTGCAAAATGACTAGATAGGTTGATTGACTACAAATACTAGTACAGTTAAATATAAAATCGCTATAAATAAAAATGAATCGCCGAAATGTATGTCACCAGGCTGAACCTCATACACCGTGATAGCTAGTCAGTTGAAATTTTCACAGACGATTTATGCTGTACGCGTGCGCTCACGCGTACGGTTTCCTGATCTGGAATTCCGTTAGCGCAGACGATTCGGATTTTTAGAGTCCGAACCGAACGTTAGGTTTTTATTCCATTAAAAATTAAACAATAATGTGCGCCTCTTTGAACATTCGGTATGTAAGGACGTGCATTTAGGTTTCCGAATTGGGATTCCAGATCAGGAAATCGTATCAAGAAACCATACATAATATACGGTCAGTCTAATTCGTTGCGTCCAACACCTAAGGTATCTCCGCGCTTCCGGTTGGACTGAACCCGTGTTCCCCGAGGCGAATGTGAAGAAAGCTCTGAGAGTGATATACCAGAACAACGTACTCGGCTTCAAGGACGGCCGCATGGGTGCCGTGAACGGCTACGTGACGGGCGAGTGTGGCCACGTCGATACCACCGCGATACAGAGTGAGGAAGTCTGGACCGGAGTCACGTACGGATTGGCCGCCCTTATGATATACGAAGGTATGTTTCTTTGAAGTGAAAACTTCTTTGGGTGCGTTGGCGATTTTTGAGATGGCCGCATGGGTGCTGTGAACGGCTACGTGACGGGCGAGTGCGGCCACGTCGATACCACCGCGATACAGAGTGAGGAAATCTGGACCGGAGTCACGTACGGATTGGCCGCCCTTATGATATACGAAGGTATGTTTCTTTGAAGTGAAAACTTCTTTAGGCGGGTTGGCCATTTTTGAGAGTACTCATATTGTAATTTTCTAGCTAATGTACACTTAGTTTGCAATAAACGATTGACTATTTAGATGGGAAAAAACCAACCGTGACAGCGTGATCGGTACTGACGACACCTTTGTTTATGAGTATGTGTATTTTAATTTTGCCCAATGTCGCTAGTAGTGGTTTGGTGTAATGCAAGAAACGCTCATTCGAGTGCAAGAGGTCGTGAGTTCGAACCCGATAGGTATATAATTAATATTGTTTTATTTTATTTTTTTAGTCGCGTTGGGCATATTTGAGATGAGTTTATTTATTTATTTTTGTTTAAATTTTGCTTATATTTTACATGAGTTTAGATATTTGAGTTTTTACTTTTATGTTAAAAAAGTAGCAAACATGCGTATGGCCCGCCTGATTATAAGCGGTCAGCATAGCCTATATAAGCTTACGATGCCAAAAATGTCACTCGCACCGTACCCTAAAGTGTTGATCCCCTACCTCGTGGAGCCCTGAAACCTTATTCACCGACAGAAACAACGCCACCAGTATTATTTTGAATGTGAATGTTGACGTTAGCCAATTTTTAAACTACCCATATCGGGTCGTAAGTGGCCCAGACCTAAAAAACCTGTTAGTTGCCTCTACACCTTCGTTGCCCAAAACAACCACACCTCTAAATCTGGCCCTGTCTTGAAATAAATAGCAATGGAACTAAAGGAACTATACATTAAAAACAAAAAAAAAGGAACTATCCGCAAGAGGAATTCTCGCGCAAGTGTTCCCTCCTTCCTACAATCTGGGGTCCTTTAAGAGAGGCGTGAAGAAGCATTTTTGCAGGCCAGCAAAGTTAGGATGGTTGGTGTGGCAGTTTATAACTGCTGTACCAGCTATCTTCGAGTTTGGACTTTATCACCACTTAACATCAGGTGGGGAAGAGTCATTTGCTTACTTGGCTATACATAAAAAAAGGCATCTCATTAGTGTCAATATTAATAAATCAATGATAAATAAATATCGTAAATCGGAAACAGAAAAGGTACCACACCTATATTCGAGTCAATCAAGAGATTAAACTTTGGAGATGGCGACCCAAAACCGGCAATTTGGCGTAAGTCCCTGCAACTTGAGACATGTTTTTATACATTTCTTTATGATACGATTCGTCATCCCGTTTAATACACCTAAATCACCAACACGTACTACACATTACCTCTTACTACATTACTTCTTACCAACGGCCAGCGATTAACGTGACGGCTGTCGAGGTGTCGAGCGATGCTAGCTAAGCGACCCCCAGGGTTTTCCTGTATATTCTTCCATTGATGACAATGTGGCACCATACCAAATTTTAATTGAAGATCTTATTGAGAATGTGAATAACACACAAGAAGAGGCCCTAATTGATAATGATCAAGAAGAAGATGAGTCAACTCCGATTTTGTCACAGGGTCAGGCATTATCAGCAGTTAATGATTTAAAACGCTATGTAACTTCTTTGAATCAAAGCGAAGACGCACTGTAAAAGTTAAATTATGTTAAAAATCTTGTAATTGCCAATGCCCAAAATCTTTTTGTCAAACAAAAATAAATGAATAATTTTAATGCAAACGTAATAATAATACACTAAATTTTTATAACGTAAATGTATAATTCTTAAATATTGTACATTAAATACCTCAATACCTACATTAGAAATTTCCCTAACCTGTTCAATCGTCTTAAACGGGTTTTACTATATTTGCACTTTATGGTGAATTTTTTACAATATATTTTTCACTTTGTGGTGAATATTTTTGTTTAACTTTATGGTTTACTTAAATTTCATGAAGTTTATAATCCCTGTTCCAAAGGAACGTTTTATTATGAAATGAAAAGTAAGGCTTAATTTATACTGCCGCGCACTGGAATGGAAGCGAATTTTTGTAATGAAGTTATGTATAGCATAATTAATTATAGCATAAAAACTAAATACGGGCCAAAAAAGTGGCCGCGTGCATTCCGGGTATCCTCTCACATTTTAGAGAATACTCCTACCGATTATGCTTTCACAATTTTGTTTGCAAAGATCGCTTCCATTCTATTCCGCGGCAGTATAAATTGAGCCTATACGATAAATCACAGAAGTACATTTTACTGCCACCTATAAAAATCCGTATTACCTATTAAATTCGCTGTTCACATGCTGGACAAGATAATCTGTTATTATCTTTGCTGTAGGAAATATTAGCAATGCGATAATTATTTATCTACTGATATAGTGTTGTTGTAATACACCTGTTTTGATAGCTCATAAAAATTAAGTAATAATGAGCCGTTTATTTGTGTCTGTCTGAAAATAATCCTTTCTATCAATGATTTTCTATACGCGTGTTTATATAGGATTTAGACGACCTCCGTGGCCGAGTGGTATGAACGCTTTCTTTCAAGGTGTCGCTTACTCGAGAGGTCCCGGGTTCGAGTCCCGGTGGGGGCAGATCTTTGTGTGATGAATACGAGCATTTGTGCTCCAATCATGGATGTTTAATATGTATTTCTATATAAATATACTTATATATGTATCAGTATATGTATTCTATCTGTTACCCTAGTATTCCATAACACAAGCCTTACAGTGCTTACTTTGGTGCTAGGCTAATTGGTGTGAGTGTTGGTAATATTTATTTATTTATTATTTATCTTTTTCTCAGATATGCACGAGGAGGCGTTCGTTACTGCTGGCGGTTTGAATAAAACTCTTGTACAGATGGGGCTATCGTTTGAAACACCCGAAGCTTTGCGGGAGAACGGCCACCATAGATCCATAGCTTACATGAGACCGTTGTCAATATGGGCCATGTACCAAGCCATAGTCGCTAGGCCTCCACCCCCAACGCCCGTCGCCAACGGACAGGTGAAACATACCAAAGAGAAAACAAGATTGTGATTAAACTTTTATTATTTTCGATTTTATTATTTAGACCTCTTTATTAATTGTAAAGCGGTGTGGGTAGTGCAATTTTGTAGGTTGCGAGCGACTGACGTGACGATGTCCTTAGTATGGATATGCCTTATATTTCCTAATTCCTGGCTTTGGAGATGACTACAGTTTTTGAAAAGAGAGAGTGAACTGCTATTATTATGATGTCATTATTGGTTTTTATTTTCTGCATAATTAATAAGGTTTTATGTCATTTTATCAGCAGATTTTAAAAATATTTGATATCTTAATTTTTATTTCGTTGATAATGTTTTGTATCTTCCTCCTCTTTTTGTTTATTGGAGCCGCCGTTAGGTATTTCACTAGATTTGAGTTTTTGGCTAAATTCAAAATACTTCTAAGGTTCTGCTTTGTCAAATATGAAACTAATGTTGAGATATAAAATCATGAAAATACATGTAACAATACGAATGTACTTTTGACAGTTGACCACTTATTGCCTTGAGAATATAGTATACAATTTGTCAAATCATGTAAATGTAACATCGTCTAATCAAATAATTAAATATCAGTAAACAGTATGCCAATGTATTTTCTTCGTATCATACATAATGTTATAATTTTTTTGGGATGAATCAGGCTGATTATAAATAATATTTTTGAAGCAGATTTTTTAATTTAAAAGATAACGAGATCATATATAAGAGTCTGATTTTTATAAGGGTATATCCATACCAGACAACACTATCTGTTTTTTAATTTCACTACCCATTCATCGTTTATTATTTCAATTAGGTTATATGCCGATTGTGCATTTAGCTTTCCAAAGTATTATGTCACCGTATGGCGTACGATTAGCTTATTTATAATCTATTATTGTATTTAAAATGAGATAGCCATTTAATGGTCATTATGGTTTGATGTAAAAAACCATAAAAATCTTTATAATGCGTGGCACAACCGACCGCCCATGACATGCTTATGGTTCATTTAAATTACTATTATTGTGATATTTTATACGGAAAATATTTTGTGATTTGTTTATTGTAACTGTTTGCTATTAATTTAGATACTAATTGTTATACACCAATGAAATTGCAACGAAAGTATCGCACTAGTTTACTATACCTATTAATTTTATAACTTAATTTATTTTGTTGTTTGGACAATAAAATTTTATTTTTCATGCAACGTGTCGTGTTCTACGTGTGCAGTATTCACGTGTATCTTGTATACTTGGTAGGTAGTTATTTATTAGAGTACTTCATTCCACTTGGTGGTAATGTAAGAATATAGTGTAAAAGTAGATGCCAAATGAATGAACGATGTTTTGGATTTATCATTTATTTTGTCAAATTATATACGTACATATATAAATGCATTTTTGGGACACGTTATTAAAAAAGTATGGAAAAATATAATGGTTTCATTTGTTTCCTACTAACTTATTTCTAAATAACTAAGTTTCATAATTAAACTAGTGATACATTATTCCTTTTTGTACTATTGTAAATTAAATACGTATGCAGGTATGTAATTACAGAGTGTATCATGTCAATAAATAGAATTGAATTATAATTCATATTATTTACAAAATATTTACAAAGAAAATCATTTTCAGTCTTCAATAGTTTTCAAATGTCCATTTCATACAAAGCCCCACAGTTTTATAACGTCGAATTATTGAGATTTGTTTTTCATCGTCGGTCGTCGCAGTAGTTCATGCGCAAGCGCGTGGCGTTAAAGCGTGCTATGTTGAAGTATGTTTATAGCATCGCAGTCCGCGTCCTTTGAAACGTGAATTATGGGAAGCTGACGTTTCTGTTATTAGCTTCGGGGTGGTTTCCGGGCTCTAAGTGTGGGTAGCGGAAATGTTCATGTAATGATGCGCGCCGTCTCGATCGTCGCAGCGACTCCGCTCGCGCGGGAAGTTCATACGCAGGTGCGTGCCCTGCACTTCCGACTCACAGTCCAGGCGCTCGCGTGACGCGGAAGACTCGCGCTCCACTATCGTCGCCATGTGGTGACTCCTGAAAGGTATGGTATGATTGAAATCTGAGAGTTTGGGATACAGGAAAGTGGAAAATATTTAAATGATCCTCAAAACAATTGCAAACGCTCAGTGGTAACCCAAAATTTAGGTAAGATTAACTGTTGGTTTTTTTATTTGTATTTTATGGAGGATTAATAACTATTTTTTTATGATTATTTAAATATGTGCCCAGAAAATGTTTCGAAGTATCGCAGACGTCAGTCGTTAAAAATATTAGGAGACTTACAGTATCAATATTAAACTAAGAGTTAACGGCCTATTTGTCCCTGTTATTGATACGTTACAACACAAAGATAAGAACCTAATACTGGTACAACAGCCTAACTAAGGCGTTTTAGGCCTCTTACTCTAACGGCTTATCATCTACTAGAGGTGGTCCTGAATTCTACATTAATACTTATTTCGATTGAATAAAACAGTATAATCAAAAGAAAATATTAGAAAAAAAATCCACGCGGAAAAGGCAGCAGACGGGACTCGAACCCGCACCCTTCCCCTATCCGGGCGAATGCACTGGCCATTATGCTACCGAGCTCCTGACGGCCAAGTCGAATTTTCTTTAGCCTTTCTTAAGCTAGCTAAGCTAAGCTTAAGCAAGGCAGCGCCATCACTTCGCATTGTAGGTAACCCACAATGTCAAATAAATACCTTTAGGTACAAGTATTAAACATTTGAAAGAAGAAATAGAAATTATAGATAGATCTTTTTATTTTTTAAGCATATAACTGATGTTTAAATCTAACGACAATGTTACTTGAAAAAAAATCCAAAAATAAAAGCTGCCGAAAATTTGACACGGCCGTCAGGACCGCGGTAGGCAATGGTCAGTGCTTTTCCTCCTAACAATTAGCTCAATGGTATTTTTTTAGGTAGGGCATTGCCCCATAATCTACAAACCAACTGACCTTGTCTCATTTTTGGGATGTCCGAACGTCGTGAACTGCGGACCGCCGTTGAGTGGGCGCGGTGGTGGCGGAATCAGGTAGTCATCGAGCCGCCCGTCGTCGCACGAGTGCATTGTGAGGGTGCTCGAGGATATCTGCGGGCGGGGACAGTATGGTGAATCGTTATCAGCCTATCAATGTTACTACTAGATAGATACTAGAAAACTAGATAGATGGAATAGGGAGATCGGTCCATATCCCACCACGCGGGCCCAGTTTGGATTGGTAACGAATGCAGATGCAGCATGGAGTAACGGCTGAACGGCCTTCCGAAGCACGGAACTTCTAGATAGTAAATTTTTGGTCACCCATCCAAAGACCGACCACAGAGAAAGTTTACTTTACTTTATTATATAAAGAAGTTCTTATCTATGCAAATAACCGACCATAGCCAAAGTTGCTTAACTTCCACGATAGCAAGCCGAATGCGCTAACTACCTATGTTTTAAATGTTCTTACGGGCCGTCTCGATGGATGGAATAGACGGAAAATACCTCAAGTTTTTAGGGTTCTGTCCTGACAAGGAACCCTTATAGTTTCGTCATGTCCGTTTTTATTGGTGACTGTTAGCAGAGAGAGAGCTGTAATTTTGTGGAGACATGTATATCAATCATACCGACAGAATGGTAGAATAAATATTTTTTAGGGTGGCACCCCTACATGTAATCTGGAGATGATTTTTTAGGGTAGCTCCTCTACATGTATCCTGGAGATGATTTTATTTTTTCATTGTATACCCGATGGAGAAGGCTGTCGTTGAACAGACCCTTTAAAATTACTTAGGTGTTCCTAAGACTATTATTAGATTAAGGGATGCGTTTGCTAAATATTGAACTTTAAAGTGCTAATTTTTGTTCTAGTAGTGCGTCCCCCCGCTCTAAAAGTTAAACTATTGGTTTGAAAAATCTGGAAAAATTCATGATAGTGCTTTTTATGGACTTTTAAGGAAAATTATAACCGCTAAACTAGATAAGTATTTTAAGAGTAATAGTTGTTCAACTTATTTATTATAAAATTTCTGACATAACAAAAATTCCTTTGATTCCATCATTTCCTCCTGACTTAGTAGAAGTAATTGCTTAAAATATAGACTCTTTCCAAAATATATTGTGGTGACGACGAGCAACTACGGAACCCTACATTGCGCGTGGCACGACACGCACTTAGCCGGTTTCTTGGTATAGTATAGTTTCTTGCGCTTTTATTCCACAAGTGCACTCAGGCAGTAACTCAGTGGGACATAAGTTTGTGAATGCTTGCCAAGTCTCGAGTATATAGAATGAAAATACGCCATTAGGGCTTGGACCGCAGAAATTAATCAAAATCTTGACTTATTTCTGTGGCTTGGAAGACTTATTTCTGTGGCTTGGAAGACATTTCTGTGGCTTCGAAGCATCATGATGGAGGTGTGGCCTAGCCTTGGTGAAGTACCTTATCGTGCTAATAACTACCGTAAGTACATAAACCTTTTGTATATTTACGCAATTTATTATACCTTTTATGTGCAATGATAAGCTTTTGCATAGGTTTATTAATTTATAAGAGAATTGAATACTTTTATGATATTGTTGAACATACCATACTAGCGATTGACCTCGCCTTGTCGTCGTGTTCTGACTGAACACTATTCGTCTCTGCTACGCTTCCTCCACTGACTGTGCTCAAACGCCCGGACGATGATGAGCCTGAATGGAATAAATGGTTTGTAGTATACATACTGACCTATCTTAAAAATAAAACAGAATTAATTTAATTCTTTTGCACGCTTTTTAATTTTAAGAACAGTGTCAGTTTTTTTTATTGGACAAACAGACTACAGAATTTTCGGGAAATTAATTTAGTTTTATAAGTAGTAATTTTTAATAGCATCTTCATTTATTAAGGGGTCGGAGTATAACCTTGAAATCGAGCCAAACCAACCTTTATAGAATTAATATTATAAGTCTATGCGAATACTACAAGCTTGCCAGATAACTAAATAGGGACCTACTACGGAATTGCTGTTTTCAATTTAACCGGTATAACACCGATTGGCAAGCTATACGTCTTCGGTGGTCAATGCTCTGGAGATTAGCCTCAACGAGAGCGTCATTGCCTATGAGTCTCATCGCACGGTGTTCCACCGAGTCCACTGCATCCGGCTGATACCGAGCAGATCCATCCCAAAGGTGACAGCAGTACTCCAAGCAGGAGCGAACTTGGGCTCGGTAAAGGTCAAGGATCTGTTAAGAGATGAAACTTACTGTCGCTCATGCTGCTACTTGGTCTCGTGCTTCCATTCCGTTTTTCTATTGCTCCATTACTTATATCATGATCTGGAATAAAATGATATAAGTTATTATATTTGACATACTACAATTAAACTATACGAATTAATGGCTGCATATTAAAGTCGCGATGCTTACGTTTATTTTTACTTTTTGAAAACATTTTCTTAACTCTTTCAAACGGGGTCGGTCGTTTCATGTGATCTTTGATCTTCTGTTGGATTTTGTCGTATTCCTCTCTCATTTTGTTCAACTGCTCCTGTTTCTCCTTCATCGACTGTTGAGTTTCGTTTCTGTTCCTCCACTCCATCACTAACTTTTCCACTTCGGATATGGTGAACACGTTGTTCTTGAAATCGTTGATAATTTCAGCTAACTCCTCCTGTCCAGTCAAGGGACAACTCTCTTTACCAGACTTCACACTACCGCTACGACGGGCGTCTTTGGTATTCAAATTAATTTGGCTTATGTCACTAGTGGGAGTTTCAATCATAAATGTTTTTGACTCCTCGGTGGGCGAATACAGGAATATATCCGACTGTTGCGGTATCAAACGGGAACTATTTGCATATAAATTATTTGGTCTGAATTTTGGGCTTTCTACTTTAATGTTAGAGGGTTGGACTAGGTAGTCGTGCTCAATGGCCTGCTGGATCCTGCCGGCGGTGTCATCGAACGGTAACTCGTTTTGGTAAAACTGCTCCTTCACCTTCGGTAACTTCAGTGTCGGTCTTTTCTTTTCCTCTTTCGGTGCATTTGGGGTTTCTTCCAGGTTCTGAGTGCAAGCTTCGCTAAACGGATCGCTGGATTGATCTGTCGTATTTTCCTCTGTCTTGTCGTGAGTGGGGGAATCGACCGTATCGCAAGATTCGACAATACACAAATCGTCTTGTTTGTTTTCGGTCTGATTCTCTTCCTTGTCGTTGTCTGACATGTTTTTCAAATAGTAGTACATGTTGGAGAACTCGTTGATTTTCTGTTGAAAATAAAAATGTTTCGATATAGGTAATATTCTTATTATTTCTTTACTCCTACTACTTCTGGACTGGAATTTTAAAAACTTATACAATACTCTAGCTGCTTAGGTACTTCCCGCGCATACTAAGGGCTACTACTAACGGGAAAGTAATTTTGGAATATATAACACGTTAGTTTCTCGTAGTAATGAGAATATATTTGTTTGATATTTATACTTTGAAAGTGGAATGTGATTCCTACGTGATGTAAGTAATTGTTACCAGATGGTCGGCGAGTACATCGGCGAGGCGGTAGTGCTTGTGGTCGCGGGCCAGGTCCGCTGGCGTGCGGTGCCGCACGTTGCGCAGCGCGACAGCCGCCCCGCCCCCTGGACACTCGAGCAGTTGCCAACACACTCTCTCTAACCCAAACCTGGCGGCCCAATGCAAAAGAGTGGGATACTCTTCACCACCTGAAACAAGTTTTTCATTAAATAAACTCCAGACTCCTGTCAACAATCAAATATATAAATAAATATTTCCAACACTCACACCAATTAGCCTAGCCCCAAAGTAAGCACTGTAAGGGTTGCGTTATGAGATACTAGGGTAATGGATAAAATACATATACTGTACATATATAAGTATATTTATATAGAAATACATATTAAACATCCATGACTGGAGTACAAATGCTCGTATTCATCACAAAAACATCTGCTCCCACAGGGATTCGTCAGGAAGGAAGTACGGAGGTCGTCAATATTTAGTGGGGTTTGGTTGATATAATGTTCTGTGGAAATATTTCTAATGCAGTAACCGATTCAATTAAAAGCGAGACCTACTTATTCTGCGTATAAAATTATAGACGTAGTTAAATATTGCAAAAAGATGCCACGATAATTATGTTTGTCGAAGAATCCACACCCTCAGTCACGCTAGCGAAGATATTGCTACTACCTAACCTTCATGCTGAATTAGAGAGTTATATGCTAACCAATTAATTAACAAAATTGTACTAGAAAAGGCTAGAAAAAAGCGCTAGTATCGTAAGTCGACATTATTGATATTAAAATATTGATTTAATATTATTGAAAAGGTACTTACTTGATATATCTCCTTTAGGATTAAATTGCTCGTTGGAGGCCATAAGATTGAAGTGCGGTGGAATATTTTTCTGAAAAGCATTCAGCATCCAACTGTCCAGCTGCTCTTTACTGGTAGTTTTGAAACCCAAAGTCTGGATACAAAATAAAATTTATCAAAATAAGTTAGTGTAATTTCAATAAATAATGGTAGCGGGAGCTACAGTCTAAAGCTTATGTCTTTAAAGAAGTAATATTGGTCTATAATAAATTAGAATGCAGGAAAGTGGCTTAATATACCTGGCACATAAACTCCAGAGGATACTCCGAGGCTCGGAGCAGTTGGTCCAATTCTCTAAGACGACTCTCGCACTTAATTTGCCGCCTCCCCAGCGACTGGCCGTTCTTGCTCACTTTTACCCAAACCAGCATGGACACTTCCAAGCACGACTCTGTGTAAAAAGTAGGGATATTAAAGACATTATTTTATGTACATGTCATCATGGGTTTGATCAACTGTGCTTGTTGTACAAAACGCAAGTGCGGTCCTGCGTGGAATATTGCTCGCACCTCTGGGATGGCTCCGCTAAGTACTTACTCGATGCCTTGGATAGGTTGCAGCGGCGCGCTGCCCGCATCATTGGCGATGAAGAGGTAACTAAGAAACTCGAGTCTCTACAATTACGCCGTGATGTGGCATCATTAAACGCATTCTTCCGACTATACCACGGCGAGTGTTCTGAGGAGTTATTCTCGCTTATCCCTCCATCACCTTTTCTTCAGAGGACCACGCGCGCTGGCCTACGTTGCCACCGACTTACTGTGGCCACTATTCCTACACGAACAAAGAAGTTTGGCGACTCATTTCTTTGTCGTACTATTCGTAAGTGGAATTCTTAGCCCGCGCACGTGTTCCCTCCTTCCTATAATCTGGGGTCCTTTAAGAGAGGCGTGAAGAAGCATTTTTGCGGGCCGGCAAGGTGAGGATGGTTGGTGTAGCAGTTTATAACTGCTGTACCAGCTATCTTCGCGTTTGGACTTTATTACCACTTAACATCAGGTGGGGTATAGTCATTTGCCTACCTAATTATAAAAAACAAAAGAACACGGATAGTTATTTCAAAAACAGCCGCTTTGTATTACGGCGGGTCGACGCAAAAGAGGCGCTAAAATCCTGCTGAATTACATTTCCTACTCATTTACCGCTAGCCGTGTTAAGAAATTGAAACGCCTTATATAACTAAAAAGGAGTGATTTCATATAGCTACACTCTAAAATTACAAAAATCTACAATTCGGCTCACATTAGTTAAGCCGAATTGTAGATCCCGATCAAATATATTTCAAATAAGTTACTAATTTAACGTAATAAAAAAATATAAGGTAGGTTGTTTCTGGTGTTATCATGACACGTGTCTTTGTTTAGTTATCAAACGTTCATGAGTTCGTGACGTTACTGTAGTTTGGCGGCGTGCTTATCAACAAATATCCTTTGACCTAATGATGCCATACATATAGGAACAAGGAAGAAATGTGACGGAACTGTCGATGTAAATAGGTACCAAATAGTAAGTTGTAAGTTTGATTACATCAACGTCGTTTATCTTAACTTTTTCTTTATGTTGCTATTAATTGGTATTATATTAAATTAGATTATTATTAAATTATCTCAGTAAAAAATAAAGGAGCACAATACCTTGTGGACGGGACCAATCATTTATCTATGTGTTACATTACGAATTTTATTATAATTATGTTTCCATTTCATCCAGTTAAGCATCTAAGAGTGAGTTAACTTAATTGTTCATGTTAGTTTGGTATTTTTACGCTTCGAATTATGTATATTCCTAGTTTTACCAAATATTGTTTGCGAGAGTGTGGATCCTGGTATCCTATATTACAAGCCACGGCTTAGTTTCGGTGCCAGTCACCTTATAAATAACGATGTAACCCTAAATTGGTAACTTTATTTAGATTTAATACATTATTTGTAATGAAAAAAATAAACGTTATAACCTTTGGTCCTCAAAGGTACATAAGTGTTTAATCCCTTATTTACATTTCGCATAATCATACTTTGAAAAAGCTTCTCCTCTGAGCAAGATATAGGGTATTAATTGTCGTATTATATTATTTTTAGTGTCTTTTGCGAATCATTAAGGAACAGTGGAGTAGCGCGGCGGGTGCTGTGAGGTTCGCCCTAGGCAGCAATTTAAGAGAAGCGGTAAATTTGAGGAAAATATTTAAAAAAGGTGCTTAATAAAAATGAAGGTTGGAAAAAACTGTAATATATTGCTTTTAATAAAACCGTTTTCTTCGGGAAGGGGAACTAACGGGGCGACTAAGGGACACCATACGCTACTGATAAGTAGGAAAACAAATTACAAATCAACAATTTAAAAAAAAAACAAAAATAATGATCTATTTACTCTAATCATTATCATGTTTATTCAGTAAAACTATTTATTTTCTGAATGGAAAATCAAATATTTTAAATCGATTCTCACCTGGGATATCGAATTGTAGAGTGTAAGGGTTCCTCTTCTTGTAGGTGGGTATTTGTATGACCTCGCCTTTCTTGTCCACCATTATCTTAATGCTGTCCTCCTCTCTAATGGGGTCGTTGAGGAGTGCTATCACTCGACTCTGCCCCTGCGCGCAGTAATTACAACTCGGTTCTAAATAAAATCTATAACGCTTATAAAGTAAGATTTATATGTCTAATAGATGTCTAATAATTTATTTAAACTTCTTTGCACAAACATATTTACAAATGGCGGACTTAATGCCATTAGTCATTGTCTCCTCTAATTAGGCATTCTTATTAGATATGAGTCGTATTTACTAATAAAATATAAATTTTATTGTTATGAAATGTGGTTCCATATAAAGTCTACATCACTTATGAAAAGAGATTTCTATATGTTGATTTAACAAAAATAATCATAAATTTTCTCACTAAGAAATATTTTGTAGAGATATTGGTATAGATTCTGGCAGGATTCTCTAAACTTAAAACTAAATTTAACATCAGTCTGTCCTTCTCATTCTGTATAGAGAATGACAAAGATACACTGTTGTCAAATTTAAGTTTAGCTCTAGAGAATCGTGCCAGAATCTGGAGAAACTGTCTACAAGGAGATTATTATTATAATATAAAAGTTTGGTGCGTATAATATAATATGCCCAAGAAATGTTCATAATAGTCTTAACTTTTAACAAAGTAATGGTGAAGTGTTAGAACCACTAAGAGTTTATTTAAAACTCGTATAATTCATACTGTTGTACCTTATAAATTATACTGTCATTAATTTAAATATTTGCTGTTGATAAATATTATTGCAAGATACTTAGGTATATTACGTATCTGGTAACTATTACTCAAATATTGAATTCATAATAATTATTTTATCATGAAGCTAACAAAACTTACGATTTTAACTTTCTTTGGTACAATAGAGAAGCTAGTGCGGTCTGTGGCTGTATCCTTGCAGTCCTTGGTTCTCAGTATCCCAACTGCCGCAGTGAGGAAAGTGTCCACAAAAGTCGTGTCTTTCTCCCGCACGCTCATCATCTGCCATTGGTCTATGGTGGGGTACTCTATTAAACAAAATTCATCATAATCAGAGATATATGAAATGAATAAAAACATTTATTCACAACATGGTGGACGACAAATCGCAGCTTATGTTGTGCAATTTGTCTGGTCTTTAATAATAATGACTAAGATACAAATTCCAGAAAAGCATTGATATCTACGTTGACGAGCATCACGCGACTGCGCACGGCCATCTTAAAACTTGACGCGCTGTTTTGCAAGAATGTCTATAAAATTTGCAACATGTTGAGCAACACCTTGAATATATTTGCCTTGCCAAGCATAATGTTGCCTATAGTGCTATTCTGTAAAAAACTCACTTATCACCTCGGAATCCGCAGTGATTTAAAATTAGAACACGAATTTCGAATATGCCATCACACCTGCGAATTCCGCGGTGAAAAGTAAGTTTGTACGTAGCATTCTGCAAGTACACCACGGGCTAGTACCCAAGTGGCCGCTAAGTTAAATATTTGTCACAAATTATTACCTTCGCAATGATTAGCGACGATGTGATTCTTCTCCACTCCGAGCAGCATGACGAGCACTTTGTCCACCTTGAACAGGTCTTCGCTAAAGCCTTCTTTTTTCAAGTCGGCCATCTTGGCAGCGAGGTTAGGGCACAGTATGACGATTTGCAACTGTGCTTTCGACAGCTTTTCCAGTTTTTCTTGAGAGTCGCTCGACAGTAGTTCTTCTGCTGTTACCGGTGTTACTCTGAAAGATAAATTTATTTATTAAATAACTTTTCTTTTTCCGTACTTGACAACGGTTGGCAACGGAACGGTATTGACGCTAGGTGCATACTTAAAATTAAATAAAAATGTGTCTTATACAAGTAAAGCAGGAAAATTATTGGGACTGTTTTACTTGATCCAGTGTCAAATCTTGTAATTATGGTGGTTCGGAACCTTCACTATTTCAGCCCCTACTGTCCCTACTGTCAAAACTAATCCCAATCCCTTCTTGCTTCGTCGTGGATTGCAGAATTTGTAGTCGAAACCACACGAGTAAAACAATTTGAAACGCTACAGAAATGTGTTACGGTACCCTATTGGTTTCAGTGCCATATTTACCCAGTGGCGAAGAGAGTCATGGCCTGGGCGGCAGGCTTCGAGGGGCAAGAGTCATATAACGGCATTCGTCACTGAACTATATTTTGATTTAATTAAAACACTCCTGATTGTTTTTTTTCAAATAAGAGGAATCTGCTGCTCCACTCTAGCTTCCTAAAAGTCGATGATATGGGATCATATCATTAATATATTAGTCTAATAAAATATACTTACTAAAACAGTTCTGCTTATTTGTCGTGAAGTTGTTGAAAACATCACTTAAATATATATATATCGAATAATAATAATTTGGTTTCTCCATAATGTAGAATAATTGGCTTATAATATTTTTTAAATCTAAGTAATTTAACAAATTCCATGGCTCAATAAATAGCTGTTATTTGTTCCCCATTTATATACTCTAAAGTACCTAATCTACAGTTGAAAAGCTCAATGTAGCATTCATACCTAAAAATATGCCTAACAATGCCTAATGCCTAACAATAAAAAAAATCATAAATATATCACAGCCTGTAAAAAAATATCAATATCAGTAGCACTTCTTCCAATTTAATCAAATCCAGTTTCATTTTGTTACCCTGTTTATAGCTAAAAACCCAGCAATACCCATTGTCATTTGTGGAGTCTTTTAAATTACCTGTAGTGGTGTCTCGCTCGCTGCGACATGATTTTGTCGAAACTGGCTACTAGATAGTCGGACCACAGCGCACTCTCAGGGGAGGCAGAACTCCAAAGTATAGCTATGTCTTCCATTTCTGTAACAAACAAAATGTAAGTTCTTAATTGTGAAAAAAATCACAGGCATTCATTGATTTTTCAAGGAAAAATGTTACATAAATGAGAAAAGATCCCCTCGGCGTTAACTTTGAGAAAAACGTTTTGAACTTTTTTTTTACGCTTAGATGTTAGGTTCTGAGAAAGTCGAGTCATTATATTCGAAATTTAATCGTCCCTAACATTAGCGACACAGCGCTTATTGTGTGTAATAATATTCTCTTTCCAAATCCCCATTAGCCGAAACGTCAATCGAACACAAATGCCAATACAAATTATACGGTACCCAGAGAGGATGTGTTGTCAAGGGATAATCAAGACATGAACGATGTCGTTCACTTGATATCGGATAAAGGTCATTGGCTGGGACGAAGTTCACGGGTCTCATTACATACACTCAATCTTGTCTAAATCCTAATACGTAATCATCGTTAAGGAAAATGTTCTACAATGTAAACTCTGACGTTTTCATATTAAATAATGTAAACAGTAATTTTCTAAAACTATTTATGCTTCACCTTGGGTGATTAATAACACAAACTACGGTACAAAAATAGTTGATGCTTAGTTAAAGCCATAGAAAATTGCAGTGTTCTATGCACAGATAGTTCTATGTACAGATTTTATCAAAGAAAGCTTTCCCAACTCAACTTTATGTTCAGCTGCAGCTATTGCAACTTTCCACTTCACCCCACATTCCATAATGCTATTACTCATGGAGCACTCGAGTTAATTAATTCAACTGTAGCCAATGACTAACAAGTGTAATGCGTTTTAAAATTAGACTCGAACAGTTTATGAAAGTACGTATCCATAGACCGCTTTGGAGCAATATCACTTTAATGGTGCTTACTAATTGAAAGAATACCGGATACCCTTTGTTTACTTAACTAGGAAAACTGGGCATTTACTTCATTCGTGTACTCAAAATTTAACTTTTATAGCGGACGTGATTAAATATAATACTATTATATTTACTTGAAAGAAAATACCATATCTATCGGTTCCTTATAAAATAAATGTTATATTTATCAGAACTACGGTTTTGCTTTAGTAAATTTTGTTAGTGGCAGCAGTGTTCCAAAAAATACTTCTATATTCCCTTTTGAGTAACATAGATAAAAACATACGCAGGCCGTTAAATTTTTTTTATTGCAGCCAACGCCGAGCATAAGCTGCGGCTGCTTACAAAATATGCTATGCACCGCGCGCGCCGGAAACGCACACGGATTTATACTTACCCACCTCTGCCGCCAAATGAAGACCTGACTAAATGTAATATCCGTTTCCTAAATAGACAAACGTGTATGGCGTTGCTTGGAATAGCTATGCCCGATTAGATGCAACGGGCGCAAGCGCAGGTTGAATACAATTTTGAGCCGTTACTTTATTTATTTCTTTTATAGTTTTACTGGTAATATAGTGAGTTCGAATGATTTTAAGTAATCTTTATCTACTCATAAATCGCTAGTAAAAACTCTATCTACTTGTTCATATGATTAGGTATTATTGTCGTTATTTGGTACTTTAAATCTTTTAAGCTGGTGAAATAATAAATATATAAGTACAAGTGACTATCGCATCATACTTATTGATAATAAATTTCAATAACCCATAGACCTTTTAGATAAATCAAGTAAGCAGTCAACAACGCGGTAATAGAATTAATTTTGTTCGCTCCTATATAACTTTGAGTGCAGTTAAACATTGCGCCACGTGTAAATAAATCTCAAAATAAGTCCAGACGTTGTTATGGTTGGCTGAGTTAAATGTCCGTAATGTCCGTTTATGAGAGGGTTGGTTAAAACCTCCTCACTTATAGCCCCTTCAAAGTTAATTTTAAGATGGGATTATTTTTAGAGGAGGAAGAAGATATAGTTACATTATTAGGGTGAGTTTAAAAGTAGTAAGTAAAATTGAATTAGAAGAACTGAATTACATAATTTTACCTTATTCGAACTAATATTTCATGATAGATTGATATGATTATTATTCAACTTTTTTTAAGTACTAGTGTATCCCATGTTGGCCTATTCCTATGAGTACCAACACAAAAGTATAAACATAAATAGGTACATTCAGAGTACATTACGTCCGTAGTCAATTGGGGCGTGTTTTCAGCGCGTTCAGTTTTCAGTTCAGTGGGCCCCTTTGATATATTGCACTTCCCTATATCGGATCTGACAGCATCCAGGCTTTTTGGTCTGACGCAACTTCACGAATGGGATGTGCCTTCTGTGTTCGACTTGTCAATGACTGGCCAAGTCTTAAGCAAGAAGGCGGCAATGCAATAAATCGCGGATCAAATGGAAAAACGGTGTTTTTTCCACTTTTTTCTTATCTATTTTCCAGTTAAACTAGATATTAGTATCTAGTTACACGAAATTATATAGTAAATTTACAAGTTTTCTAATGATTCAAAAGTATAAGTAGGTACCTAAGGACCTACCTAAAACAAGTCCAACAAGGTTAACCACTGTGGCGTTAGTCATTGTACGTGGAAATAATGCATTTTTTTTGTGTGCATAGAGTTTATTTCTCATAAAAACATACAGTTTACTTATAATGAGATTTACAATTTTGACATTCTAATATTAATGTGTGACCGCTTCTGCATAAGATAATATGCTTTGTGATAAGGATATTCTTAGAATTTCCCTCTTATAAAATTTTAAAGTTAAGTGTGATATACTCTTTTAATTTACTTTTAAATGTATTTTTACAATCGCAATTTTTTATTTATTTCATCTGGTAGCTCGTTAAACAGTTGTACTCCCTTCGTTTAACAGTTTTTCTTCCCGATATCGAAAAACGGTTACGTACTCATACAAGTAGTTAAGTATAAGGATTAGTACTGGAAAACAGGCTATTTCACGTTAAAACTTTTAAGAATTGAGTACCGAATTAATATCTTGTGATGTGTCTTCACACTCACATAAATTCACACTTTCTACGAACAATGATTTCTTCTGAGAAACAAAAATAGCTAAGGCACAGGAAACAACGTGCGCACAAATGATCAATTGATTATTATTATCGAGAGATAATTAAGTACACTCCGGGACAGGTGAAATTAAATAAAAGCTTGTTAAAATCAAAAGGGGTCATAATTAACACTGATTGGGTGCCTAATAACGAAAGTCGAAAATGTCTTTACTTGTGGAGATGAAATGGAGTGAGTCTATAAGTAACGTCAACTAAGGCCGCGTTGTTTCATCGCTAGTTAAAGACTATAGTTGCATTTACTTCAAATACATAGTAAATGTGTAAAACATAGTAAATGTGTAAAAATTTGACAAATGGTGACATTTTATTTAACAAAATTTTACTACAACGTCGATAAAACATCAAGCCCTAAGTGTCGCCAACCAAAGCTTTCCTTTCAGCTTTCAAAAGCACGTTATTGTCGGTCGATAATATGGGATGCGTTATTGCGATATAACTGTTTTTAGTGGGTACCTACACTATGTATTCGAACGGCTACGAAGTTACACGCTGCTACGATAAAAACGTCGCAATAGATATATGTAGCTAGGACACATAAGAGATTATCTACCGATAAACGCATCTATGGGTTTAAAGCCTGAATAAAGCAGCTAAAGTTTTAGGAAAAGTGCCAGAAAGGGGAACGAAAGTTTGTTTAAAGGTATTTAATATTTTTGGACTTCAAAGTTTTTAAAGTTTGGACATGTAGGCTTAGGTAACGTCGGCACATTACCTTTTGGGATAATTCAAAGTCGCAGACCTGTGTATGTTTTTTAATAAATGACAGTTTTCAGGTCGTGAAACGCGATATTCTTCAAGGCTAAAATTAAATAAATTATTGATATTTGAATTTAATTTTATTTGTTTACTTTATCTAATAATAACTTTAAGCATACACACACACATGCGCACACCACTCACACACACTACTAATCGATCAGACCTCAGCGTTGTGGTTGATTATTGTTGATTGCAACATATTCTTCAAGGCTCATTTAATAAATAAATATAATAAAATTAAATAAATTATTGATATTTGAATTTAATTTTATTTGTTTACTTTATCTAATAATAACTTTAAGCATACACACACACATGCGCACACCACTCACACACACTACTAATCGATCAGACCTCAGCGTTGTGGTTGATTATTGTTGATTGCAACAGGTGCTAATTAGCGCTTGGGACCGTTTTGGTTGAGCACGTTTATATATCTTCATACTACCTACCTACCTACTGTAATTATGCCCACGTGCAGCAAATTTACTTTTTCAACTAAAATCAGATTTATCCCATAGAAAAATATCAAAACGTAGAGTGGAATGCCGAATAAATTATATTTGATTTGATATTCAAAGATTGCGTTCATCATATAATGTGAAGCTAATGACTTAGTTTAATAAAGCTAATAAAATCGTTATAAAAATTGTGTAATAACTAATTCAGCTTGATCCTTGTAAGGTGGAGGTTGCTCTCCCAGACGTACGTTCCAAACCGAGCTAGACAACGCTTACCTCTTTTAAAAGAATTATTATAGCTAAAAACCACACAAAAACTGTAGCTTTACCACGGCATATTATGATTTTGCCCTCAAGTGTATTTTAGGGGAGGGAAATATCGTCTGGAAAAATATCTACCTACCATTAAAGCACATACCAACGTTCCGTTTCTTAGAAATCATTATAGGTCTTCCCCGAAACGGATTATTGACAAGACGCGGGAACAAAACAGATATTAAATAAGTACCTCTATTGTGAGATAAGAAAACCAAAAGGAAATATTACTGGAAGATTAAAGTATACCTATATTTTCCTAAAATCGAACATTTGACTTAGCAGTGATTAAGATCGTTATTATATCAAGAAACTCTATCATCTTTTATAAATACATATATACACATTTTAAGTATTGGCGGACCCTAGCCTAAAATAAATGTTACATTGAGCAACTTTTTATACGCAGTTTTTTATTATATAGAAATAAGTATTACACACACACATATATATAGTTGTTCACAATTAAATATGCGAAAAATCGATACAATCGACTATTTGGTTTTTATGTTTATTTTTATTTCCAAATTATATCGAAAAAGTAACCTTATTTAAATCGAAAAATCTCTCGTCAATAATGTTATTTTTCTTAAAGTTGGTGCGTTTTCAGTTCTTTGGAACCGCTTCTTTTGAATGGTGTTCAAAAAATATACATTACCAACTATGTATCCATAAATTACGTCACACGTTAAGGGGGAGGGAGGGGGTCGATGAAGTGTGACATTGTGTGACAAGGGGCTGGGAGGGGTCCTAAATTTCGTGACGTCACATTTAAAAATCTATTATAATCGAAATGTTGAAACTATAACTTTACGAAAACATAAACAACCCAAACGAGAACAAAGTGCTGCTATGCCTGTTATAAATAATTTAAAGAAGCGGGCTCAATGCCTATGGACTCAAGATTATTAAGTTTGTATCTTTAATGTAATCATAATGCAATTCATATTTGTTTTATTAAATTGTTGGATTTGATGTTAATATTATTAAAAAACAAATTTGAATGAAAATAAAACTAATTTCAGATCCGCTGTTTACATTCAATAATTTCTAAATTTTGTAAAATATGTGACGTCACACTAGGGAGGGGGGGACCAGCTGTGACAAGGACGGGGGGAGGGGCAAAAAATCATGAAATTCGTGTGACGTAGTTTATGGATGACCCCCATGCATCGTCACGATTCGCGACCTATAAGGGGAGAAACGGTTTATCGCGAATTCGGATTTCTATAAAAAATATAACTCTTTGACGGGAGATTTTTGATTAAAGAAATAATAATTACTATTAAATATTAATGCAGAAACACGCAAATTCCAAGAAAAAAATGACTCAGAAAAAACTATCACGAATTGGCAAATAAAACAAACAACTAGTAACCCAGAGTAAAAAAAGTTCCCGTGAATCAAACCCGGTATCCACTGCCGAGATGATTCACGTTATCGAAATAAAGCGCCTTATTTTTCTCAGGGCACTGTCAGAGTGTTCTTAATAAATCATTCATTACGGCATAACTCCGTTTTTTATGTTCTGCAATGCTAACTAATTGAATACTTATGTAGGTCGACGCTACATGATAATGCGCAAATATTATGTTGGGTATATGTAAAAGTATGCCCAGTTAGGTACCTACCTTATATGGCAGGAACCCTTTTTATGTCCATTCTGATATATTGCATATAGTAGATAGTATAACTAAATGGATAAACCCATATTAGGTATAAAGAAACTTATCTAAGTATGTTATTGAGTTAGTTTTTTAAATCAATAAAATTAAAGTGTCTTACTTAAAATGATCACTGATTTTTAAAATTCTTCTTCGGTAAAACAACATAAGCGTGTATATAAACGTAACTAACTGCCAGATAATTAATTTGTTGACATTTCGCCTTTCGAAAAGTAATCTCCTTAAACGCAGCAAACAAAAATATAAATCAACCTTATCTGATAACAAGGACAGTTGGTCGTTAACCATAGAACAATCCATCATTACTTGAGCGTTATATATAACTTGGTGGGTACACAATTTTGAACTTTGTTTTCCTAATGCGAAAGCACTCATTAAGCGTGATGATAAGATACAACTTCGGTTTGAATTAATTATTCTACTAGTTCTTTTGTTTAAATTCCTATAATTTCCTTGTAAGTTTGTACTTAACTATTTATTTTCAAATTACAAAATACTAAAAAAAGAAGAAAGATAAGAATTTGAATTTTATAAAATGCTTAACGTTTTGATTACATCGTATTTTTGGCGCATGTTAAATTTTCTAAACTTCTTTAAGATAAACAAATGTGTCAAATAAAATAAACAAAAACCAACATGTACCTAATTATTATTAACCGTGTAAACGATGTTAACTAACAATGAGCCCCAGACTGTTTCCGGTTTTATGTCAATTTCTAAATGGATGCTTCCTGGACTTATGAATTACGAAATAGCAGTTCATACTTTGTAGAATGTAAACGCTCGCAGAACACACGCACGAACATCCCAAGAGGCGGATGATATAAAACTCGAGTGTGACAACAATGTATCGGTCAGGTAAACGTCTCGATCTGTGGGAGCGAACCTCTACTGAGAAACCAGAATAATAGTAGGCGTTCAAACATTTATATTCTAGATGCGACTACATTACGGGAGCTACTTCGATGCATGTAAATTACACTATGTTTATTCAGCCATACGCGCCGACCGGCATAAGTAATGCGGACCCGACAGACAATGTAAATGCACCCCGATTTAAGTTGTAAACTTTACCTTTAAAAGCATAAGGTACAAGGTCCTGTACCTGACAAAGTTTCGACTATTAATTTAACTCGGTAATGAAGCACAGCACTGTGTCTCTTTGACATTGATTTTGGATCGGTTTGGACATCTTCGAATCACAAAGTGTGACGCGGTATCGATGCTGGACATAACAATGAATATTTTATATTAATATCGAGTAATACTAAAGTGGTACATAATTAGGAACCTTCACTAATAGCTCAATAAGCTCTTAAAGGTATTATGATAGGAATTATAAAAGTACCGTTAAAATTTAACAGGAAAGTGTACTCTACGTACATTAGTGTGAACAAAAAACGTTAAAATATAATTAACCACACATATAGCCAGATAAGTAATGAACAAATACCAAAACTTAGTGTAAACAAAAAGTTTGTTGTCCTTACTTATCTCTTAGGTGAGTATGATTATCCGTTTTACTGAAAGTAACCAAAACTTTCTAAGTATATTCTACTAAGTATCTTATCAAATACAAGTAAGTACTTTTCCATGTACATTGAATAACACCAAAAAATAAAATCTATCACAATATGACATTTAGCAAAATTTTCACGCATAACTAAAAGCTTTTATCGTACTCGAGTATATGCTGCTTAAGAGAAAAAACTTACTCGCATCCATTGTCTCTTTAACGCGTTCGTCCTTCATGGCGAATTTGCAAGTCTCTATTTCGCGAACTAACCGTTTAACATTGCACAGAACTGCATGCGAGCACTGGAAAGCACTAAATCGTTGAAGAGTCCTCGCGAGGAGTGCGCAGGCCGGCGCACCGGGGCAACTTACTGGCGTCAGGCAGCGCGCGCGCACGCACTTCGCATACTAAAACAAAACGTCGCGACAATAATCGCACTGTGTGCTGTCGTCGCGCGCCATCCATTCCATCCCCGACGCCTAATCTCCGCAAACATATTTGGGACCTCGTGTAAATATTCCCGAGGCGTTATCGATCACCAAATACGAGCTTGTTAACACTAAACACGTCCTCGATGATGGCATTCAGCCCGTGATGTCAGAGATACGCCTAATCGGCGAAACATTACGGTTTGTGAAAAATTGATAAGTTTTTAGGATCGCTCTATTGGCTCAACGATAACCTTCGCAAGGCACGTGGCATTTTAAAGTCCATAAAAAGTTTCTCTACGATTATTTACAGATATTTAGGTACTTACGTATTTGTTGCTTCGAATTTTGTAATAATATGATTTATCTGAAACATTGTACGGAGATAGTAGTTCTCCGAATTTTCAACCATTACGATGAATATCAAAGACGCCGCGATTTCGTTATATCCGTAAGTAACGATGCGACTGCTTGCATTGGAGGTCAAAGTTCGGAAAGTGCAACGTTCGTGTATCGGTCCTACGTCTTAGTTGAGTGAGTTGTTTATTGTCTTTTATCAATACTGATTTCACTTCCATGTCCATATTGTATCCTAATAATAGAAGTTTAGTGGGTGAATTTCCTTTAGATAAATAGGTAATTAACGTAGACAATAATTGAAACTGATTATTTGTTTTCATCGTAGTAATAAACAATACAAACGTCATAAATGCCAAGTATTGACGTGCTGTTTCACTAAGGTCCACTTGCAGCAGTTTCACTTAGTCTTAATTTAACTAAAACTAAATTTTGCCCCTACTATAATGTCAAATTGACGTTGAGGTTTTGACATTTTTCAATAGGTTTAATCTAGTAGGATTAGTTGAATCGAGATTAGTGAAATTGCTGCGTGTGTGGACCTAAATCTTCTTCAACTGCTTTTAACCTACTTAGCGAAATATTTAGAAGTACACAAAAGTAGAGCTTATTTTTGTAAAAAAAATATCGGACTGTCTGTTTGTCCATCGGTCTATCTATAAACTAAACCGCAAAATTGATCTTTATAAATGCTTTGCACCAAAACCCGTAAGCGGACGGTAAAAAAAATATGTTGTACATAGGGAACCGGAGTTTCTTTATTGGGGTTACTTTATATTCATTTTAGCCTGATAGTTTTTATTATTAGTTTTAAATATTATACTAAAAGAAAAACAATCCGGCATACTGTCTAAAAAGTTGTACAATAAGTGCTTTTCGTAAATAATATATTTACATATTATAATATAACATAATAAACTATGTATGATAAGTTGTACAAATTGTAGGCGAACCGAACCAATAAAAGAGTTTTTGTTTGGAGAAAAGCTGATCTTCGATAAGATGATCTACCATTTGTTTTCACAAAAATAAACTTGGGGGCTAGTGAAGTAGGAGATAAAAGTGAGCAGCGGAAACAGATTTTTCCAAGCAAACGAGTTGCATCATCGAGTAACGTAGTAACTATATACATGTTATACGTAAACTCATCATTATACCTCTTTAAAACTGTACCGAAAAAATACGCACCTTTAAAGATAAAATTTTTCGGTCTTCTCCGTTTGACTTCTTCTTCCCTCTGCGTGAATCTGGGTGGTGGCATTTTCGGTACTTCGCTAGGAACGGTGGTGACCTCCCCCGTACCACCGCCTTCAGTCGTCAGATAGCCTCCTACCGAATGTCTCCGGCGTCCCTGGAGGGGAATGGTATAGAAAACTTCTTCACGTTCTTGCGGACCCTCCGATGTCACTACTGTTGCACTAATCTTGCCTTTCCTAGTCATAAAAACAGGCAGGTTTATAAAAGTTTTACTTATCGTCTTAAAAAAATATACTGTTCAACAATGCGTTAATATCTTACTTGATGCGCGGTGCTGTAAAGGTATGTCGCATGTCACCTGGTGCACAATCCCCAGGTCTGGGCTGTCCTCTCAAGAATGCTTCAGCTTGTTCAGGCTCTCTTGCAGATAGTGATCTGAGTAGCGCTCTAAACTCCTTCCGCCTGGGGCTCTCCGGCTCTCGCCGCCGCGGTGATCCCAAAGGTCTGATGGAATCATGCCAACTTCGACTCGGGGCAGAGCGAGAACACGGCTCTGACCCCGGCGGCGGAGACCGAGAATCTTCGCTGACCGGCACATTCTTTTCCGGCAACGCGAAGTAAGACGGATTATCTGTAAGGAAAAGTTAATTAGTAAAATTACGATTGATGGTCAAACCGGGGACGGGCGACGTTGAGCGAGCTGAAGACAAATGATTGTTTACCAAGAATCATGGCGTGCGCAGTGGGTATTGGTAGCCTGGCGACTGTGCCTTGCGGGAATTATTCAATAACGCCAATGAACTAACGGCTCTCCATTACGTCCAGTGCGGGCCGAGTGGAGCAACCTACTTTTATATGCCGGAAAATACGAATTGAAGGCAATCGCCTAGCCCGCCCTGCCACGCTGTGAGCCCATCTCGTGGCGGTAGGCGGGATGCCGACTTAAAACAATAGAGGACTCAATTACATAGTACCTGGGAATTTAGGACAAATTCATTACTTTGTTTTCTGTTTTTTTTTCTATTTAATCAGTCAAAGGTATGAATTTTTATATATGCTATGAAAAGCGAAGTTCAAAAATTGCACATTAACTACATAGGTATTGAAAAAGTATTTTTTTACACTATTCCATGAAATTTTTGACAGGTATTAAAAAGCTTTAAGACAAAAGTTTCTATTCTAAATTAAGTTTCGTTAGCAACTAAATATGCTGTCATGTTGTAACCACAGTTTACTGTGATTTTAAAAACACATTAGGATATTTAGGAAGAAAATTACTTTTTTGTTCAATATCCGAAACCCGCATATGTTGTATTCTTATATTTCAGGGGTCGAGGGTGGCATAATACCGTATCCCTGGGAACATGTGGTCTCACACAAAAACGCTCGCGCACAATAGCGCACCACAAATGAAGTACCTACTCAGAGCGTTTGTTACTATTATAGTACATCATAACAGGCCAATATTGGGCCGATGATGTATTTGACAGTAATTAATTAACTATTAAGTACGCTCACGTGCTCAATCGAAGTTTGTTTATGCTATTTGCGTCTTATCTCACAAGCAGATTTATTTTTGATTTTTAATACAGACTATCCGTCAGCCGCAATGCTAAAATATAAGCGTTTTATGATGAAAATTTTAAGTAGTTTTTTTAGTTAATTACAAAGGTTTGAAATTAAAGATCTTATTTTTAAATATAGCGAACTTTAATAGAAAACACTATAATTACCTATTCTAAATAAAAAAATTAGAAACCACTCCAAAAAGAATGTAGGTACTTTTTATTCAATCTTTTTTACCTCTATTTTCGAAAATCGTAACGGCCTAGTACTAAATAATAATTAGAACAAAATAACATCTGTTACACAGTACGATCAATTTAAAGCATCCGTTGTATGATGAATCAGTAAAAAATTCTTGGAAAGTTTGTAAAATGTGCTCCGCATTGCTTTTACGAATAATAAAGTCTTTCATGACTTTTCGGGCAAATGACTAATTTATTTGTTGTTGCATATTGTACAATCTTATCGATCCTTAAGAGCCTACTAAAAATGTAGAGGGCACCAAACACTGAATCAACAAACAAAAAGTCGCAAACCGTCATTTTTTAAACCGGGTTTAGAATAGTACACAATACATTTATTGTTTTTAAAATGTTTGAGTAACCCCTAAGGGCCTCAACATAAAAGATCTTCGATGATACGGAGCCTTTTATGCAGGAGTATTTAACCATTAAGATTCAGTTGCAAGAAAGTTCTTTACTCGAGTTAAGGCATTTAATCGTTATAATTTTTATTGTTTAAAGCAGTTACATGCTTAAAAAAAATAAAAATTATAACTATAATTGCTATTTCCTCTTTCAAATGTTTAAAACTTGTAAAAGTATTCATTTGACATTGTGGGTTACCTATAATGCGAAGAGATGCCTTGCACCTTAAGAATGACTAGAGGAATTTCGACGCGGTTCGTGAGGGCCGCGGTAGCATAATTGGTCAGTGCATTCGCCCGGATTGCGAAGGGTGCGGGTTCGAGTCCCGTCTGCTGCCTGGTCCACGTGGAAGCATTTAATCGTGTTTAGCACATTATTCCATCTTTGTCAATTATTTAAAGTCAAAAAAATACAGAATACGACTAAAACCTGATTAGCTTTAAAACTAGAAGTAAGAACTTTGGTACAAGTGAACTTTAGTTTAAAAATTACAAGTTAAATATTTTAATAAAATTCAAAATTGTATTATGTTATTCTTAAAATCAATAGCATTAATAATAAATGAATAAACGGGAGGGTGGCTTGCGTATTTTTATTTATATTTGGTATTTTGTCTCTGATCGTCGATTACAAAATGTTTTAATTAGTTGATGAAACAAGACACTGCGTAACATTGCCAAGGTAACATCTTCTATTTAATAAAAAGTTTTAAGTATATTAAAATATCTAACTGATGAAACTCAAAGTCCAAGAGTAAGTGTCATATTTGCATTCGTTTCATGAGTTTCATATCGGGTTTACATTAAATTATATTTTATTTATGTCAACCCTTGCGCAATTCAAAGCATCAAGAGGACTATAACCATACTGAAACGGAGAGCTAGTGGGATGGAAAGTGAAGGCTATGATTTCAGAAGCAATGGGTTAATTTACACTACTTTAAAAGCAATTCACAAAATAATATTATAAGCAGATGACAGACAGAAAGACAACAAGAAACACACAAACTATATAGTGATGCTAGAAACACAACAGTAATTTTGATAGGAAAAATCATAAATATGTCAATACTTTAAAAACACTTCAAAAGCTGTAAAAATGTAATATATCAAAAAGGTCGGCAACACATACGCTACGTAACCTATTCCTCATGAGTGTATTGTAAACCTTGGACAATGGACCAAGGATTACGTTAAGATCGCTTGGACGAATAATACCTACAGTATTTTGGTTAAATGGGTCCCTGTTACTATTCGGAAAGAACATGTATATATATGTGTATATCCATATCCTAATGTGTTTTTTAAATAAAACATATTGGGAAGGTTAATTGGGTCTCCACAGGATTTTTGGCAGCTCATTTGCTAAAGTATTCGCTCGAAAAGCAACAGGTCGCGGTAAAGAAAGCCACGGTTGTTTGACAAGTATGTTTTGAAAAATACAGTTTTCTTTATATGAAAATCCAAAATGATGAAAATAAAAGATATGCGGTGAAACATTCCCAGGTAGGAATTAAAACAGAAAAATAAAGAATTTTGAAGCATTTTAACAACGATATTTTTAATAACATTGCATTTTAAATGCAAATATATGTATGTATAAAGTAACTTAAGTACCTGCTTACGTTTTATCTGATAGGTATAACATTGATTTCTTTGTTCTATTTAATTTATCATCAGTGTCTTGAGACATAACTGCCTTCAAAAATGTATATGCAATTATTAAATTTCGCAAAAATACTTCAATGATAGTACACAAATACTCCCGGATGTATGGTTATTGTAACACATTAATGTATTGAAGACTGTTTACTGTTTCAAATAATCTGAATCACACAGAACCCTAAATGGCATCTTGATATAGGTACTTATTGAAAAAACTACTGTTGCACTAATCTTGCCTTGCCTGGACATAAAAACAGGAAGGTTGTTAAAAGTTTTACTGATCGTCTTAAAAAATTATACTGTTTAACAATGTGTTAATATCTTACTTGAAAAAAATATACATGCATAAAATTATATCTATGCACATTTTAGGTCACAGAGCAACACGGACGCAATCGGAGCGTTCGGTGCTGCTCTATGCTTCAGGCAGATATCTTAATATACATTTCGTACGGTACTTACAAACTTTCTTTATGCTTAATACGAGACAAGATAAATAAAGCTATGTGACAATGTAGGAGACAAATTATTAATAGGATTGAGAAAACCACTAAATTATAGAAATATTTGATCACTTATAATTTATGCTTTTTCTATTGACTTCCGTTTTGCCTTTATATATATTAGACGACTCTCAAAGACGCATTATATTTCACCCAATATAATATTAGACTTTTCAACTTAGCAGTAAATTTATTTTTTTAACTTAGTGCTGAGATTACAAATCACCATCCCGATTACCGAATTTCCTTACAAACAAACATTATCCTCTCTTTTAAAATTCAACAATACACAATTAGTGCGGTCATATCGGTCGAGCAGATCTCGTTCTCAAGTAAAGCTTCGACTTATTTAAATATGCATATCGGTTTATATATACATATAAGTATACACATATTTATAAGATGGCGGCAAACTGCATAAGTATTACACCATGGCTTAGCTTATGAACGATCTAAGCATTTACATGTTAATGTGTTAATTTTATCAACCGCATATTGTAATTATGTACATTTATGCGGACGTAGAGCCACATAGGTATTTACATAAATATTTGTATGTGTGTAGTATAATAGTATACTAGTCTTTTTTATGTAAACTTTTAGGATTTAATTGTTATAAAAAAAAGGTCGCATATTTAAAAAGCAAGTAAGTACTATTCTCTGAGATCACTAATGATAAGGACATCTAGGATATATAATAATTATAGCGAAAAAAAGTTTTCTCTGGAAAACGTTTAGGCGGACGAGGGCGGGCGGCTGAATGTTTTACTATTCATAAACAAAAATAAAAACTCGAAAAGCTTCGAAAGAAAAAAAGAGACAACGAATGGATAACGATATTCAAAAATAGAACTCACTCGTAGCACGGAGACAATAGTCAAATTGGGGTCCCATGTTTTAGAGCACCAGTACACTAAGCACGACACATCCCGTCGACAGCGCGGCGGGCTCTGCTCTGTGGCTGGCGGCATCTCATGCGCCGGCGCAGGTGGCACCGGGTGCAGGCACACGTGCGGGCTTTCACGAGGAAGCAGAGCTTTAGCACGCGCGACAGGAAGCAACCAAATATCCACAAATCCCAAATCCAACCTTAGCCCTTTGCAATAAAAACCATACAACACAAGCTACGCTAGAACCCAGATTTATTCTCTGTCCTACGAGTCCGCGGGTGCATCCGTTTTGGTACCAAGCTAGGCGCTATGTTTGTAAATAAACACCGTATACTGTTGATGTTTTGCTAACGTTCATTCATATATTCGGCGCCTGTTCAGCATTGCTCTGTACGGGTCGCTCATGAAAGTCGTTTACTCATTACCCTGCACGTAAAGCGGTCAACGAATTTTAATTGGATTCTTTCAATCAGATCGACTGCGAATGCCGTTGCCACACCTTTCGTACGATTTATACAAGAGAATTGATAGGTATAGCTATATATTTGACTAAATAAGTAAAAGCTCTTTACGTAAGCACGCAGCATAAAAAAAAAACTTTTCGTTATTTTAACAATTTTTACGTGTTATTTAACTGAAATCCCAAAGTTTATGTTTCATCAAAATAAAAACATAATAAAAGCTAATAAAAGTCGGCTTGCAATGGTGCATGACACCATATTACATTTTCAATCTATACCTCGCAGTTGTTCGAAAACTGAGAACTGTGACGCGGCCGTGGGTCCCATCGAGAAACACTCGCTTCGTTACACAAATATACTAATCGGTTAAGATTTGTTCTATTAATAAAAGTTATACTTTAGATATTGTGGTTTTAATAAAATTTACGATTTAATAAAATATTTTATAGTATATTTTAGAAAGGAAAATCACACGTAACTCAAACAAATTGGTATGATCGCATAATCAACTTTCAATTTAACTTTTAAAATGTTGGTTTTTGTTTTAATTACCTAAAAATAAAAAATAAATACATAAGTCATATTGACAATTTAAGAATAATATAGCTGTTATAGACGTATCGTGGTCAAGTCACAGTGGGTACAGATGGACCCAGCCCAGGGGGGGGGGGGGTCCTGACCCCCATGACCACAACCCCCCCACCCCCTGGATTCCTTCTTGGTTATACAAACTGTGGTTCTTTAATCAACGTGATTTTTTATTTTTCTATATTTTGTGTTGATTCCCAACAACATTTTTGTGAAGAAACAATTTATTTAAATGTTCTTAGTTATATCAAATATAATACTCGATTATGAATAGTAGATGAATACGATCTAAAAAAAATTTCAAAAGCGTTCCTAACACGAAATCGATCGAATCCAAGATGAGACCCTCGGTTTGTGGAAATAAAAAAACTTAGCCAGATGTTGGGGTCGCCTGTTTACATGCATCTGTAAAACAAAGCGCAGTTTTGTGCCGACTGGATTCACTAAGGAAGGGCAGCCGGAATGTCAAGATAGCCCGACCATAATACTTTAGGAGAGCGAATCTTTTCATTAAAACGCTTATTAGGTCGACCTGTATGCAACTAACTATGTAATGGAATCTAAGAATCTGAATTACACGCACTTCTAATTCTTGTATCATCATGAAACATGGCAATTATAAGTTGATTAGATGACAATATAATTTTATGGTACCATCGAGCTGGTCTGATGATGGCACTGGATTCCTGGAAGGTGGCTGATGGAACCTTGGACTGCCTACTAGTAAACATATCGAGTTTGGGCTCATTAGATTCGTCTTAACATGTTCTGTTCATTTTTCCTGATGACTGAAACTAAAAAGAGTAAAATATTTTTTGGCTTTTTAGTGCAGTAAATAAAAGCGTGTGTTTAGTTTTTTAAACTATTAATTTATTTTTATCTCGAATTTATCGAAAAAGAGACTTTTGTAAAGAAACATATGCAGCTGAAATTCATTAAATATAACGATAGTGCTCACTCACTTGTATTATTTTACTGTTGTTTATAAGTTGTTAAGTACCAAAAATATGGTTTAAAAGTAATTTTACATACCTATATAAGGCTATTGTGTAATTTTTGAGTGCATTTTGTACTTACTTACCTATTTAAACAAATACCTAATGCATCGAAATATACATTTTACGCGTCACTTTTTTCATTAACAGGTTTGTTTGATGTTTATCTTATAGGATTATTGAAAACGTCCGTAATAAAAATCTTACGATAGGTATGATGACTAAAGTAAAGATAAGTTTTTTGTAAATGTAGTAGAGGGAGAGGTTACTAGGTTATTAATTATATTCACGACTATTGACGATAAAGCTCAGTTCTTTTTTTAATACAATGTGCTTATATTTTTGAATGACTAATAACCTCCCTTTTTTAATTTAAAAAATCAACTTGTGACAGGTATGAGACGTTTTATATGTTTCTTCTAATAATTCGATTATCATTTAAGAAAAATATTACTTTAATAAAAATTATATTATTGTTATAAAGATCTTTATTATACATGTACGTTAAAATTACTTAAAATAGTCGAAGTTTTTCAGTAACACAATGATATTTTTATGAGCCATCGATAAAAATATCATGTCCTTATAAGAGAAAGGTCAATCTTCGTTCAAACTTCACCATAATTTACAACGTTAAGTCCTTGTAAATACCATTTTAGTTTGAACATCAACTTGTTATTTTGAAAAAAGAAACGTAGGTACCCGTTAAAAGAGCGTTCGCTTTATTTCCAAAAGCCATTACAAGTATAAGTCGAGTCAAGTATATGTAAAAAATAAAGAAGTGACAGGTCAAGTACCGTGCAGTATATGTAGGTATTCGCGGAATGTTGTCGGTTTATTTTCGCGTTCACCACGGCCGCTGCTGATTAAAATCCCTCGTTAGTCAGACTCATTTGTTTTGCTCTGCAAACGGTAGCTGGTGGCAGCACGTGTTCGCATCCCTTAAGCAGAATATTATAAAATAAAAAAAAAAAAACATTTATTTCAAGACATTGGTCTCATATATGTTAGTAACAATTTTTCTTAACCTATGTTAGTATTTCATTACAATTTCATAATTTATTCGTATATATGACACAGAGTTTTCGTTACCAACAATCGACAATTTTCCCCTAGTTCGTAGCTTTCTTCTAATAGTTTTATTTATGGAACCTATCGACTTATTTCCTATCACCTTATGTAAATAGCGGAATATGAATTGTATTAGGAATAACTATTGGTGTCTATTAAAACAAATGAGTAAAATTATCGATAATTAATGATTTATGCTTTTAAAGAGCTCTATGTTTTATTCCTATAACAATAAACATGTTGTATGAAACTATTATGTTATCCAAATAGAAATCAATCATATCAAAAACACAAATATATTCTGGTCATTTTCTGGATAAAGGATAGTTTTTTTTATCCTGAAAAATGTCTACGCGCGCCAAATTTACAATTGCTACGCGAGCAAAATTGCGGCTAAAGCTTGTTGTAAAGAAAATTGTACGAAAATATTATTATTCTTTATCTTTTGATTAAAGTAGTTTTCCTTTGACAAATCCTAATAGTAGGAACCTTGCAAACTACATCTGCACTAGTTATTCATACGAGCGATGTACACCAACTATGTTGCAGTTATAGTAAGTACCGTAGATACACAGCAAATTGAATCGACGAAAACGGAAGCAACCAATTGTATCTAAGCCGATGGCCGTTCGCCGGAGTAGTCACAATAATATCATATCTTTGTATGGGTAAAAACTCTAAGCAGACAATGTAGACACCGTGTCCAGAATATTAAGCACTAATATGTTTTATGTTCTTGGGTTGAATTTTATATTCTTAATCTAAGATCATTGGTGATACAGACATTAAAAATAAAACATTATAAAACCTTTGTACAGCAATCGACTGTGTACATGTTGCAAGCACGTTTTTAGTTGTATAATTTTCGTCTTTTTTATCTATTTTATAAGCAGATAAAAAAAATGATCATTAAACACGATATCAGATGAAACGAAAAAACTAAACTTTTCTCAAGAGTGTTTAAAAAATAAGGTTTAAAATAAAACTAAATCACTTATTTGAACATTTCTAAAATAATTAAAAGATCTCGACTAGCCCATCAAAAATCAAAATAAAAACAAAAAAGTCATTACTACCACTACGGAAGAATTAATTATTCAAAGGTAATCCAGACTAATATTATGAATGCGAAAGTGTGTCTGTCTGTTACCTTTTCACGCTATATCCAGTACTAGACCGATTCACTTGAAATTTGGAATAGAGAGAGTTTGGTTCCCGGGATATAGTTTGATTCATTCATGAAATCATCCTTTAAGGGGGTGGAAGAATGGGCGACCAATTAATCAGGTAGACGAATTCGCGGGCACATACTATTAAAATATAATTTTGGACTATGCTTCCCTAGGCCTTTAATATCATATCCATATTTTAACGAAGAAAGAAAAAACAGTTTTTCTTTTTTATTTTTAAAAATAGTAAATTATTTTTGGCTAGATATCGTGCCAAAGGTTTCACAATACAATTAATTCCAGTAAATGTTACACACAATGTACAGAGACACATTTTAGAAAACTAACAGTTTCAGGACTAGGATAAATCTATTTTCTAAAAAAGTTTACAAAAGAAGTTCAATTAAGTGAAAACATTGAGTTTACGGGGAAAAGCTTTAAGTTTCCCTTGTCACTGATTATAGTGATAAATTAAATAAATTTGGAGAAAACTACCATAGGCCAAAAAAATACCATAGGAAACTACCGCAAGAAACTAGCATAGGTGGACGGAAACTACTTTGTGCAACAAACATAGAAAAACTACTACGGTTGAATAAAAACTACCATGGAAGGAGACAACTACCACAGGAAACTACAATGGGCGAAAAAACTTCCATTAAGAAACTACCGTGAGAAACAAGCATATTGGGTGAAAATTACCATTGTAAATTGTAACCATTGTAAGGTGGAGGGGAAACTACATAAAATACAAAATCTCCTCAAGAACTAAAAAATTTTTACGCCTCCAATCTAG